GTTTTGTTCCCCTTTCTCTCTTTGCCAAACATGGTGCTGCGATATGAGGCAATGCAAAGATGTTTTAGGGTGGCTGGAGGACACCAGTATTAGCATTAGTTTTTAACTAAATGTTTTATAGAACATTTTAGTTGGAGTTTCTGTATCTCCCCAGATTAACAAAGACTGTTACACTGAAACCTCTTCATCCATTAATTTATTGTTACTTGGCACAAATACTAGAGGAACTACAAAATAAGTGTCTCTCCATTATCTGTTAGAGCTATAAAGCTCAGCATAAATCAAAGTGCTTGCAAGGTGTTGCTGTATGATGTTTACACAGCCTCGCAGGCTTTTAACATGCTGCGGGTGTATGCGGTTTAGTGGTTATAAGTGTACTTTCCTGGTACAAAATTTTTTTATCAAAGCCTGTCAACTGCATTTGATTAACATTAATGGGTCATGGAGACCAAGTCTGTCCTCCCCTCTGCTGAGAGTATGCAGATTTAGAGTGGGTTCAACAGCAAAACGACCCTAACGTACACACATGCACACACTCTCTGCTGCATCCAAATTCAGTAGCAGCTTTAGGCCCATTCATCACTGTCAGCTTGTATTAGCTGTGTGTGTGTAAGCGAGAGAGAGGGAGAGCGAGAGAGAACGCAGGGTATGCAATAAAACTAGAGCCACCTCACGGCTGCTGTTTTCCTGCACTTGAGGCAATTAAAAGAAGAGCAGCCAGTAGAGATCCATATAAGCTTCCTTCAGTAATGCTCCAGTAATACTGACTCGCTTTTGGTCCGGCTCCTTTACAGAGTTTTTCTGACCGCTCTCACCTCTTAATCAAACATCATTCTCATCTGCCCTGAAAAAGAGGGACAGGCATTACATTTGTTTAAAAATGTCATCTCGGCCCGCCCATCCCTCTTCGGAGTAACTTCTAGCTTTTCCAAAAGATTTGCATCCAAACCATAGAGAGCTTTCCATCCCTCGACAAGTCGCCCTAAGGGCTTCTTTTATCATTAACTGATCCTGTCTTTAATAACCTGCAATCTAATTTTGCAATTTAAATGTTTGTAGTAGTCCACCACTTTTTCCCGGCCTTCACTGTTTTGTTTGAGGTGGGAGAGGAATTTCTGAAACCTCGGAGAATGTCTGGTGAGCTAACGTTAATTTACCACTAGTCAATGCTTTCTGTGATAAACTGACCGAGACTATTAATTACTGACATTAGCTGTTCTACTCATGACTTGAACTTATAAATACTCCTAAACGTCTGTTAAAGCTAGCTCGCCAACCACCATTATCTAAATCTACACTGTATTAACTAGCTAGCTACGTTAGTTAACCTAGCTAACCTACCTATCGTATTTAGTTAGCTAACGTAGCTAACCCGCCAGACTTCGCTTCCGACTGCAAGGTACTGAAATCGTTTACGACCAAAACAGTCCGGTTTTAACTGTAACGGTAGTTGTAAGATGAAGAATGTATGCTAAATTCAACCCACCTTTACATCTTTGGCTGTATTTTGGCCGTGCGGTGTCTCTGCCAAATCTACGTCACTCGTCTGCGTTGTGACCGTTATGCGATCCTCTTCACTGCTCTCGTTATCAAGTCAGTTTTGGATGTTGATAATATTACACATGAAAATATAACGTTCATTTTTCTAATCTCGTCCTCGCGTAGTTACATACACTGACAGTTAGCTTTTTGTTTGAATTCAAAGTTAAGCAAAAACGTGTATATTACCCCTAATACGAATAGGGGTGCAGAAACTCAGCTTCCTCCACTATTCAGGCGCCGATGCATTACATAACGTACAGTTAAAGGGGAATTCCACCCATTTTTCAAATTTCTGTATAATGCAATTGTTAAGATGTAAACAAAATCATTCAGACTGGTTTAATGTGATTTGTTTGAACAGGTATTGCGGAGGGGTACATGCAGACCGTTATAAGGCAAAATACTACCCAAAGAAAAGTTTTTTCCCTATTTTACCACTATATTACCATTAGCAACATTACATATAAAACTCAAAACACATTTGTAGGTTTACTGGTTGTTTTGGATACTAAATAAATAATAGCTTTAGTTTTGTTGTAGACATCACAACCTGGTTCATATAATAGAAATTTGAACATGCTAAAGTCAACTTTTGTTAATTTACAAAAGCAAATCCCAATTAATGTGTTGGGTTCCTTAATTTGTTTCATATTCAAGTACTGAATATTTCTAAATTTCAGTTCAAATGTAATAAATTAATATTTGAGAAAGGGGCGACATGCATGACGAACAGATGTCACAAGCACCATAGTGCTCGCTTGCTTTTGGACCACCGCTCTGGAGATGGAAGCAACACTTTAGTGTTAGGGGCTGAAGTAATGTGTCAGGTTAAGAGACTGATGGCCCAGCTTTCCCCATTAAGGTGCTTGTCCATCTAATCTGGGTTGACAGGGCTCACTGTACACCAGTTTGCAAACTTGGGTCTGGTGTAATCTGCTCTGAATTCTACCCACATTGACATGGTGCAGAAAGCAGCCATAGCCACTGGGTTGAAAAGTAGATCCCCCACCATCCGTTTGTATGCCCAGCCTGTGCTGCAAGGCTAATAAAACTTCCAAGAGCAATGTGTGGCCCAGCATCCTCTCATTGTGAAACCCACCTTAAAGCTTATAATCTGTAAGCTCATTAAAAATAGGGTGAACATGACTAGACCGAGCAGTCTCCTGCTTGAAATCCCCAGCAGATGCACTGTGCTGCTTTCTGTAATCGTCAAAGGATATTATTACCAAGGTTAAAGTGAACTCATGCTGTTCACTGTAAGTGAGTTCAGAATGCTTTAGTGCATTTGAATGTATTTATGGCAAACTGATACAAGTAGTACTTAAGGTAGACGCATTGGGGGGGGGGTTGCATTGGCTGTGAGGTGATCATACTGTCTACTCTGCCTAGCTGCATAAGCAGTCCTGGGCCTAACTGTGATGAACTGAAATATCTCTGGGAGGACTGTCAGGGGTAGGTGTGTGGGTGGGTGCTGGGGTGCTTTTTGAAAATTGCCCTGTCGTGAGTGAATGGGCACATTTCAGAAGAGGGGAGAAATCAGTTGCAACACCTTTTACAGCCACACACACACCCCCACCCCCTTGCTGGCTGTGCTAAGGGAACCGGTTGCCATGGCGATCCAGTATTTGGCCTAATGTATGGATAGAAGTGGAATTCCAGTAGACAGTGCAGGCTCAGAGAGAATAGCTTCTGAAGAAGGGGGTATACACACACGCACACACACTCTCACTCTATCCTGGATTGGAACACCCCAAGAGCTGGTAGCTCTCCAGCACTCAAAGGCTCCCCTCTGACCACAGTACGTGTGCTGGTTCAAGGATGAAGGGGAACAGGGAACGACAGACGAAGAGAGTGAGTGGTAGCTGGAGATTCGAAGAGGTGTGCGAGTGGGGGATGGCTGCTGGAGGTGCATTAATGAGTTCTCTGGTGTTTAACATGGTAGCTTTGTGGAGGAGGTTACTCTCCCTCTTAGAGATTAGCTCAGCGTTTCTGTGCCACGCTACATCCCCCAATTAAATATTAATGCAGGACAGACTCAGTGTCCAAATAGTCTTCCCTAGCTATGGCCCATACAGAGCTACATCAGCTTTTCACAACAGCCATAAGCTTGATTTCAGGGGCTAATAGTTACATGGTCATGAATAAAGTATAATAAAAAAAGTAAAATATAAACCATAAGTTTTTGAATATTAAATTTAGTATATAACACAATATTATACAAAATGAAAGCTAACTATAATAGCGGAAATTAGATATTAGATAAAGAGTACAAAAAAAATACAGTAAAGATGTGGAGGATATTAGCAAAAAAATATCTAAAATCTAAGATACTGGATATTGTACATAGATAAAAAAGCAAAATTAAAAAGAAGTTTTTGAATATTAGATATAGTCAATATATAGTGTGGGATATTATGCAGTCTACAAAAGATCAAAATATCCACATTAGGGGCATGTTATTTTTGTATTTGTAGTATGCGTATAAGGCTATTTAATCCATATACATTGCTGTAATTTATACATAAAGGTTAAGAAATAATGCCACACACTTTTTTTTTTTTGTTCAGTTTGTATTTAGATGGATGTACATGAGCACATTCATTGCACTCTGACTGGGACTGGTATGATTTCTACAATACGAGCACTGCACACACTGAGTGGTCAGCAAATCCCTGCGTAACGCTAGTGAGGATTTTGGTCAGCACCAGCTAGTGAACTCACAGACAAGAGCCACCATCTCAATGACCAGCATATAAATAATACTCCAGAAACAAAAAGCAAGTTATTGCACAGTTGAGTAAACACAACACAATTGAAACCTGGACTGGACAGATGCGTAAGGTATCAGTAAACTATTTATGTGCCAATCAAAACATTTCAGACTTTAAAATTCCACAACAATAAGGTCCTAGATCATCCTTCAGTCACTGATCATTTTCTCACACATAAGACATTACAGTATATACACAAGTAAAATAATGTTCACTTCTAGATTCTATGGTACATATACTAAAATAGTTTCTTCTGATGGTCTCTGAATAATACTTTTAAAAGAAAGTGATCTGATACACTAATGAATTGATTAAATTCCAATAGATAGACATGTGAATAAATTCTTTGAAATAGCCTTTACAGGGGAATTTGTGTGTGCATGTTATATATATATATATATATATATATATATATATATATATATATACACACACACGCACACACACACACACACACACACATACATTGGAATAAACAAAATCATTCAAAGTGTTTTAATGTAAAAGGGTTCACTGTAGGGAAATTTACTGACTTAGATTTCTTTACAGTGGTGGTGATAGAAACCAGGGGTTGCAATGACTCCAATGCAAACACAGCCATTTTATTTACATACACAACCTTCATGTACCTTTTGAGTTTTTATATGTAATGTTGATAATGCTACAATATTGGTAAATCTGAAATTGGTACTATTTTAACATCCTGCATGCATCTTTCCATACCTCTGGATTTTAAAAAATATGTTTCTTATTAATTTTGTCAATTATGTTTATGTCAGAACTATCACAATATAATTTCTCAAGTAACAGGCAGCGTTTTCATAACCATTTTGTTCAAAAGCTTTCTATGAGGTAGCTTTGAGAAGCATTAAAAGCTGAATGTCTGGTTCCTTTCACCACTGCTGTGAACAATTCTGATTCAGTAACCTTCTTTAGGAACGTTGCACATTAAACCACTCTGAGTGACTCTGTTTACATCTTAATCATTTCAGAAATTTTTAAAAGAAAAAAAAAAAACCCAGCAAAACAAAATCCCCCCTATTAAATAAAGTGACGCTGCTTCTCTTCTTCAAGCATTTCAATGGAATTTAAATGTAAATTGGCGTTGTTATGAGTTTAATGCTTCAGATCCGTCACATCCTTAGCCAGCTAAAGTTCTTGTTTAAAGGGAAAAGAGCTACGGATCTGTCAATATCTCTTTGATGGCATCACCAACAAGATGACACATATACATGCAAAAGTACTCCTAATTATATGCCCGTCACTCAGGCAGCAGTTCACAAACATCAAGTTTCTCTTTTTTGGTTGAAGTTTCCCTTTAGGGTTCCATGTACGGTGCAGTGTTCTATTACAAACGTGACACACGCACAAGCAGACATATTGCATAACATCTGATTGTTGCAAGGACACACCAATAAATACAGTACTATTTGTGCCATGGTCATATAAATGGCTTCTTGAGTAAGAAGACAAGCTAAACTAAACAGCCCCTGAATTTCCAAGTATAGTTTAGAACGCACTGGTATATATTCAAAGTGGAATGTTATCAAAAAGAAGAAGAAAAAAAACAAACATGTATGCTCGCACAACACCATTATGGTGTGCACTTTAAAGGGAGATAAAACACTCATTGCACATGTAGCACTTTCTACAGCAGATGACTACGGAGGCCCCCGACAGCACTGGAGGACACGGCTTATCTGGACTCTTGCAATTACCTCCGCTGTGACGAGGCCCGTTACATCAATTATTAAAATCTATAAAGTGCTTGTCTTCATGGATGCTCGTCGACTGATATGGCCATTGATCTCTGAGGGAGGACTACAACTAATAGGTACAGACAATTGGGGAGATGTGAAAGGGGATGAGACGGTGCTTCATCAGTATGGGATTTGGTTTTGGTAATACTGCAGCATGTCATAGGTCTTGCTCCTGGAACACAGCAACAGAAGAAATGGTAATTTTACAGGAGAAGGCAAAAGCGTTAACATTTAATGGAAGTTAATTTAACAAGATGTTTTTTTAAGTAAATTGAAACTATTTATGTTGGTCCGTTTATCATCACAATTTAACACAAAAGTGGAGATTTTTGCTCATCGGTGACCGCCTCACAGCAATTGAATTCTGTATTCATGTGCCATTTGGTTGTGCCATTTGGTTGTTGAGCACTGAGCATGATGATCCATATGGCCAGAAATCAAGCATGTATGTGAAGTAAATGGCTTGAAACAGAACAAAACATTCTCTACAAAAGAGACCGGTTTTGTTTTAACTTTTGCACTTTTGTAAGATGTTTTTGTTCAAACTAAAAGAAGTAGCACTGCTGAGTCAGGAAAAAACAAAATCCTAAACACTAAAATATGGTGTGCATGCGCTGCCGCGGGTCACCTGGTAAGGCCTGAAATAGTAATTTGAAGGTCAGAGGCGTTGGGTCGGATTTCGTGGGACTTTTTTGGACCACGTCATGCATCTTTACTTATTAACGTTACACACACAGAGTCAAAAAGATGGTCTGGCTTGATGCTTAGGTCTCAAATGCAAAATCAATGTTATGATGATGAAGATACGATGGCTTGAAGATACGATGGCAATAGTAAATAATTCGTTAACATGCTCGGAAAACTTGTCCTATTTGAATTCTCCTTTTACACACTCACAATCATCAGATTGATTGGCTCCTGGAGGCCTGAAGCACAACCAACGTTACAAAATGCTTTTCTGCACTTTAAGTGTAATTACGCAATTCCACCAGAAAGGTCTCCAAATCCCAGTCTTACATCCAAGTCTTACATAGTGTAGCTTCAATCTGACAGACTGCTCAACTCATCAGATAGCTAGCCATGTTTCTCTCTTGTGAATATTTAGTGTTAGGCTTCGTATTGAAGTATTTACTGTAAAACATATAGTTTAAAGAATATATTACTTCAACGGCCTACAAGGTTCAAATGTCTGCATGTTTTGTTAGATATGCATTAAACAGAACTAAACTGAATGTGGGAAAATAAGCAAAACCATTATCTTGATGGTAATACAACAAGAAATTACATAGAGTTAGTTGTATGCAAAAGTTAGAACGTCCATAGTCAAATTACGTGTTGATTTTCTACATAAAAATAAGTTATCTTCTACAGAGAACAAACTTAAATGTGGCATTTTGTCTGCAAATCTTAGTGCACAATATTTATTTGACCAGCTTAACATTACACTGAAAAAATAAAGACTATAAAAATTAAAAATTATATATATATATATATATATATATATATATATATATATTTGCGTCACAACATTTGCACAGGCCACATTTTATGGCTTACTTTTTCCAAGTTTAATTTTGCAAATAAACAGTAATTGTACATTAAAATTTGGTTCTCTGTAGAGCATGTGTACTTAATTTTAATTTAAAAAAATCAACAAAAATGTAATTTGACCAGAGGCCTAAAAGTTTTGCATACTACTGCAGAAAGGTAGTAAAAACTTTCAGTGTATTGGTAACTTAAATAGGTGAAGGTTCCAGCCTTAAATTCTGCTCTATGTTCATGATTACATGAGAACAATTTTAAAAGAAATAAAATGCTGCCATAGACAATGATGGCTGACTGAAAGTCCTTGTCCTTGCTTGCTTAATGTCTAACACAACCACGTACCCTCTTAAAATCACTAAAGCATGGCCTCAAGTGGTGTATTGCTTTGTTTTACGTTACCTTTATACTTCCAGTGCAAAACTAAAGAACCAAACTTTGGACACTGATCGACTACATATGGGGAAAGGGGAAAACTGTAAATTACATTTTTTTTTTGCCAAACAATTGCTCTACAGGATGCTTGTGTGTGCTTAGATATTGATCAACACAATCACTATCCAAAAAGGCCCATAGGCTGACACAGTGGTTTAATATAACTGTATGATTCATGCAGACTATATTCAACCCTTAAAATGGAAAAAGCTAAAGTAGCAGGGTTGTACCTGCTGCTGAGGAAGCAACGCTCGATGACTTTGATCATAAAGGCCGCGGCCTCTTTTTCACTCATGTTGGGGTTGAACCTTTGCCTGGAACACACAAATGGTGGAAAAAAAATCATTTAAAACCTAAAAGAGGATTAAGAGCACTAGGCTTATCATCATCTGCCCCAGTAAGGTGCATTTTGGAAGTGGACACATACTTGAGCAGTTTTATTGTCTGTCCTCTAAAGCATGGAAGACCAGTGTCCAGCATCAAGGTCACCAATGACACCACAGCATCCATATATGGCCTGAGATTAAGAGGAGAGAGAGAAGGAGAGAGAGAGAGAGAAGGAGAGAGAGAGAGAGAGAGAGAGAGAGAGAGAGAGAGAGAGAGAGAGAGAGAGAGAGAGAAGGAGAGAGAGAGAGAACCAGAAACCATAAGAATAAGCAGACTTCAGACTAAAAAAAGCTTTGCGCTGTACAGATTACTCTCTCTCACTCTCTGACATGATACGCACACATAGAAACATCACCCTGGACTCCAACCTTCCCTCCTGCACTTACACGTTATCCTGTATCCCAGAAAGCTGCTAAAATATTTATGAGCAGCGCATCTCACCTTACTGCGAGGTATCCGCGAACACACATCTCCATGAACCACTTAAAGGGAGTGGCCTCCATTTTGCCCCCCATGATCATCACCATCTCGTCGGTCAGCTTGATGTCCGGCTCCCAGCCCAGGTTACCACCCGGAGAGCTCTCGAACATGAAGCCAAAATCTACAGCCAACCAAGAAAGATATATGTACACCCTCTTACATAAATAATATATATGCATATTTTTGTTTGTTAAAAAAAATAATAATAATGTTATTGCACACATATCAGATAATCACTTGCATATACAGTACTGTGCAAAAGTCAGAGAACACCCTTTCGCTTCTTTCTTTGAAAACAGCCATTGAGTTTAATTTTTCAGAGTCAGGGTAGAACAGCACAAGGCATATATTTACAAATACAAACAAATTTCACAGAAAATTACAGGGCCTCCAACGCTATGCATGTCAAATTTAACTTTTTCCACTCTTTACTTTTGTGCACCAGTTGTTCCCATCAGATAAAAATCACAAAGCTTTCATCTTTCAGAGACAGGAGAAAATCAAGCTCCACTTTTGCTTCAGAGCGGAAAAAATAAATTTGTCTGTATATCCTTCCACTGTGAGAACGCTATGCATGGTCTAAAAGGATGTGTAGAAGCTGTGTGTATGTCGCTAAAGCAATGAAAGACTCTTCAAACAATGTCTATAACCATGTTGCAGGATCAGTGCAAGTGTTCAGATACATAACATCTGGAGTTAGTGATTAGTCTTCGACTAAAAGCTGACAAGGACAAATTAATTTGAATATATCATGCAGTACTCTCTGAAAAATATTTGATTGTAAAGACACACTGCTGAAAAGATCAAGATGTACTTAACAAACAAAGAAGCTGCTGGTCCAGACCTCAACATTACTGAATGTGCTTAAGATTACTTGGATTGTGAGAAGCAGAAAAAGCAACCGAATTTTAATTCTGAACTTTAGAGGTGTGGAAAAATATCCTTGCAGATTTCTTTCAAAAACTGAAAGCAAGTCCATCTGAAAAGAATGAAAGCTGTAATGAAGGCAAAGAGTGGACACAATAAATACTGAACAATGTTGATGTTATATTAGGCATTGAAGCTTCTGTTAAATGTATGTAAATGTATATACATGAAATAAACGAAAGTGTGGTCTCTGACTTTTGTACAAAACTATGTAAGTTCAGCTAAAGTAGGTTTTCTTTATAGCTTCTTGTGATCTCCTTAATATATTAATGGGCAGTGACTCAGACAAACCAATGTGAATGAGGTGGCCTTTGCTGTCCAGCATGATGTTGCCGTTGTGGCGGTCTTTGATCTGCAGCAGGAAGAGGAGCAGACTGTAGGCGGCCATGCTGCGGATGAAATTATACCGTGCCTGTTGGACACAGGAGCACAGACAAGCAATTTAATTAACTGGACAACTCACAGAACTGGACACAGCTTTTAAAAACATTTAACTGAAAAAAGATAAATAGACTGACTACGGAAATCTATATCAGCGAAGAATTACAATGGTAATTTAAAGATTTATATTTCATGTAATACATAACAATTTTGTTGTAAACTATTCACAAAGTTCAATTAATGAACAGTCAATCAGCCATTTCCCTATGAACTCCTCTCACACTATATAGACAAAGGTATGGGGACATCCCTCCTACATACTGAGTGACTAACAGGTGTATTAAAACAAGCATACAGCCATGCAATCTCTGTAGACAAACACTGGCAGTAGAATGGGTCATACTTAAGAGTGACATAAAATGTGGCAGTGTCACAGAATGCGATCTTCGCCACAAGTCAGTTCGTGAAATTTCTGCCCTGCTGGATCTGCCCGGTTAACTGTAAGTGCTGTTATTGTAAAATGGAGCATCTTGGAGCAGCAACAGCTCAGCCAAAAAGCAGCAGACCACACAAACTCACAGAGTGGGGCCACTGAGTACTGAAGCAAATAGCATTACTCACTTTCAAACTGCCTTTTTAAAAGCAACATCAGCACAAAAACTGTATGTTGAGAGCTTCATGAAATGGGTTTCCATGGCCAAGCAGCCGCACACCAGCCTAGTATACGCAATGCCGAGCATCTGAAGTGCGTGGAGTAAGGTTTGTGTCCCCTGGACTGCAGTGAAAATGTGTTCTCTGGAGTGATGAAACATGCATCACTAACTAGTGCTCTAATGAACAAATCTGGATTTGTCAGGTCTGGAACTGGAATGTCAATTACAAGCCAGGCCTTCTCATCCAATATCAGTGTCTGACATCACAAATGCTCTTTTGACTGAATGGGCAACAATTCCCAGACACACAAGAAAATTTTCTGGAAAGCGTTCCCAGATGAGTGGAGCCGCAAAGGAGGGCCAACTGCACATTAAAGCCCAGGGTTTTGGAACGGGATGTGCAACAAGCTCATACAGGTGTGACTGCCAGATGTCCACATACTCTTGACCATACAGTGTATAATTTGTATTTAGCTTTATGGCTGCCAGTCTCTGCATGAAGTCACAAATATAACAAATGTTAGAAGCGGACCTCAAGAGGAAAAATAAAATCCAAGAAAAATGGACCCTATAAGCTGTGTGAACATTTTAAGATTAATGGACCAATAGAAATGGTACAAAACTACTCAGAATAAAATCTTGTGACTTTTACTTAAAAAGAAGCTACAGAGGATGTGTTCATATATTTTCACTTAGAAAATCAATCAAATGTGTAATTTGATCAGGGGTGTTCAAACTTTTGCATATGACTCAATTAACATATTTAGAATTAAACAACACAGTAAAAAACAGCCTGTTTAATTCTAAGGGATAAAGAGAGGTTGGAAAATTATTATGTTAAAATGAATGATTGTTTTCGGTATGTAAAACCACACAAATGTCATGAGAGGACCTCAGGGGAAAAAATTAAACTGAGAAAAATGAGCCCTTTAAAGGACTTCTCATTTGTTTATTGTAACTCCACTATCCGGTGCACCTCCAAGAAATCTGAGTTTTGGGCCCTTTTGAGTCTTGATACCTTTCAACATCTCTTCCACATAAGGAGCTGTTTTCAGTCTGGACCCACATTTCTCTTAAGCTGCTTTGAGACAAGGTGCACTATATGGATAAATATAACTGAACTGAACTGGACTGAATTATACTGAGGGTTTTTATACCTCAAGCCAATCGAATTTTGAAATTGCCTTTACCTTCTGGAAAGCCAGAGTGGACTCGTCCCCGTACTGGTTCCTGAAGTAGTCATACATGCCAAAGTCAGTCTGTCTGCCCAGTTGATCACGAGACTTACAATCTGGGATACACTCAATTACACCACACTGGAAGAAGGAAATGATACAAGTAATTAATAATTCACACCCCTACACCCCTGCCTATGCCTGCTTTATTTATACTTAAATACTTTCAAAAGTTTTTCATTCCATTACTTACAATGATAATCTAAGGAAAAAGAAATAACAAGCATCAAAGCATCAACTTTTTTTTGTTTAGAAGTCCTTGGGAATACATTTTTTCAAAGCAGGCAAGAAACATCAACTAAAAATGGTTCTTCTGCTGTTACAGGCTTGACATCGTAACAATAGAAGAACACAAATTGGTGCTATAGAACCACATAAAAAACATTCTCCATCAATCTGAAGAACTCTCTAGTGATGCAGAGAACCCTTTAATCATGTAAAGGGTTCTTTGAGTGTTTTCAAAAAGGTTCTATATAGAACCATCTACAGCACATTCTCCATCAATCTGAAGAACACTTTCACAATGCAAAGGACCCCTTAATCACACAAATGGTTCTTTGTGTGTTCATTTTCTTTACTAAAGAACCTTTGAAGAACCATCATTTTTAAGTGTGTAGTAGTAATTATAGCAGCTGACTGCAATTATTCTCCAAAGTTGTTAGCTTTCATAATGCTATGTTTACATTGCAACAAATGGTGAGATTGGGTGCGTTTTCATCAATTAGGAGGTAAAAGCAAGCAGAAATCATTTATTAGGGCATGTCATAGGTCTTGCGAAACAACACGGTTCTAGCATCTGACCAATGGTATAACACCTTTAGAGGGCAGCGGTGAGTAACATTTGTTTATTTAAGCTCCAGCCGTGTCTGTCATCCGTTGGGAGCTATTAAGCAGCAACAGCTATGAAACATTATCAGCCATTTTGGACACTTCAGGCTTATACTTTAATAGTTGCATACAGTAAACAAAAAGACAAATTAATTGTTAATTGCAATTATTATTATTTATATGACAATTAATTTTCAGTTCAACCTTAATGATCGTGACAGGCCCACCAAGTGACCAAGTATTTATTTTAAACAGACCTTTTGAAAGTCTACTTTGCCAAAAGGAACATATTTTGACCAAATCTATTTACATTTCATGGAGTATATAAATGCCTAGAGTTATCAAAACACCCAACAAATCTCATGTGGATATGGATGAGGTTTGATGAGGAAGCTCTCAGCAATGAACAGCAAAGAACAGCAACAATGAAACATTTTTGATATTTTTAACCCTGTTTTTAACCCTAATTCATTCATGTTCAAATTCCACCCACTATCCAGCTCTCCTTGTGCAGCCTTAGTACATTTAATGTGCTAGTAGTGGACAGTATGAGGGACAAAGAGTAGAACTTACGCCAGGGGCCGTGGCTACAACTCTGTAGGGGAACACAAACAGATCCAACCCCACCAGCTGGAAAATGTTCTTAAAGAGTCCAATGATCTGCAGTGCCAGCATGTCCTATCGCAAGAAACCAAACAGTCAGCTGTTACCAGAAATTAGCTCCTTTTAAATGGACTTCAGAAACCTTTTTTTTGAGGTTAACTAACCTGTCTGCAGTCATCTCCCACTTTAAAGATGGCCGCCTGCCAGCAGACCTTCTGTGCGACTTCTGAGTTTTCATCTTCGTCATCTACAGAGTCAGTGGGGCAGCGCAAACCTAGATAGAACAGTGAAATATAGACCACTGAATTATAGGTCATGTACCTACACGCAGGTGGGCAATCTGTCATATAATCACAGTTAGAACACAAAGATTATTATCAGCAATTATGAATCATCATGAACACTAATGAACTCACAAACACATGAACATACCATTCTATAAGTTTATTTTTTAAAAAGTGAGAGTCCCTCGCCACATTTCACATTTTGGCCAAGCATCCCACTGGGTGACTGGGGGAGAGGGAGAGCTATTCTACCCATGCAAAGAGGTTAATTATGTTCTCTTGCAGTCTCAGCCGTAGATGGCTGTGGCATCATTGGGGACTGAATTTGTGAGCTCCCAATGATAGAACCAACACTTAGATGGTTGCGCTCCCCTTGGGGGGGAAGCATGTTTGTCAATCGTACATACAATGTATACATGACAAACATGTATCTATAAATGGAACCACTTATTGACCAATTGTTAAATCTGGCCATAAGATTCACTGGCTTGGTGGCCTAAGTGTCCAGTGCAATTCTACTGCATCTGTCTACCTATGCTTATGAGGACACATCTTGAAGTATCTGAGAAAGGTTTCTTGTATTTGCTCTGCAATTATTAACAGGCTACTGTGCTAATGGTACATTACATAGGCCATGAATATCCTTTTTTTTTTTAAATGTACCTTATAATCATTAGTTTGATCATTTGAGAGAGAGAGAGAGAGAGAGAGAGAGAGAGAGAGAGAGAGAAAGATAGAGAAAGAAGAATACACTCCACACCTTCTTTCTCAAGTTCACTCACTCCACAGCGCTTGACTTTGAACTTTGCCAGATAAGGAGCTTTGGCAGCACTGCAAAACGTAAACAAATTAATAACACAGGAAAATATCATCGCACCATGTAAATATTGGCACAGTAATTAGTGGTGGTGTTACAAACATGATGTATAACCACATTTGCTTTGGTCATCTATTTTTTTAAATAGTTCACCTCTGCATAGGAGTTCCTGACTTGTAGTCGATATCTAGAACAATGGCTTCAGGATTGCTTGGCAAGTAGCAGCCTGGGAAAATAAATCAACAAAATAAAAGTCACAAACTAAAAACGAGCTTTGTTTAGATAACACAACACTACAACAAAATAAAAATGACAAAGTAACTGTGTCCCAACCTGGCTGAACTTTGATATCAGATAAGGCTTTTAGGCAAGCCCTTTTTCTCTCGTCTCCTTTCGGGACGGGCCTAATAAGAAAAAAAAACATATCAACATAAGAATTAGCATACATGAAGAAAAACACTACACAATATAGTTTGAATGGCAGAGCAATAGAGCGGTTGAGTTCTCTGATCATTGATTGGCTTTCACAGTGTGAGAGAACGTACTTAATGATGGCGGAGACATTGGTGATCTTGTTGAAGAAATCAAACTCTCGCTGGTAAAAGTCTTTAGCTGGGCCTGACAGAGAGCTCATGATCTCCTCCATCATCTGCTCCAGCAGCTCTCCAATGTCCGCTGTGTACCAGGAAAATAAGAAAAAACTCAACAAAAACTATTCTATTCTATATATGTTCTACACTACTGATATGAAGTATACATTTTTCTGTCTCACAAAGCAGGATTTCATGCTTAGCCAGCTAACTTTAAACGTTTGCTCTAACCCTGGATTTTCTGTCTCACAACGGTGTATCACTATTTAAAGAGATACATCATGGCAACTATGGCAACGTATTCTGCACACCTAAACCGGGGTTTATGGATTGCAATCCCCACAGCTCCATGACCAATTGGGACTGAGCTACTGACCAATCAAGGCCTACCTTCTGGTGAAGTTCTTTTCAGATCTCAAGCTAGAATGCTCACAGTGCCACCTTGTGAGGAATCTTCAGCCTGCTAAACATGAGTGCATACTAGCTCAATGAGATGCTTCTTCGCTAATCACTGATCTTCGCTCAAGTGTCTAAACCCAGACCTGCCGTCATAAAACAAGTTAACCCTGGCTGCATTTGTTAGATTTAGCGCAGCTGAAACGTGATTTGTGAGACAGGTCCCAGGAATTAGTTACCATGTGTAGATGACGTGCTTAAGTAGGTAAATTATTACACTGTGCTGGACTCCGGTCCACTAAAACTGGAGTAGCCCTAAATTGAGGTGTTGGGTTCTATCCATTTTTTATTTGAATTATTAATAGGATATTTAAAAATTTAACAACATTGTAAAAAGCATTTTTGAAATCAGATTTTGCAGGCAGATGAAGTTGAAAATCAAATGTCGAAAAATTTGGCTGAACATTGACAAAGATGACTGAACACCAGCAGTGGGCAGTTCTTATTGTGCCGATGTGGTCTTGCCAACAATTCCCCCAAAGCCTTTCCTCTGATTTGGATGCACTCACGGTCTTTCTGGTGCCCTTCCTCATCCAGGTAGATGTTGGTCTTCATGTTCCAGATGAACTGGTGGGCGAGGAGCTGGGACTTCTGTGCAGCCCACAGTATGTACTCGCGCACATAGCCCATCTGTTACAGAGGAGCAAGGACTGTGAGTCACTGGAAAACCCTGTGCTGTGTTTTGTTAGGAAACGGGTGGGGTGGCTGAAAGCTCTTACCTTGTCATACCGGAGAGCTTGCACAATTTGTGGAATGTAGAACAGAATTGCATCCTGTCAGAAGCAACAAAGCAAAGTTACCCTCCCATTAGACTTTTACTCACTATCACTTTTCCCTGGGCAACGGGTACAGAATAGATGTGGTTTTTCGAGATAACTAACCAATAATGCACTCTTTCACCTATGCATTTGACCTCACACAAAATATTTGTACCTGAAATAGCCAATGAATGTCTCAGAGAAGCTAATAAGACTGCATTCACTTACAGGTTTGAAGTGGTGCAATTTTTTTTTGCCTAAATGTGACAAAGATCTGATTCATTCCGGTCTATGTGAACATGAAAAGTAGATCTTTTCAAATCTATCTTAAACTACTTTTATATGTGATTTTAAATCAGATATATATTCTACGCATGTTCATGTGTCCGTAAAAAAAAGTCAGATGAAAATTTATTTTACACTTCACTGTATGTGTATATCGCTGTCATCATCGAATGTTGGCAGCATTCCTGCAGTGTCTAAACTTGATTAAATGTTTTTTCCTCATCCTCACTAGTGATATGGTTACATATAGTTGTTTGCAAACTTTGGACAGTGCTTGTTATATTACATGATTTTCTAAGTGAAAACAAGTTTCCTCTACAGAGAATAACTCTGCACATTTTAATGCATACTTACTGTTTATGTGCTAGATTTAACATATTGAATGGAAAAAATATTTTTATATTGCATTTTATATTTTATGTATTTTTCCAACGTTAAATTCAGTAAAAAGGTGCTCTAACATTTCCAAAAAATGCCATATTTAAGTTTGTTACCTGTAGAGGATTAAAGGATGTGTTCATTTATTTTCACTAAGAAAATGAACAATATTCAGGTCTAGATTTATTTAATTAGCGCTTTGTACAACAAGGGTTGTCACAAAGCTGCACTACACGAAATCTGGGTCCAAGCCCCAAATTAGCATACCAAGGGCGACAGTGGCAAGGGAAAACTCCCTAAGAGCAAGAGGAGAAAACCTCAAGAGGAACCAAGACGCAAAAGGGGAACTCCTCTAGTAGACCGGAGGTCTGCTACCAGATAGCAGAACAATAATCCAACAAAAGCAATATACACAGAAGATATGATTTTACAATGAATATACAATATTGAACATAGAAAAAAGAAAATAAATCCGACTGTCACTGGACAGAAGTACTTAGATTAACCAATGACAGACGACCGGCCTATCAGAATAACAAATAACTACTGTTAGAAGTATATCACAGAAAATAAGAGTAAATCCATGACTATCATCAGAAACTCGTCATGATAATATGTTACTATGAATATGTAATTTGACTTCTGCATATAACTGCACATTAAAATTAACTGACAAAGTAAAAAAACTGGATCGATGAGGCATATTATCAATTTAGCCTAAATGACTCAATAATGTTAATTTGGTAACTAATTCTGTGACAATTCATTGTGGCAACTAGTTTTCTGTCATATTGTGACAGAAGCATTTAAAATGCTGCCAACAGAAGCACAATATGTAGGTTACTGAGTGTGGAAACCCTTGACACCTCAAGTGGCTAGCATCCACATCAGATAAAGACAAATGCATTAAAAGTGCTACAGTGTGCCATTACAGCATATTGTGTCACAGCCTGAGCTCCCTAGCAGCAGAGGCAGAGCTGTGAGGCAGAAGCAACCGGTACATACGGGTGGGAAGGAGCGCAGCACTTTGACGCCATACTGCGCTGTGAGTGGGTGAGGAGGGTACATGCTGGAGAAATAAGACAGGCCGGTGGGGGGGTCAGCAGGGGCCCAGCACAGGATGTGGCTCAGTTCAGGTGAGTCAGCATCAATGGTGTGCCATGTCACCAGAAACTGTAGTTAGAAAAAGATATAATAGAAAAAGTGAAGAAACAGGTGAAATATGTTGGTCAGCACCTCCAGTTCAAGCCTTTTCATGTTGTTAATAAACATTTCACAGAGCACATTTTATTTTAGCTAGGTTATCTGCATACAATGTAACATTAAAGGAACAGCTTAGTTAAAAATAACAATTTCATAAATTCCCCCTTAGCCCAAACTTAGTTGATCAGTCAAAAATGTTTTTAGGTCAGAAGTTTGTTTTGTTAGTTTTGCACTGGGGCTACGAGCCTAACATAGCCAACAATAAAGGAAGTTTATACCATCAACTGGTATCATACACTTCTGCTGTATGGCTGTCTTCCTTTTTTTAATCTATGCCTGTTCACAGTATTTTAATACTTTTTCTTAAGTTTCTCTCCAGTACTTGTTGCTGCCATTTACCACCCGTTACCTCCACCACAGCTCAATAGCTACTAAGCTGGATAAGGCTGAGGGCAAACTCCATTGTGTAGCCAATCAGTGCACTTGTTTTTGTAAATTCTGCTTATGCAATATCAATAATTAGCCTGGAATAGACTTCTGAAGACATTCTGAAGTCAGCATCTTGCCCATATTGGAACTCCAGGTCTAAGCAGGTTTTCTCTATGGGAAAAGTCCATTTCAAAACCGCTGCTATAGCAAACAAAAACGTATCAAAGTCGATACTTTTTTTCTGTACACATATTTTTCCCGAATGTCACTGGATCACCTGAATAACAAGAACATTAAGAGCTCAAATACGAGTCATAAGAGGAGCAACAAGACCGGCACATCATAAGATAAGCAATGCAGCCTCACTGAACTACTTCACACAAATCAGCAAGCTTTGCCAAATGTGGTAGTTAAAAGGCTGTGGCAGTGACAGGCTACACTTTCAATAGCTGGTGTTGGTATATAATAGCGTTGTACAAAGGATAAAATGTATCCAGTTTGGAACACTATTGTTCACCATATGGCGCGACACCAGCAATTTTCAAAAAAGCTGTTTATGTTTCTCAAAGCGAAAATGTGCTAAGACCCAGAGTACCTAACATGGGCTAGACGCCGACTACTGAAACTAGGCTGGAGTGAGAGATGGCTGTGGCATCACTGGGAATCAAACTTTAGCTGACTGCGCCATTCAAGGACCTTTTTTCACAGTAGCCTGAGAGTAAAAGGAAATATTATTGACTCTTGTCTCACCTTTACTGCCTCTGGGACATCGCTAACAGCGCCAGGGTCCAGTCGGACCAGCCGGGTCACTTCAGCCACAATGGCTTCAGAGTTTTTAAACCTGCGAAACAGGCCCAAAAAGGTCAATAGGTATTTCAACGCTTAGAGAACTGAAAAAATGAATGGAAAATCAAGTAATAGCCATATTATATCAACACATTTGCCTGTATTTAAATATACCTGGCTGGCAACTGCAAAGCAAGGTAGGGAGAGATGCTCCAGGAAAGGTTGACATGGTCCTTCCACTGCTTTTCACTGAGACTGATGTATTTGGACCTCCAGTTGGCAATGCTGGTCTCCACCGACTGCTCAGTGAAAATGGTCAACTCCTGGGCAGACAGTGGGTTGTACCAGGTAGTCAGCCGCTCAATCTCACTGGCCTGTATAGGGAAAGAGACGGAAAGAATCAGTGGTCAAAAGCTCTATGAGCTTAAAGGGTTTAAAAGTTTTATCAATAATGCTAACTGGCCTAACCAGCATTTTTTGTTTCAGCTGCAGGTTTAGGAAGAGACTAGACTTGACAGAGGAGCAAAGAGTATAGGCTTACCAGTAAGGCCAATAGCAGTGTTCTGCGCTTCATGTAGTACTTGTGCAGCTGAGTGCCTCTGTTGCTCTTCTTAGACATTCCTGTGACAAACAAAGAAGAATAAAGGTATTTATTATTTGCATGGTTTGCATGTGGACTCTGCTTATGTAGAGTCTACTGCTTATGTAGTTTGACATACTGCACATTGTGAGTGACCAAAGTACAAACAAAATTCAGGCTGAAAGGGAAAACCCATTGCCTTTTTTAAAAAATTCTACATAATTAAATGGTCAAAACATTTCCAAATTCATTCAGAATGGTTTGATGTGAAATATTACATTCTAGAAAAACTTAACAAGTCGGAATTGTTCACAGCAGTGGTCATAGGAACCAGATGTCTAAAGAGTTTAATGCCTCAAAGCTCCCTTACAGAAAAATATTACATAAAATGGTTTCGAATACACTGATGTCTGAGATGTTGTGTTTGGACAGTTCTGAAGATTTTGGCCCAAAACGTATTTTTTAAAAATCCATTCATGATGCAGGGCATTTTCAGGCAAAATGGTCCCCAAAGAACATTTATTTTTTCAGATTTATCACTGTTTTAACCTTATCAACATACATATTAAAACACTAACCACTAGTGGTTTTGGATAGTAAATAAATGTTGTGTTTTGTAGACATCTCAAGTCAAGTTCCTATCACCACCACAGTAAAGAAAGAGCCGGTATGATTCTCTACAATGAACTGTTTTACACCAAACCAATCTGAATCACTTTGTTAAACCACTGAATTATGCAGGAATGTAAAAAAAATGGTAGAATTCTCCTTTATAGATGGCTGCTAATAGTGTCAGAATAGTGTCAGAAACCTTATGAGCAAGTATATTTGAGATTACTTAATATCTCATGTATTGTAAGAGACAGAGGAAGTGTTTTTTGTTTACAGTTTTACATTTTTGTACATTTGCTTGACTTTACACAGACATCAAACATCAGTTTGAGAGTGTGCGCAAGTCTGTTATTCTACTAATAACAGTCCTAGAGTCTGCTAATTTGGACCTAGCATTCATAGATTTTTTTGTGATGTAGCAGTGGATACAGCATGTCAGAATTATGAAACAAATTCACAGAAAACAAAGGCTTTAGTCTTTTTATTAATTATTTTTTATTTACTAAAATTGAAAGAAGCAGGATTACTGGGTGAAAAGGGAAAAAAAAGTTAAACACAATAATATAAGGTGTGCGTGCACTGCTGCAAGTCCCCCTGTAAAGCCTGAAATAATCATTAAATAGTCAAATGTGTTGGGTCTGATTTTGTGGGAATTTTCAGACCACGTCATACATCTTTACATATTAACAACTCACACACAGCCTCAAAAAGGAGGTCTGGCTCAGTGTTCAGGTCTTAAATGCAAAATCATCGTTATACTGATGAATATTTGACGACAATAGCAAATAATGCATCTACATCCATAGAAGATATGCCGTTCATCAAGTTCTGAATGAGCTCTCTTTGGAATACTCTTTCAACAAGCTCACAATCAGCATTATTATTATTATTATTATTATATAAACAACAGTAATAGTATTATTAGTAGAACAACAACATTTGTTGGCAAAAAGTGGCTGGTAAAAAATCTAAATGGGCATCCACCAGACACAGCGGGCAGGTGGACTAAAATGTTTATTGACCACAAGCCCAAACTTTAATCACAGTAGTCACTCCTGCACTACTGTAGCTAAATAAGTACTTTGTCTTAGACAAGTCAAACAGTGCATTGTGCACAAGCGGATACACAACGTCCGTCTGAGCCATTCTAGACTTCCCTGGTCAGCAGAGAGCTCAGAGCATTACCTGGAGTGTGAGGCTAATGCAATTATACAATTAAAATGAATCAGGGTTACGGAGCGGCCATACCTGATTTCTTGGAAGTGGTAGACATTCCACTGGACAGCGGGTATGTGTTGATCCAGCCTTGGGCACTCTGCTGGCGAGTGCCCACCGACATGTCCATGGTGTTCCTGGGGTCAGCGGCAGTCATCACTGACAGACTGTTCAGCGATGGATCCTGGTTGTCTGCCAAAAGCCAAGCAAAATGCTCTTTAGTTAAGTTTGCAGCTGCTTTCACTGTCTTTTCTGGACATTCTTGAATATTTTAATTACATATTTTTTTCCATTTTTAATTAAAAGAATTAAAAGCTCTATTTCCTTTTCTACTTCTCTGGTTCTATCTTTGTCTCTTTTTTACACCTGAACCATATTGGTCTTACAGATGATCTCAGAACGTTTTGTTTTCACCATGTTACAATCCAGCACATTCTGTTTTATTTGTTTTAAATATATTAGTAGCATTCAATAGATTAGTAACATTTGCACGAAACACTTTGACAATTATTAACTGAGACAAAATATCGGGTTTCTCAGTAGGCATCACACGGATGGAGAGGTCTTTGAGGAGCGGATGGTGCATAAATTAGTCCTCTGATACTGAAATGACCATGCATTGTACATGAGTGGGCTAATTCATGGATGAGAGAATGCTGTCTACAATGAAGGTGGTGCTGTAAGGGTCAGTGAAGGTGGCATCTGGGGGTGGACGAGGCAGAGCCGTTTCTCAATTTGTGCTCAGCGACAAATTGACGAATCGGGCGGCCGTGATGACAAAGTCGTGCACTTTTCGCGCATGCTTCAAATTTGCGCGACGGCAAATTTGAACTGCGTCAACATGCTCCTGGGGCACTGTAGATTCCACAGTTGGAGCAAGGCAGGCTTACTTAAGATCGATATCGGAGAAGTGCTGGAAACGATTAGCGATCCGAAAATCCCAGCAGATAGGGAGCTTTGAGGGGGATTGGCGCCAGGCTCACCCGGTGGCACGAGTTGGCTAGCAGCTAGGTACTTCTTGTCTGAGAGGATGCTGGCGTAGAACTTGATCATGACGCTGATGTCTTCACGCAAACGCTTGTCCCCTTGAGTGGGGAACTTGGACGCCACACTGACAACAGAGAAGAATCAGAGGGAATGTTAAACTCTTTCCTCATAACAGTGATTCTGAATACGATGGTTCATGATTCAACAGTGTTTCCAGATGCAAACATCAAAAATGATTTTTAGCTAAACTATCACTTTAGAAGACTGGAAGCCTATTTTGAAACTGAGAACAAAACAATACCTGAAGTAATCAAAAGCAGTGGAGTAGATCTTCTCTCTGAGCACGTTGCGGATAGTGGCATTGGTAACCACATCTGAATGGAGTAGGGCAAGGCCAAGCGTCAGCAACCTGCAAGCAAAGAACAACGGCAGACTTTCACTTCCAAGTGCTGCATTGTTTGTTTCTGGGTCATAAAACAAGGTATGAAACCAGAGCAACGGAAGCAGAAGTGCTGAGAATCAGCCGTGAACCTGAAGCGGGGTCCGATGGCCGCAACATGGCGGTTCAGGCTGCTCTTGGGGCCGCCTACGTTGAGTGAGAGTGACCTCTGGAGTAGGCTGCCGAAAATTTCCACCTGGTCAGCACTGCAGTACTTCGCAATCTCAAAGCGCTGGACGAGGAACTGTTAAGACCACGAACAGCAGAAAAAACAGTCTATAGATATGCTGCAATTTGATAAATTCATATATTTATATTAAAGTAATAGTTTGGTAAAGAAGAAATTCTACACAATATTCCCCTCAACTACTGTTTATTTAGCCAAATATAATTAAACCAGCCATGACAAAACAACTAAAGAAGCAAACTTCAGACACCAAACATGTCTTGGCTGATTGACTATATTTGGGCTGAGGAGAAAACTTGATATGAACATGATTTTTTACTGAACTATCCCTTTCACATATGTTACAGAAGAGAGTTCCCTTCATTTATAAAAAAGCTTAATACTGCTTCAATGGACGTAATAAACAATTACTATAAAACCATACTGAATTAAAGCTAGGGCTAGGTTGACACTATCACTATACTTTTAAGAATAAAGGTTCCAAAAAGGGTTCTTTGGAGCTATGCCACAGAAGAATCACATTTGGTTCCCTATAAAGACTTTCAGTAGATGGTGCTTTAAAAAAAATCATATTTGTAAATGAAAAAAATGGAGGGGGGTGTTCTATACCTGTTTTATTCTAGGAACCTTATGTCCAAGACAAGAAGCATTTATGAACCTTTATTTAAGAGTCTATTGGCAAATCAAACTGTGCAAACATTTTTTGTGTTCAGAAAATGAGCCCCTTCAATGAAAAACCATATACTGACCATTCAGCCTTTTTTGGATTATCAGTTATTTTGTTTTCTATTTTATTTTGTAAAATCTTTTATATTAAAAAAGCCAAACTATGCTTTATTTGCATTTTAGAAACACCTTTATTTTAAATACAAGGCATCAAACAATGCCATACCATGTTTTTAACATAGAATGTCATTTATTCTGTTTTTCGTTGAAAGGACTGAAATGACTGGCACTTAATTTTTTTTTCTCAATATGTATTGTTTGGTATCAAACATTGCAGAACTACAGTTGGTATCAGTATTAAAATCAAAATTCCAGTATCATGACAACCCTATTTCTAAGGTAAATTTAACAGTTGTATCAATGAATTTCATAGTTTTATTTCTTATCTTTGGCAGAATCTGTTGAACTGTAATTGAACTGTATAACCTGAAATTGAATTAACTAATTTTGATGTCTGATTATTCATTTTTTTAATAACATATGGGTAATCCTATACTTAATGAACACAATGTCAGATCAGACAGTAACAAAAGGAGAAACAAGAGCTGTTGTCTCCTGAGCTGTAGCCCTGAAGGACATGCGGAAACGCGCGCTATTTCTGGTGTAGATCATAAGGAGCTTTCCCACCATGCAAATCCAGCTGAGGCCCCCGAGCAGGTAGCTATGGATATGACCAGGAGCTTATGGGAGTGGATAAGGCAACACCAGCTCCACTGACCTCGATCCAGATGTAGTGGGGGGTGACATCGGGAGGGCAGGGCACAGGTTGACTCTCTTCTGATGCAGCCAAGGGGTCTGCCTCCACCTGGGCGTCGGAGAACAGCCCCATCTTCAGCTCCACCGTCATTTGCCATGCACCCGCCATCTCACGCATGAACTGCAGCCAGAGAATTTCAGCAAATATCACCAAATTGTCCTAACTCGCAATGCACACCATCCAGTACAGGTTTGACTTCTTTTTAAATGTTCTGAGTAAAGTTTTTCATTGGGACTTTTAGGTATGGTAAACAAGTATTTACTAAACCTCTGGGTGCATTGTGCAAGACTCAAAGTGTCTTATTTGCTATTAAAAGCAAGATTTACCTAAAAGACTGTTGGTACATCTAGGTGAATTAGAAGACCAAGGCTAGAAAACTCTGCCTTACCGGGACCTCAACACCAGCTCGAGCTGCTAAAAGCCATTCCCAGCAGGCTATAGCCGTCTCCATTCCGTTTTCTGTAAACATCTTCAGTGGGGACCAGCACAGGTGATGCAGGAGCTGTGGGTCACAATCTGCAGCACATATATGCATATTCATTCTTATTACATTCTTATTTAGAGTAAACTGTAAATGCTGTCAAAAGAATTTTGACACAGTCCAAAACCAGGGCTGTGACAATTACTTTTAAGCTTGATTGCTAAACTGAATCTAAATTTATTAACTGTAACCACTGCTACATCCATTGTAAACATGCCTATGCGCATCCTACAGTGGTGCCACAACAGTTTCAAGAGTAATATTTTCCTGCTTAAAGACTAGTAAACTCCCCTACTGATGATATATCTTGAACGTGGTAGGAACTTTAGAAAAACTACAAATGCCTTTTGTCGAAGATATTTGAGGGGAGTTTGTTTAAAATGACTTTTTTCTGCTAGATGGCTAATGCAGAAGGAAGCCAGATAGCTAAACTTACTGCTGGAAGCCCAACATCATGACTGTATTTATTAGCCTCTGCATCTGTGCAATCCACGCTTGTTATTGTAGTGAAAGAACAGGTACAAAAAAATCATTAATTTTGTCAAACTGATGACGGGATGCAATTCTGCTCATCAAAATATTACATGACAAAAACATATTAAATGCTAGTTTTAGGCCATAAAGTCACTTTAATATATTATATCTAGAGGGTTAAAAGGGCTGGGTGTGGGGGCCATGCCTTTAGAGATGATGAGGAGAGCTGCCATTTTGAACATGGCTTCAGTAAACGCTTCTGGCTGCCCTCCTTCCAGAGCCTCATTCAACTGCCGAATCATCAGTTTATTCAGGTCTGAGGTGCTCCGCGTGGCCTCTGAGAAGTGGATCATGCCTGCCACCTAAATGTAACACGCACACACACGCACCACTTTAAGAGCTGATTTGAAAGATGTTACTTATCACCCCTGCCGTGAACCCGATGCCATTAAAGTAAACAGGTTAAGTATGAAGACGTAGAAATCGATAAGGGATTATCCACACCTCTCCAGCGTAACGATTCCTCAGGTTCAGCGAGGCCATGAAGTTGGAGTAATCTTTCTTAACGCAGGCTGGCCTCTCCGTGAGCTGAGTGGTCTGGAGTCAAAACACATTCCTTAGTACACACAGGATTCATAGACTTTAACACAAAGAGACACAGTGTTACCAATGTGAAGCACTGCTCTTACGAAGCACTGAAGATTATGTCAATGGCGCCCCCTTTAAGGAATTTTTAGCCTGCTAAATGTGAGTGAGTGACTAGTCTACTACTAAATCCACTAGTCAGCGCTGTGGGCAGCAGTCGACTAGTTTAGGACACTGTGGTTGTAAAAACTGCAGGGAAGAAGCAGGAGAGGATTGCAGCAATCAGTTTTTCTGCCAAACACAAAGCTCTTTTTTAGTGTGGAAATACTACACAAAATACTATACTGCCAGCTGTGAAATACAGACTTTGAAATACTGGCTCATAAGCCAGACTGAGTGGGCCTGTTTAAATTCTCTGTGTATGTATGTACGTTTCTGAGAGCTGTGGTGACTTTAGCATGCGGTTTACCTCAGACAGTCTATGTACTAGTGTTGTAGTACTCAAGACCATAAACTATTGGTCACAGTCTTGTCTCAGCCTCAACATCATTTGGACAAAGTCTTGTCTTGGTCTCCAGATACGGTAGACTTGGAGTGCAATGCCTCTTTCTAAAGTAACTGGAAACTGAATTATTACTGAATATCAACAAAACCAAAAACAAACATTCCTTTCTCCATATTGGGGTTCCCAAACTGCAGCCCACATAAACAACCACAAAAGCTTCCCACACAAACAACCACAAAAGCTTCCGCGGTCCATAAGATTTAACAGGCCAAATTGTTTTTTATGACTCACTTAGCTAATGTGATAGCTGATATTTGGCATCTACTGAGTGCTGGATGCCAGGCTGAGAACAGAAACCCTGCAAATGTCATTCTGGCTCGGTTCGACATGTTTAGATACCTATTCAATATTTTTAGTCTCCAAGAGACAGTGTAAATTGTTGGGTTTCAAAGCTTCATTTGGAAACACCCCTGAGCAAACAGTGGTAGTCACTCGTTTTTTGGTTCCCACGCAGGTGAAGTCTAGCATTACATATCCCCTGCTGTATTTTTTTTCATTTTAGATATGCTTGCACTGAAAATATAACTAGCTGGCATTTTCCCAGAGCAAACAATGAGTTTAATATAAATGTGTTTTATTTTTGCAAATAATCAACAAATTTGTCATGTTTAAAATTGCGTTTGGTTAAATGTCTATATCGAAACAATGTAAACCAAACCTGATTGCCAATGCCCCCTAGCAGTACCACCATGGCCCACTGGTGGGGCACAGCCCACAGGTTAAAAACCAGTGCTGTATATTTGCTTAAATAAGTTCACTGCCAGTTAAGGAACTAATTGTTCCTTTCCATGATGGCTTAACTGGGTATTACTTGTTTGCTGATACTCATTAGTTCCAAATTACAAATTCCCCTGAGGTCAGACTGGAATCTTATTATTGCAATGTTTTCATTTAATAACAAATGGATGTTGTTTGGGTTAAGTATATATGACTTTTTATGACTCTGAGTGTTGATTCTAGCGGTCTTAATTACAACACCACTGTGTACTTCTGTGGGCAGAAGTCCTGAGGTTAAAACTTACTGAAATAAAACAAAAAACTGTTCTGCAGTGGATACAACACACCTCAAATCACAGCATCCACAGCTATAAGAAAACATTTATCAAAATACCAGACCACTCACTTTTTTCAGTACGCAGTAATGACAACTAGTTGACTACTTTTTTTAAATGACTAGTCGGCTGTGACAACAGAACAGTCGAGAATAAACACTTTTGCAAGTTGCTCTGGATAAGAGCATTTGCTAAATGCCATAAATGTACTAGTAAATGTCCTGCAACACCTAGACAGAGTGAGTGAATGAGTGAATTACAAGTCAGTTCCATGTGGTGCCTCTCATCTGAAAATCTAACTCAAAAGACGATGATGTCAGCTTATAAAATAGGGTGAGCATATCACGATAAAAATAGGGTAAGCATATTACAATATTTTGACATGCATAACGCACATGTAGCTCCATATTTAAAAACTACCCTTAAAAACTGGGTGATTTTTAACAACATAATTCTGCTCTTGTTTTAATGAAACATGCAGTTAGTTAGTGCTATGTAAGTACTGATGATATCCACAATATCAGAAAAACATTTTATTACGATAACAAAATTTATCACAATAATGATAAAATATTGTTATACTGGCCATTTTTACATAAAAATTCATAATGGTTTCTAGTTTGGTGTTTTGTTTTACTGTCTATACTTCACTACTGTGTAAATAACTCCAATTACATAAAAATAAAATCTAGCAAAATAATCAATCAAATCTGTGAGGTCAAAAATTTAGACCCCTAAGCAATTCCCATTTTGCATTTTCAAGGTGAAATTAATAATCTAAAGTGTAAGTCTATACGCTTATGAAATACTCACTCCCAGAGTGGTACTCTGCCGGTTGTAGCCAGCAAAGTGCAGAATACTTTCTGTTGCCATGGCGAGGCCAGTGTGCTGAGACAGGCCTGATACCCAGTTCTGGTGCTTGTTCAGGTACTCCTGTGGCAGAGACAGGGACATGAGAGCTTACAGTCTACACAGTACACAAGCTTCTTGGAATTCAGGACGACAGAATATTTATCACATTGAACACTTAAAAAAAAATCAGGTTTACCTGTAGATGAGATTTGGTGACAGATGGTGCCCACTTCATGGCCTCCTTTAGGATCTCCCCACAACGTGCAGCAAAGTCCTTCACAATGCTCTACATAAGAACACCAGCACAATTGGAATTTCAATCAGCTGGAGGGATATTTCATGAAAACTGGGGCCCAACTGATATATTATTTTACGCTTACAGTTTAGACTTTACTTTTCCATCCAGTAGCAGATTAGAGTGTGAAACTGGCAGACATAACTGCCTGTCCTCAATTGTTACACTTTTTCACATTCAAATAAGCAAAAACAACTCACACTTAAATTGTGTTTGTATATATATGTGTATACACACACACACACACAAACACACACACACACACACACACACATTATATTAAATATTGACTTTAATGCAAATAACACACCAGCATGAAGTATGTCACAAACAGGCATCTACAGGATTCTGAAGAAGGTGCAGCAATTACATTCTCCCTTAGGGTGGGCAATATGACATTATCTTATCTTGCTATAAAATTATGCCACAAAAAACTTTTCCGCAGCACACCACCGGTAATTTCTGGAATGCTGACTAATTGTATGCTTCATCAAAATACACAGATTTACACCAATTGTAGAAAGCCTGTAAACAACACAGTTACACTGTCCAATTAAAGCTGTATAAAAGCAGCTGTTTGCAAGTAAGCCTATTACATTTTTACCAATTGTTGGATATTTTCTCATGTTTATTAAGATATTTCTTGTTGAAAATCCTTGTTTTCTTATTTTTCAAATTTTTTCCAACGTGCTAGTTTTGCTTGTGAACCCCTCAGAAAATCACATTATTATATTTTTGCCACATCATCCACTCTTAATTCTCCCTATGCCAAACCTCCGTCAACAACTAAGTGAATTTCCCACCACAGCTTACCTCTCTGGCTTCATAAGTGTCAGGAACGGTGATGCGGTATGGGGTATCTGGGATGTCATAATAAGGCTGATCTTTGTGAATGTCCTGAGAAGTGAAAGAGTTAACTGTTGATTAAGATGTTAACTATTCATGCATGCTGTATGTTATTGAGAAGATGGGTTCTGATTAACAGCTGCTTGGAGTAGAGAAGGTAACAAAACTCACAGCGCTAAGCGACAAGGAGAGGGTCTGTAAAATATCCAGCATCGTCTTCAACACACGTCCGCTCCACAGCAGGTGAGGGAATCTAGAAACAAAATACATCAGAGTAATATACATTTTTCATCCTCACATTCATATTTCTAATTCATATTTCATTATGTTAAACTTTCACTGAAAACAAAAAGGTAAAGAAACATAATAAGAACATTATATGACAATATACATTAGTAATGTGTTAATGACACTTTAACAAGGCTAATTATTAACGACTCATTACAGTACTGTAGGCTGAAGACCAGTTGCTCATGCACTGCATGTTGCAATGATATATTCTGTGATTCTAGCTCTCTGTTTCAAATACAGATTTAAAATGGTTTTAAGATTTAAGATTTAAAAAAAAACAAAACAAAAAAAAAATAAAAAACAACTTCGGCACTTTTGGCATAAAACTGTGTCGGAAGAAGACCTATAGATAAATTCAATGAGCAACACAGCAACTAAAAGCAACAGTAAAGCAGAGAGTTCTGGTTCTACTCTAGAGCCTCTACTGTAACAAGAATACACAAGCTGTATAATGAGATCGACAGGCTACTGTTGTGTTGGGAGTTGGAACCTTGGACTGTATATGAAATATACGCTATATGGCCAAAAAAAAGTGGACAACCCTCCTAATTATTTAGTTGCTGGCAGGTGTATAAAATCAAGCACATAGCCAGGCAATCACCATGCCAGTAAAATGTGCTGTACTGAAGAGCTCAAGAGGTCATAAGATGCCACCTTTGTCACAACACACAGTGCACGTAGAGAGTAAAATGGTCCATCCTCTGTTACAACACTAACTACAAAGTGGTTGATGTCCACCACAAATGGTTAATATCAGTCGGGTCCTACAAAAAAAAAAATCCTTTAAAAGCCACCTCACAATCCAACAACCACATATCTGTGGATATGAATAAAGCAAGAAGGGCTGAAGTTGAGATGAGGGCAACAATTCTCAGTATGTTCAGTGCATGTTTGTGTTTTTCTGAAAGAACTGTGCTCTTACGTTTCAGCCAGGCCTGAAAGGTATTTGTCGGCCACCCGTCTGATCCTTTTGTGAATGTGATTGAAGTTGACCAAAAGGAACTGAGCATGCCGCTCCAGCTCTTCTTCGTGGGCCTTTGTCTTGGGCTGGGACAGAAAAAAAATGGCCATTGGAGCTCAGCAGTGGTTGCATTTAAAACTGTCAAAAATTCCAACTCCATAATTATGAAGCTACCTTATCTGCCATCATTTGAAGAAAGACATCAAAGACCTTGTCGCCAACTGCAATCACACACTGCATCATCCCTGAAGAGTAAAGGAGAAACAATGCTAACAAATAAAAGCATACATATTGGCGACAGTATTTATTTGTTATTAATATAAGATATCTAGTCGCTATTTCCTTCAACAATCGTTCAAGTCACTAGCCCACCTGATTTGTCTTTCTGGATGGCTCGGTCTTCAAAATAACGGAACATCACCTGGAAACGATCTGAATCCAGAGAGCGCAGCATTCTGGAGAAATTCAGAGACCAATGATTATATGCGTGTACATTAAATCAAGGCAAATTTCTACAAGACATCTAAAACAGAAGATTTCATTTGGTTATTTTTCTTTGTTCTCTGGATAATTCCATGCTATTTTATAATTTTAATGTCTTCACTGAAAAACTATGCATGAAATGCATAAGTGCATCCAAGCTTTTGATGGCATATATAAAACAGAACATTCAAAATACCTCATATATTCCAGCCGGTAGACTGAGAGCAGATAGGTAGACATAGCAAAGTCCAGCTTATTGATGAGAGCTGCTACTTCGGGTGGGGGATCCAGTAGGTTAATGATTGTGCTTCTCAAATCATTCAGCTCAGCCTGTAAACAAACCTACTGAGTGAGTCCACCTCAAATCTCATCCAGTACACCAATCAACACATTTAAACACAAAGATAAATCAGTAAAAGGTAATATTTCAGCTTGAGATAATGGCTGATCATTTTCAGCACTGCAGTGACAATGATGTGGTGGTATGTTAGTATGTGCTGCGCTGGAGTTTTTAAACACTGCTAGAGTTTTTAAACAATTGCTGTCCACTCTATAAGACACACTTATCTTACTGGTCCACCTTTCGTACACTGCAGTCATTTAAAGTGCTTTATAAATGAGAAAATACAAAGATGATTCAAATTAAAATTTTAAAAACAAATTAAAAACATGATTATAAACAACATATTTAAAAGAAATAAACATTAAATTAAAAGTTAAATTCAGATAATAAAGTGTCATTACAGGATAGAAGTGCAATAGAGCTAACAATGTTTTAAACTGCCTGGATTTGAAAGCGTCTGTCAACTGGTTTCATTTGAGATCAGCCTAATACCCAAACGCTGCTTCTTCATGTTTAGTCTTCACTTTTGGCAGGACTAACTGACTAGTTCCTAATGATCTGAGAGTTCTGCTCAGCTCATATTGCTGCAGCATATTAGATAAATACACTGGTCCTACACCATTAAGCAATTTTTACACCAGTAATAGTATCTTGTATCTACCAGTAGCCAGTGGATTTAAGAATGGGGGTGATCTGTTTCCTTCTTTTACTCCTAGTAAGAACTCTGGCAGCTGCATTCTGAATCAACAGAAGTTGTTTGGCTGTCATTTTTGGGAGTCCAGTTACGAGACCATTACAGTAATCAATCCTGCTAGCAATAATGTGTGGATGAGTTTCTCCAGGTCTGGTTTAGTCAGAAAATGTCTAATCTTGTTAATGTTCTTACGGCAATAAAATGCTGAGTTAGTAACTGCTATGACTGCTAAAACTGAGATCAGAGTCCATTAATATACAAAGATTACATGCTTGTTACTTAGATTTTAAGGCTCTCGAAAATCCGGAACATTTATTCTTGTAATAAGGTATAAATCTTTTTGAAAACAAGAAATTCTTGATACTTTTTTTGTTTGTTTGTATACATTTACACAGACTGCTGAGATAAATGGTTTAAACCATTTGCTTGGGTGCCTAAAGGTTTTGCACTAGTGTATACAGATAAAAAATACTGCCCACAATTTCCATATCAGTGCCCCACTTCAATGTACTGCCATTTTAATATATGCAAGTTTGACCTAATGGCTGCTTTACTCTGTATTAAGTTGTAACAGGTTCCACAACATTAGGTTCCACAAGATGCATTAAACCCTACCGGAGTAACTGTGTCATTCTTCAGAGCGGAGTTATATTGCAGCTCTGAACGCAGGGGCTCTCCACTGGGGAACGTCAGCAGAGGGGATTTGGTGGCTATTTCACAAACACCCTCATACCACTCCTCCGGCCACAAACCTGGAAGAGACAGCACACAATCAGCGCACTTGTAGAGTCACAAAATTGCTATCATCAACACTGATACAGTCACCATGTAACCACAGCGTCATGTTTTGTATGGGATTCTGCATTTCAATTACAACTCACCCGAGCCTTCCACAGCGAAGCCCATGACAACGGAATACAGCCAAAAGTCTCTAAAGAGCTTCTGCAGCCTCGGTTTAGCCTCCTTTATTGGTGGCAGACGCCTGGTCAACTGGAGATAACAGTGACAAGGTGAACTGGCCGTATAGCAGAAAATAAAGCATCTGCAAATATGCACTTGTTTTTAATTTGACAAACTGCAGAGGGCACTATGTAGAGTGTGAAAGGCATTAGCTCAGGCCCTGATAAGGAACAGCTTTTGACTTTGAATAAATATTTTACCACAGCGATGACAGGAATGAGCACTCCTAAATTACCAGCACTGCTTGAGGCCTGAAAGAAAATGGAAATAAGCATCAGAGATGTGTGATATTAAGGAAAATGTCATTTTGCAATATTTCTGTTTTTTGCAATAAATACTGGGATATATGGAAAGGAATAAAGCAGTCAAAAATTGACCCAGATAAAGTATTCCCAAATGGACCTAATTATGACTTTATGAAAGGATTATGTAGGCAGAATAATATGGACAAAGTACAGTATTGAAATTATCAGTGACTTAACCATGACTATTAGAGCTAGGCCTTAAGTTTGGGCAATAAATGTCAAAAATTAGTCAAAGATTAACCATTAAGATATTGCTCATTTCTGTTAGCAGCCCTATGGAATTTCTAGTAGTATGTTAGCACCAAGCTAACAATGACAGATGTTAACCTTTTTTGGCTGTTCTAGATTAGTTAGAAATAATCATTAGCTTTAATTAGACTTTTGTTTGCATTTTTTTTTCAACTTTCAATGTTATTATTTTCAATATATTTGAAGGTAGTACAAAATAATTGCTAGTGGGAACCCTCTGAGTCGTCTAATGATTTCTGGCAACTAAAAATACATGTCATTTACACATTTTATTTTGTATGCAAAAGTTTAAACACATCTGGTCAAATGAATGTTTGGACATGTAAGGATTGGTCTGCATTATTTTTGGCCAAAATTGTTTATCACACCATCACACCCAGACATCATCTGTGATTGGTCAGAGTGCCCACAGCACACAATAAAACATTCAGTGACTGGTAATATACAATAAGACATGCCAGAAAGGATATATTGTGCAGTCCTAACCCACACTTTTGCGCTTCATGTTTTTAATTTTTCAAGATTTAAGACTCTAAAAGCGCCCCAAACAGTCCACACTTTTGATTGCAATCATAACTTCTCTCTAACCAATTCACTGTGACCTATTAATGGATTCTGAACTTTACAATCTTAACCTCTGCACTATTACAGTTCAGATTCTTTATCTTTGCTTTCTGTGTATTAAAACGTCTCTGCCATTGCAAAACCATGAATTGTACCAAATCCTCTTATGCTGACATCTCTGCAGTTATCTAGTATGGATTAATACAATGGCTGTTAGCACCAGTTTAAGCCTCTTTCAGCAGGCTTTCAATCTTCCCCAAAAAGTCTGATAAGAAACCACTGGCAGAACTGCGATAACACCTCCATGTTAGCCTAGCTAACTGGCGTTCGGAATACAGCATTCCATGCTTCACGTTTGACAGTTTTAGCTGCCAGTGTAAAATGCTCTTCTCAGTCTTGACTGGTTGGTCCTGTTTCAGGGCCCACAGAAAAGGTGTGAGCTGTATCCAGATTACTGTTTAGTTGAGCTAAACACATACAGTCAGCTACTGCAGGTTATAAGGTGGCAGCAAACAGGTCAGAAGGAAGTATACTTTTTAATACAGTATTTTGCAAAGGTCAGAAATCACTCCTCATTTATTTAATTTTCAGTTAATCGGCCATTAAGTAAAAGTAAATTTTTTTTAGGAGAGAAGTGGAACATGTATTTAAACAGAAAATCATCTACACAGAAGCCTCGGCAACCCAATATAAAATCAAATTATTCAGTATTTAGTGTCTAAACACTTTATCTTATTACAGCTTACATTATTTTTTTCATTAAATCTTTCTTTTAATTCAATTTTCTTGAACTTTTCCCTTCTTTATGCAAGTGGATTATCTTATATCTTAATCTCATTAGAAATATCTCCTGAAAAATGAATAACTTGTATATAAAGGCCATTTTAACTGGAAATTAAGTAAATGAAGAGAGGTCTCTGACTTTTGGACAGTAATGTACACACGTCTACTTCACCAAACCCAATTTTACTGTTTATTTTCTTTCATTATTTACATTCCTTTTGTCTTTCTTGTTTCGTCTACCTCCCCCTCCAGCTCATTACATTAAATAAATGACATTCATTTGAATTGCAAATAAGAATCGTACACGCTCCCATGCATACACACTATACTATTGCATATACATAAGAGAGTGCACATGCGGATACCTTAAGCGCGGGGCCCTTCTCGCTGGCTCTCTCACTGGCCCGTTTGCCCTCCAGGCCGAGCTGCACGAACAGCTCCAGAAGGTTCACCAGCAGCTCATCCACCATGTGCTCGGCCTGCAGGTTGGCTGCAATGTTGGCCAGGGCATTGATCACCGCCAGAGAACAGTGTCTGCCCAAAGCATGAACACAGTTGTCAGCCACAGGTGTCAGGACATTATTCTTTAAAAAAAAACTGGGCATTAGGTTACCCCCCTGCTAGGTACATTTCATCCCAGTCTGCTAAAACTGCAGTTTAAACGATAATCAAATTTACCCTGTTTTCCCCTCATCCCTCATGTGGACAATCAGCAAAGACATGTTTGGTGTCCAACAACTGCTTCTTTAATTGTGCACTGAAGCTACAAGGCTAGCTAACAAGTAGCTGACAGGTAATAGAAGCTTATACCAGTTTTTTTGCACAGTTGTTAAGTAATCGCAAATAGACTTGCTTATTTGGTTTCTGATACTTCATAACTGTTATCTGTCATCCACAAAAATGAACAACAAAAAAAAGATTAATTTTTTAAAGACAACAGTACAGACGTGAGTTTAAGGCAGTTTGATTGTGCTAACAACTGCAATGGACTGACAACCTGTCCAGGGTGTATCCTGCCTTCCGCCCAATGACCGCTGGGATAGGCTCCAGCACCGCCCCGCGACCAACAGTCTGTGCATTGTTAAGGGCTTTATAACGTAGATAAAGAAGCTGTTTGATACAAAAGTTGTGAAATGACAGGAAGTGACATAAGCAGTTACCGGTATCCGTGGTCTTTGTAGTCTTTGGTGGAATATACCATAGAGCTGGCTTTCACACTTATTTGCTGAAATAAGTTCCAGACTTCCTGGTATATGTATTGCTGAAAGAAAATAAACAAAAAAATTGCAAGACAATTTATTCCAGGTGCATATGAAAATGCTAATATTATAAGCAGCATGGCATCATTACCATTAATGAGACAGCATTTAATGCAAACAAAGACAAAGTCTTGAAATGCAAGCGTGTGTCTATGTAGACATACATTTCCAGTGATGACCATGCAGCCCAGCTGGTCAATGATGAGTACATCGAGCTGTGAGGGCGGCTGGCAGAACTTTTGCTGAAGGATCTGCAGGATGGGCTCCATCACACGTGGGGTGTCCCTCAGTGCCACCGCAATGTGCCCCAAAGCCCGGATGGTGTGGTCCGGAATGAGATGGGCGTCCCTTGAGAAAAACAGCTAGTGACATTACCTTCAACTCAATTCCACTGTCAAGGACACGGCTTATATGAGACATTTTTACTTGAGTAGATTGGGAGAACTGAAAAGAAAAAACGAACCGAAGCTTATTATCCATCAAAGGACACATCTAACGACCTGCTTAGCACTTGAGACCCCGCACAATAACATACTTGTCATTTTCCTGGGAGATGTAGAGACGGTTGGAGAGGCTGGCAAGAAATGCTTCCACAATGACTGCATCCATGGTTAGTCCTGCTTTCAAGCATCTAAAATAAATAGATAAAGAAGATGGTAGGCTGTGAGGAAATCAAGGCTGAGCTTGACTAAAAGAACAAATCCTACAGACAGAACAAGCATGAAGACTGCTGTGGTGTATTACAGTTTATTAGTGAAAAAATCCTCAACATTGTTAGCATAATAATAAAGCTTTGGTGATTATACCATAACGATAAAGCATAATGATTTAAGATTACATTTTTAATCCTTTGAAACCTAAAGGCCTAAAAAAATGCACGTAAATGGCTTCAGTCAATATTTTAAATTGTATTCTCAGACTCTGCATATCATCACTGTCAAAAAACAAATCAAGCATCTCCAAAATGGAAGCTTTTCAGGAGAAGCCAAAGCATTTACTTTTAATCTAAATGAATGTAAAACTTTTTATTCCAAGCAATTTTGGAGCATCTCTACTGGCTATTTATCATGAATTTTTTTACACACCAGAAAGGGCAGTTGCTAAAAACTACCATATTTGCCATTCTAAAATAACTTACATTTACACATTCATTAAGATGAATTGCACTAATTTATTCAAAATTCTGCACAATTAAATTGCTAAGATGTACACAAAATCATTCAAAATGAGAAATGTAAGAATTCTTCACAGTGTTGGTGATAGGAACCAGACATCTGAAGCGTTTAACACCTCTCACAGTCCCCTTTTGGAATAAAACATACTTTTTGAAGACCATTCATGGTGAAAAGGCACATGCTGGGTGTTGAAAGGCAAAATACTACCCGCTATTCAACCATCAATGTTACATGTAAAATCTCTGAAGACACATGTAGGTTTATTGGCTGCTTTGGAGAGTAAATAAAATGGCTAAATTTGCCTTGTAGCTATCGCAACCCCTGGTTCCTATCACCACCATTGTAAAGAAAACTAAATCTCTAAATTTCTCTACAATGTACAGTTTTACATCAAACCACTCAGAATGACTTAATAATTGAATTACACAGGGGCAAGAAGGCGCCTGCATTCAATTCCCAGATTTCTGTGTGGAATTTGCATGTTCTCCCCGTGTCTGCGTGGGTTTTCTCCCACAGTCCAAAGACATGCAGTCAGGCGAACTGGAGATGCTAAATTACCCCTAGATGTGAATGTGTGTGTGAATGCATATGTCTGTGTGCCTGCCCTGCGATGGACTGGCGGCCTGTCCAGGGTGTTTCCTGCCCTCTGTGGTATGTATTACAGTGTGTATTATGCAGAATCTTTGAAAAAGTAGTGGAATTCCCCTTTAAAGAAACCACAAAATTCTGAATGGCAAAGGCTAAGAAACATAAAACATAATCTTTGTTATGGATCTATGACCTATGGATCTATAACTCTAGTCAGAACTTATTTGTGGAAATTTAATGATACAAATCAGCATCTGAAAGATTGTGGCAACAATGTCATACCCAAGACCACATTCACTGGGCTGTGAACCATAAATCTTAATGTGAATGAAGTCAATCAAGCAAATCTTTAACAGGCCGGTATTTGCTCACCTGCAAATGTTATCTATGGAGATGTCTCGGAGTTGTTCATACATGGAGGGCTGACTTTTCTTACTGGAGTGAGCACTGAAGGTGGACTGGGAATGCTCATTGGTTACATGGATCTTGATCTCTCCAGTCCCTTAGCAAAAGAAAAAAAAAGGAGTAAGGCATTTCCAGCAACTCACTGTAGTCTGACTTCTTAAGCAACTGAAAAACAGATTTTTCCCTATTTAAGATTTGCACAAAACTTGAATTATATTGGTTCTAATATATTGTAGTATACAAGATAAGAAAGGTCACCGGTGGTGTACTGGCTGTGGTATTTGTAGAGCTTGACCAGCACGGGAGATGGCACCACCAGGAAGTCTCTCAGTGACATGGTGACGGAGTGGGCCACCACTGGAAAACGCTCACACAGACGCCCCAGACCCTAGAACCACATCATTTCCATCAATTTCCATCAATACATCCATCACACTAATATAATACTATTCATTTCATATGTATATCTGTTGTATGAGCATTATTCAATTTAATTTTTTTTTCTTTATTTGGCCATTTTTCAATATTGCAGGCCTCTTCACTGTCAGCCAACATAAAGGGGTAAAGGTCCTTATACAATATGTTTAAAACCTATCGACGCCTTCCTTCAAACTGCTGGTCATGCCCTGTCGAGCACATTACCCAAGTGCTCCACAGACAGCACTCAAACCTGACTCCCAGCTGTCGGTGATGCTTCAACAATACTGAACAGTGTTTTAACGTGCACCCTCAGGCAGTTATGTATAATAGTTTTCAATACAAAATCTGTAAACATTTTCCAATAAATTCTCCCAATGCCTTTAGGTCAAGAATCTGAAAAAATAGAAACACACAAGGTCAGTACTCAAACCTTTTACAGTGCTGGATCAGTTTCTGTGTCTACTCACAGGGATGTAACTATCTGAAGGTGGTGATTCAACTGCAATGATTTTACAATTCTAGAATTGATTAAAATAATATTTAGTAAAGTATAGCTGTAGGAAACGTATCACTGCTCTGGTGAGCCATTTCAGATTATTTATGAAAATAATGGATGTTGTGTTCTCTGAGCCAAAGAAGAAATAAACCACCCAGATTGTTACTAGTGTAAAGTTCAAAATCCAGTGTCTTGTCACGGATGGCTTTGTATTAGAACTCATGGTATGGGTAAATTGCACATCTGTGAAGGCATGAATAATGCAGAAAGATACACATTTAGGAGCAACATATATCACCTTCTAGACCATGTCTTTTTCAAGGACATCCATGCTTATTCATTTTCAGCATCACATCAAGTCACATACTGCACGTCACAACAGAATCACTGTGTTATCAGAGCATGCAGGTGCTATACTGGCCTACTTGCAGTTCAGACCTGTCTCCCACTGAAAACACGAGGGGCATGATCAACCTTGAAATTAGTCAACGTTCCTACTTTCATTGGACGTTAACCTAATCAAGAATGTATCCTACGTCTTGTAGACAATTTTTAAATGGTCCACTTGTCATGAAACTTTGTAAAGTGTAAGCAGTACTTTTTTCAAATTATGTAAAAAAATAAAAATTACCAAAATGGACATATAAGGTCCTAACAGTGATGATATGCTGCTTCCAAGACTCCATCTTTTACGGGACATCCATGCTTATTTCAGCATGACAACAACAAGCCATATTCTATGTGTGTTCCAACATCATGTCTGCGTAACCAGAGCGTGCGGGTGCTAGACTAGCCAGCCTGCTGTCCAGACCTGTCTCCCATTGAAAATGTGTGATGCATTATGAAGCTCAAAAAATTACAATGAAGGCCCTGTATGATTGTGCAGCTGAAGACCTGTGTAACAGAGGAATGGGAAAGAATTTTGCCCTTTAAAACTCCAAATGATTAGTAAATGTTACTAAAAGGTGATGTAAAACAATGTTAAATATGCTCCTGTCCTAACTTTTTGGGAACATGCTGTAGGTATCAAATTTGGAGTATGCATTTATGAAGGGCAAAACATCATGTCACATATCATGCTTTTGTACTGTTTTCAATTACTGCTTTCTGTATTTATTAGCATTTCTTTTACTGTCCCAACTTTTCTGGAATTGAAGTCTGAGTTCTTCTTCTATAACTGTGAACACTAACCTGCAGACAACAGATGAGCAGAGGCATGTGCGCAATGATGACTTTACTGGACGTTTTGGACTGCAGCTTCTCCGACAGCTTAGTGCAAAGATTCTCAGCGCCTACCAGCAACACAGTAAAATAACAATAAAATCAATTCAATTAATTATTCAATTAAATTGAACACACCACAATACTACCTAATAATCAATTGATATTACATACTTCAAAGATACAGAAGAACATCAAAACTTTTTCCAGCTAGTAACCTTACCCTGTTCCTCAGTGACTGCCCAGACCATGAGGTCCACACAGGCAGCGTTTGCCTGGCATCGCAGTTTGAGTGGGCTGAGCTCACTATGCAGATATTCTACATCATGCAGGATGCGCTGCAGCTCAGACTGGCTGCTGCTGAACTGCTCCAACACAAAGTCATGCACCTCCTTCACAAAGGACGTCTGCAAGTCTGTACACAAACAAACCCAGGGTCACCAAAAAGAACAAAGCAGGGATGCGTCCATGTCAACTTATTCACCAATGATATCATCCTGGTAAAAAGTCTGGAGCTCTCCAAGTTTTACTTCATTTTCCTCCATGGAGTCTTTACGGTTTGAAGGAGCTTCTTTAAAGAAGCATTATAATATTTTTTTAAAATATTACAAGCAAGGTGCTAGACTGAGGGGGAACATAAAGATTCATACCTTCCTGTCTAACAAAACCAATTAATTTGTGATTTTAAACTGATCAAAGTAAAAAGTAGTTAAAACAAAACAACTGTATGTACACTCTCCAGACATGCTGTAAAAGATATAATGCTTCAAACCCACTCACCTTTCATATAATACAGAGTGTCCCTCAACATTTTAAATATGGCCACATACAGAGGGTCACTGAAGGTTTTGTAGAAGAGGTTAAGACTTGGATTACTCTGTAACAGAAAGCACACATCACAAATTAAACACAATTCTTCCTTACACTTACAAGTCAATGGTGAGTAATAATTTGTGCACGTTACCTCTAAAACCTCAACCATTGTTTGATCCAATGTCTTTAAAAATGACTCAGCAACAAACTGCTCAACCTGTCCACAAAGAGAAAGAGCAGATTACATTAACTGTCCATGGTAAGTAAGTAGAACTCAGGTTTTTGTGAATGTATGGAGCTTCCAAGTGAAACTTTCACCTAGGAAGCAGAATATGAGTGCTGATATGGAGCACTAACCATCTGAAGGAGCTGCCTCAGCATATCCAAAGGAACGTCAAATTCCTTAGTGCTGCTGCCAGTGAAGAGAGGAGAGACAGAGAAACTGGAGCTGATGTTGGAAAAGTAGTAGTCCGGGTCTACAGTGCTGCCATCAGGCAAGTACGATCCAGCTGCAACACGTACACATACACTGGTCAAAACCTTGGTTAATCACATGTCCACTTCAAAGTCCCTTAAAACAGCATTAAAAGTGAAATCAGGAGCTGGTACCATGGCATCTACATGTATATGGTCATTGCATGCACTTGCACTTTAACTCAAAACCTCATTATCTTAGCAATTCCCGCTTCCATCAATTAGACACTCATTTGCCAGTAACACCCAAGGTGCAAAATACAGGGGTCCTGTGGGGTCTGGGCAGTGACGATACTCTTGAACCCTACAGTGAGGGAATCCAGTGGCTCTATTATGCTGTAGGGTATATTTTATATTTGGGTCCACTTGTCCCCTTAACGGAAAGAGTCACTGCATAATCAATATAAATTTATCCTGACTGACCACCTTTATCCTATGATGAAACATTTCTATGCTGTTGGCAGTAGTGACAATGCCCCCATCCAAAGGGCATGAAAGGTCACCAAATGGTTTGATGAGCGTAAAAATCATGTAAATTCTATGCTATGGCTTTTGAAGTCACCTGATCACAACCCAACCAAACAAATATGGGAGATTTTGGACCGATATGATAGACAGAGCTCCCCACCATCAAAACAATACTTAAGGGAATATGTTTAGAAGAATGGTGTCCATCTCTCTAACAGCATTCCAGAGAAGCTGTTTTTGTTTGGCTGTATCTTAAACCCTGATATAAGTAACTGTCCTCTGTTTTGATTGGATGTCCTGAATTGTGCCCCATTTGAAAAGGAGCTCAGACTGAAACACTTCTTATAACGTCCGCTTAAATGGGAGGAGCGAACCTGCCGTAGGCTGAATAGGTGGATCTATAAAAATGTGTTGGTTGGTCTTATTTCAAAAGAGTGAGGAAAATTATGGACGCTTTACTGATAGAAGGGGTGTCGTTCTTATGGAGAACGGAGAATATTATTGCTAAAAGTATTTCATATTCACTTCTCTGACTTTGGATGTTACCTTCAAAGTAATGAGCAGAAGGGTCAGCAGGAGAGCTTGGAGGCAGCCCTGCACGTTCTGGACTGGCCTAAAAGAAAAAAAGAAGGACAAACACAGTACATATTTAGGACTGGGCACTCTTTGTTAGCTCCTTTGGCTAAACAACTTCCTTTAAGGAAAAGTTTGGCAAAATTTCAATTTCACACAGATCCTTAGCTTAGATGTAATTGAATCAACCTAGACATGTTTGGTGTCCAAAGTCTGTTTCTTTAGTTTTGCAATAATGCTACAAGGCTAATGTAGTAAATAGAAGCTTAAACTCAGCCAATTAGTATTGCATTAACAGAGAATTCTAGTAATTTTTCAAAATATCTGCATAATTCAATCTTCGAGATGTCAACAAAGTCATTCAGGGTGATCTGATGTGAAGTGGTTCTTTCAGAGAAACTTATCCACAATGCTGTGACAGGAACCAGGGGGTAGCAATTTCTACAATGAAACCACTGAGAATGACTTTGTTTCCATCTCAATGATTTAAATATGCAGAAATATTTAAAAATCAGTGGAATTCGCCTTTGCCCACACGTCCAAGTCATGAGACGTTAGCTTGTCCAGTAGTTATGTAATCTCAAATAGATTTTCTTATGAGGCTCCTGACATACTTTTATCTATTAAAATGTACTACATGACACTGCATACATGTGGAGCCTTAACTTTGCCCAAACTTTTGTAAATTAAATTTTTTGTCCAAGTACTACTTGAAGCAGCTGCTCTCATTTTAATGAACTGAGTGCCCCTTGCTGGTGGTTTGATGTACTGCGGTCAGGAACCTGCTGCGAGATGCTGGACACGCTGCTGGTTTTGCGTCGCAGTGTGTCACTCTGGCAGACAGTGAGAAGCGAGCTGGGCAAGATGGAGCGGAAGTCATTGAAGGAGCGCCGACGGGCCGCCTCCATCTCATCTGTGCTGGCCACGGGCTGCGGGATTGACCGGGGGAAAAGCTTGGACAGGAGTGGCTCTTCAGTGTTACTGTAACGTCCGGATGCTCGAACCACACCAAACAAGCAGGGCACGGTGTATCGACACATGTATTCTAGGTAAAGAAATCACAAAAACAGTTTTTGTAGGTGGAGTTTGATAACAGATATAGACATGTACTGTCACTTCTGGTTGTATTAGGAATCAAGTAATCTACTGATAATTTGGACAACTTTCTGGATAATTCACTGGTTGAGCTGTGAACAAAGTCATTCAGAGCGGTTTGATGTGAAGTGGTTCATTTGTAGAGAAGATCAGATTTCTTTACAGTGTTTGTGATGGGAACCATGAGTCTCCAATGCAAATACAGCCATAAACCAGCAGTGGACTCAAACATGTCTTTTTTTATATGTTATATTGATCATGGTAAAGTAGTGGTAAATTAGATTAAGTACGTTTTCTTTGGGGACCATTATGCCTTACAACACCCTGCATGCAACTTTCTGCTATAAATAATTTTAAAAACATGTTTAAGGCCAAAACTTTCTCAAAACTGTTGCATAACAGTGCCTGTCTCAGGCATTAGGCAGCATATTCATAACCACTTCACTTTCTGAGAAGGAGCTTTTAGAGACATTAATCGTGTCAGATGTCTGGTTCCTATCACCACTCCTGAGTTTTGACTCTGTATGTTTCTCTAAAATGGAGAATTTCACATCAAACCACTCTGTCACCAAATGACTTTGTTTCTTTATCATAATCATTTCATTATGAAGAATTAAAAAAAAATAAAGCATAGTCATATAAAAGTCTGAATACCACTTTTTAAAACATTGTTTTCTGTAAATTTTAGTACACAAGTTTAACATGTTAGAAAAAATGATCTAACACATAGTATGTGCCATAACTTTTGCACAGGCCACATTCTATGCTCCAATATGTTTAAAACAACAAATAAACAGTAATTGTGCATTAAAATGTGCAGAAGTTTGTTCTCTGTAGAGGATGTGCTAACTTATTTACACTTAGAAAATCAACAAAACATGTCGTTTGACCAGGGACGCCCAAACTTTTGCATACAACTGTTTAAATGTGTGTGTCCATCGAGTTCTGTTTCTTACCCCAAGAATTAGCGTAAGGACAATTTAAAATAAGTGTCATCCTCACTCAAATAAACTAGTCTCTGCCAATTCATCGCAAAGGTAAATCTGAATGTGGGTTAACTAGTTAACTGTAACAGCTCTTGAGACATGTGGAGGATACAGACCTTTGTCTTGACCTTCAGGGTTCTGGCATGTCTCCAGAAGGACCTGCATGAGGTCCATCACAGCCTCCAATATCTGTAAAGGACACAAAATCCACAGTTTAATGTGATTCGTAACAACATTTTCATATAAGTTTCTGCCGCAGGGCCTAAAGCATCAACACTCTGGAGGAAATTGATAATAACAACAGTTCACTGACGTACACTAGAGTTTGTCGTTAGGGATGCACGCTCGAAACCAGCCAAGATCAGAATCTGCATATTTGCTTCAAACACACAATGTGCTGCAATTTTATGATGTAAATATCCAGGTATGATTGTATGCAAAAGTTTGGGTGCCTTTGTTTTGCTGATTTTCTATGTTTTGCTGATTTTGTGAGAATACACAAACACATCCTCTACAGAGAACAGAAGTCTGCACATTTTAATGCACAATGACTGTTTACTTGCTGAATTTAAAATATTAAGAAAAAAATCAAACATAAAATGTGGCCTGTGCAAAAGCTATGGCATATTTTACACTGTATGCTTTGTATGCATTGTTTTCCTATATGTTTAAATCAGGAAATAAAAAAAATGTTCCCTGTAGAGAATGCGTTCACTTAATTTCACTTAGAAAATCATCAAAACATGTTAATTCAAACTTCTGCATGACTTTAAGTGTCTTTGGGCTGTATCTGAATGCTTGTGCGTGTACTAAAGAGCAAATATTATTTTTTATATTGTAACTTTGAAAACTAAATTGAAACTAAATTGAAAGTACCAGATATACGTTTCATGTGTTCTTTTAGCCAACACAGTTCATGTTCATGATCTGTGCATCCCTATTTGGCACTTACAAATACTGTATATGTCAAGTATTAATGCTAGATGCACATCTAGCACTTTCACTACTAATCCTGAATTAAAGCTAGAGCTGAATAAACTGCAGCACTGCACACACCTGGATTCGCAAGGTTTCATCTCTCTGAGCGACATCAGACAGTACAGTTACCAAACAAAAGCAGAAGTTCTCAGCAACAGGAAGGGTTTCTGCAAGAATCAAAATGCAAATAAGCAAGAATTGTGTGAATACGTTCTAAGAAAGTTGAATTTAAAAGAACCCACATGAACGAAATAAACAATTTCCTTCAATTTATTTTAGAGTTTGATGTACTTTGTAAACACTGGTAAAGTTTCTCATCCACTCCCTAGTCCATATATAGAAACGAAGCTGCACAAACGGCCCGTTTTGAATTCATTGTTTTTGTCATGTTACAAAAAAAATAATGTTACGGGCATATCCACTTATTCAGCCTCAGATACTCCTATTGAAGTTATAAGGAGCATTTCAGCCTGGGCTGAATTTTTAATGAGTCTCAGTAAAGGACAGCCAATCAGATCAGAGGTCTTAAAGGCATGGAAACAAAAACAAAATAATGCTGGAAAAAGACCATGTAAACATTATTAAGGCCACTTTTGGTTAATGAATCCAAATTCAAAAATAAGAGAAATGTAGAAAATAGATCATTAATTTAAGAACATTTTGGGCTGTTACCTCTACCCTTCCTCTCGGAGCTCTCTTCAATCCATTGTACCTTTGGTAATCCCTTCAGCAAGCCCAGAAGGTAAGGCACAATTGTATCTTTGTGCTGAATAAAAAACAAGCAAACATATATTTATGTACCACAGAACAAAGTGAATAACAGCTACTAGGTTTAACCTATACTTATAAACCTATAAATCTCAAGTCAGGCCAACTTTTGGAACGGTAGTGTTTACCTTAAACTAGATTCAGCCTCGTTTATATGGCGCACCTCATATTCAATATTTGTAGCTTAACAACACGAACAGCTTCAATATACAATGTTACTGTGTACCTGCAGGTCTGATTCCACTAGGAAGATGCCCAGTGCTATCACAGCATCTCTTCTCCTCTCATCCAGCTGAAAGACACCACGGCAGTCCACCGGACACATGCATTGCAGTTTCTGAACCTAAATCACAAATCATCAAGAAATAAGTAGTAAGTCAACCAGTCAGGTTAAAGAACAATGCTTTGCCTCCAAAACATTTATTTCCAGTTTTAAGACTGCAACTTTAGTGTTTTTCTATTGCAAAATGTGGCATTATGAGCATTTATTTTATTTGAGAGTTCATCATATATAGCCTTCTCAGTTATTATGGAAGCATGTAGGGGTGAGCAATATGATAAAATATGTCACAATGCGTTTTCTGAGCATATCATGGATCTCGTCAGCACTTCAAGGAGAACTCCAATGATTTTTTTAAAATTCTACATAATTAAATGGTTGAGATGTATACAAAGGCATTCAGAGTAGTTTGGTGTTAAACGCTTTGTTTTTGTGAAACTTAGAAAGTCAGAATTGTTCACAGAGGTGGTCATAGGAACCAGATGTCCAAAGAGTTTAGTGCCTCTGAAAGCCACCTCACAGAAAGCTATTACATGAAATGGTTATATTATGTTAGATGTATGCTACCTACTGTCTGACACATTGTTTAATGATTGTTCTGTGAAAAACCTTTAGCTTAAAATGTATTTTAACCTGTTTATTTAAACCCACTTATGGCTGAGGGGTACATGCAAGGCATTTGAGGCTAAATAGCCCAAAGAAAACTTGTTTTTTTCAGATCTACCACTATTTTACCATAATTAACAGTACATACAAAAAGGTTCACTGGTGGTTTTGGATGATAAATAAAATGGCTATATTTGTGTGCAGACATCTTGACCCCTGGTTCCTATCACCACCACTGCAAAGAAATCAGAGTCTGTAAGCTTCTCTACAATGAACTATTTCACATTAAACCACTCTGAATGAGTCAGACAAATTGGTTGAATTCCCCTTTAAAAAACTAAATATTTCATTGCAAAGAGAGCATAAATGGGCCTGTTTAATTTGTGATATTTTTTTGGTCATATCACCTACCCCTAGAACCATCTGCCACTCCGTTCATCAGTTAAAATATCTTCCGTTCTAGAGGCCTCAAACAAATGGTTTGAAACCTATAGTCTACCTATGGTCATCAACCCTGCTCATGGAGATCTGCCTTCCTGTAGAATTCATCTCCAGACCAAATCTAACACAACTGATCTCACTAATGAAGTTGCTTTAACCTGTGTCCAGCAATTAAGTCATCGCAAAAAGACCTGCTTATGTGGTTTCTGACACTGTATGACATACTGTTATATATAAAAATGCTCAACAGTAAAGTGAATGTAAAGTGTTTTGGGAACAATAAGAAGTTAAGACATCTCTTCAGGAAGGTAGCTCTACAGGGGCAGGGTTAATAGGCACTGCTACAGAACATTACCATCATGTCCAAATCATTTTATACATGTATGAGCAACAAAATTAGGTTTTATACTATTAAAAACACTCATTCCAAACTTTATACAGTGTACCTATACCTGACATTTACATTCTTGAGTTTTAAATCTCTTGCTGTTCTTTTGTCGTGTAATTCAATATGGGGACAATATTTTTATATTAGTTATATTTTTCTACATTCCTGCATTCAGTGGGTGAGAAACAAAGTTATTCACAGTAGTCTGGTGTGAATGGTTCACTGCAGAGACTCCGATTTCCGATTTTATTTACTATCTAAAACCACCAATGAACCTACACGTGCTTTCTGAGATTCATAAGTAATGTTTATGATAGTTGAATAGTGGTAAATCTGAAAAAAAATGTTTTCTTTGGGGACTATTTTGCCTTACTAAGCCATCCATGTACCCCTTTGCCGTGCATGGATTACAATAAATTGATTAAAACACATTTTAAGCAAAAATTTTATCAAAAAACTATCACAAAACAATGTGTCAGACAGCAGAGGGCATGTATCTAACCATTTCATGTAATAACATTCTGGGAGGGAGCTTTCAGCATTAAACTCTTCAGACGTTTGGTTCCTATCAACTGTGAACAATTCTGACTCGACAGGTTTCTCTTGAACGGAACACTTCACACCTAACCACTCTGAATGACTTTGTTTACATCTCAATCTTTTAATCATGTAGATTGTTTTTAAATGGGTGGAGTTCCCCTTTAAGTGTCGACCGTAGATGCCATTACTATTACTCTCAGGCTGTCAGCAGAACTGTGATCTTTTTCTAAAAGTGCAATAACCAGGCATTTATGACTGACTATTCATAGGCAACAACTGAAACTATACCTGTTCTTTGTTGCACAAATAAATAGCTTAATACCAAGTTATTTGATTACGAATTACGGAATTGGACGTAAACATCAGCTATCCCAGCTAACCAGTGACGGCCTTTAAAGTAAGCTGTTTTGAATGGGTTAGCTAGCTAATGTCATGTCCATTTAGACATTTACTTCGCTGGTATAAAACATGACATGGTTATGCCCTCTATCCAAAAAACAAACGGAGCAGTGCTGCGAGTAAATGATTACTTCAGTTACTAAGTTTGGTGTTACTAGAGCTAGCTAAGCTAGCTAACTGGCTAGCGATCTTCCTACAGGAATTAGCGTTAGCCTGTGTGACACCTATGAAACGTTACCTTGTCAATTGGAGCAGGCCGATGAGCAGCTAGTGATCGGGCCAGGGACAGTACAGTGTTAAAATAAAATCCCCTCGATCCTCCTTTTGCCGACATTGTTGATTTTAAAAAAGAGAACAGATTTAACGTTCTGACATCTTACAGCCACTAAGGACAAACACGGGTCCTCGGTACGGAAAGCCAGAAAGGCCACGTCATAACGTAAACGGAAAAACGCGGTTTGGATAACCTTTTCAGTGATGGGCTAAACTGGGTAGGAAATAAAACATTACTGTTAAAGGGGAACTGCACCGACTTTTCAAAAGTTCAAATGTTGAGATGTAAACAGATTCAGTCAGAGTAGTTTGAAGTAAAATGCTCCATTTTCAAGAAACTTGCCAGCCCAGCTCAAATCTTCTTTGTGGTGGTGATAGGAACCAGTGGTCACAATGACTAGAACACAAATATAGCGTTTCTTTAACTACCCGAAACTACCACTGGACCTACACGTGTCTTATGAGTTTTTATATGCAGTGTTGACAATAGTAAACTAGTGATAAATAATTTTTTAAAAATGTTTTCGTTGAGTATTATTTTGCCACACTTGAATTTGAAATTAATTTTTTTCAAATTTCAGCCCAAAAGATTGTGTCAAAATTAGAGTACAATAAGAATCAAGCAACAGGCATCAAGCAACATATTCGTAACCTTCTTATGTGATAACTTCCTGTGAGGTAGCTTTTAGAGGCATTAAACACTTCAGACATCTGGTTCCCATCACCACCACTGTGGACAGTTCTGGCACATTCATGCCAGAACACTCTAAATAACCATGTTTAATTCCCCTCCAAACAAATCAATGAATGACAAATGAGGAAGAACAAAAGAACTTCCCATATTCATGTCCAGCCACCATGATTTATTGAACATTAAGAACATAATGTAAAGGCACATTGTATGATTGAATAAAAACAAATATGGCAATACAAATTAAAAGTGTAGATATACGCAGTCTCATTATTTTACTATGGGCCACAAATACATCAAGAATATTTCATTACATTCACTGCCAGACTTCTGTCAAATAAGTCATACTGTCCAAACCAAGATATGTGACAAACATGGAAACACAAAACCATTGCTATATTCACAGGTGACCCAGTTTGTTTCCCGTTTCCTCTTCGAAATCACTATTTTCTGTGCTTTCACAACATGACCATATACTCATTTTATTCAAAGCTTTACAGATGGGTCAAGGACAATCATAGAGAACTAAATATATTTGGCAAGAAGAGAGTGAGCGCTCTTAAACATAATGAACATGATCGAGAGCTTAACGCTAACACAATTTCCAAGGCATAGACAAGCAGATATTAATTAGGCACGAATATTCTTTTCAACAAACACTGAACGCACTGTGTTATTCTCCCATATTAGACGTAACATTAAGTAGAACACATTAACATTTCTGCATCCTGACTCAAATCAAAAACAAAATCATTTGTACATTTGTCAGGTAAAACTGTACTGTTTTTCCCATTATAGCTTCAAATGCAAGTACAGGAATTCCTACTAATGAGCTGTTATGATATTTGTATACCTAGTGTACTATGTAAAATGTCAGTAATGTCAGGGAGACACTATTGTGCCCTGTATTGAGAGATATCATCTGCTTTCTCCCTCATTAGTTTTTGTGTATATTTTGGGGATTTCTTGAGGTAGGAGAAGAGATAAACAAAGTGACACTGAAAAGCAATAATCAAAAGCAGCATATAATTTAAGGCCATTTCAGATCCATGAACCACTTCTCAAACCAAACATTCTGGACAGATTTGGTAATCTCTTTAGCATGAATAAATATTTTGTATCTCTCATGAAGCCAGTATGAGTTAAAAGCTATCCCGCGCTCATTCAAGCAGCCAGAAGTCCTCCAAGTTGTGTTTTGGTCACTGTCAATGGTACACGCGTTGTCTAACACACATCATATTCTTTATTTTCAGAAATTAGCACTACTTTGATTATGCCATATTAGTGCACGAGGACATAATCATGGCATACAGACAAACGCTACATGCTGATCATGAGCACTAGTAAATACTGGTCTAGGCACTTAGTTGCATTTCATTACTTCTCTTAAATTAGTACCGTGTTCATTAAGGTTTTAAAAGTGCACATATTTACTGGAGGTACTGAGGAGACTGTGTTTCTGAGAATTAAAGGCTTTGGTGCTGTTTCAAGATGTTTTGTGCGTTTTTGGATCAAAGTCCTACAGACTGTGGCAAAAATCAGGCTCTTAAAATTAGCAAGTACGCAAGTAATCACTTGAAGAGGCAAATTAGCGCACTAGCATAATCTGAAGAAAAAAAAAAAAAGCTAACAGTGTAACTCCACTTAAACATTTCCTTGGTTTTGCCTAACCTGCTTGAAAGTGCTTGATCTTACTTTAATTACTACATTTTTGAGTGTAGCTACACTTTTAAGCAATACTTAAAATCCTCACATAGCTAATGATGAATAAAAGCTAATAGAGGCCAGTTAGCAAAAAATACTAACAGAATTTCTGCTGGGGCCACACAGCTCTGCAGAGATTAGCATTTTCCCTTATTAAACACTCTGAATTCAACTTAGGAAGGTCTTGCTAATTAGCTAATGAGCTGAATTAGGTGTTTAATGAGGCAAACTGCCAAACTCTGCAAAGCTGTGGTTTGAAAAAGGCTAATTAAGCTAATTAGTTCTCATTAGCTTTACTTCATTATTAGCGCTTCTAGCATCTTTAAGCTGTAATAAGCTATTTTTGTAATGGTAGTAACTTGCCACACTTTTGAGCAATGATGAACTTGCTAATATAGTTATACTTCAATACGTTTCATATGTTTTAGTGTCATCACATTTAATACAGAAATCAACTAAGTAAATGTAATATAATTTTAGAAAAAAAATCCTAAGGGTAACACCTTAAAACGACACCAAAAAGCCAAGTTTTTCATGCTAAAACATGAGTTAAGCCTTTCTTTTGCTCTTCCCATTAATGATTCTCATTAATAAAAAAGCAAATTATTTTCCTATTAGCTAATTTTCAAGTATTTGTGTGCCTCACATTATTTGGGGAAATGTTTTCTCTGTCTTGATTTTAATGGGCTACTTTAGTACATTAGCAGCCACTTGGCTTTGCCGCTTGTGAGCACATGCACTGCCTTAAGCACATATTTGGCCTCCTGACTGCATGTTCCCATGCGGCACATCACTGGGATGCTGTGAAGGTCAGGCCATGTTCACCAAGCTCTGTCTGCATCACAGTGCTCTCTCTGCTTTAATCCGTCTTCCACACCATATTAAGAACCTTCACCACCTCCTCATAGATCACAAACACGATTGCCACATCCATGCAGACTCGACCAAGTCTCGGAATGGTCCCTTTGTAGAACCTAGAACACAGACATAGGATTATAGTGGTATCTCCTAGCTTGTATAGTTAATAACTAGCTAGGTGTTACTGTGTAACTGCATGCTCAGTGCCAGCATGGACGTGTTCACTTACGCTGCTGGTCCTTCGTGTCTCATAATCTTGATGGCACAGTCCATGGTGTTCTTATATTTGTGAGCCTCTAGACCCTAGAGACAGATATTTGATTACACTCCAAGCCGCCAACCACAAATCATGGATTATTTCTTTAAACCACCATTTTAATGGCCCCAAGCTGAGGCGCTGGGGAGATATCATTTTCACATACGAAGAAAAATTAGATTTAGAGCACCACAGACTTTAAAACTAATATAACCACAACTCACCTGCATTCTAGTCTTAATCACATCAAGCGGTGTGTTTCCGAATACACTGGCAGCTCCAGCTATGGCTCCAAACACTCCAGTCACCAGAGGGTTTATGGACTTGTTGGGGTTGTCACCTGGTTTTGAAATAAACATATGTTTGTTCAGTCTTGCATGTTTACAGCCTAAGACACTCAGTTTATTAGGTACACCTAAATTGCAACTACACTCATTGACTATTTTATTAGGCACACCTACGATATAGGTGCACTTTGTAGGTTTACAATCCTGGTAATCCATCTATTGCTGCACTTTTTTTCAGTCACCTTCTATCCCGTACATAAACGGGAAAGGACCACCTAGGGTTGGGCAACATTACATACACTTACAATACTCCAAGAACACTGAACAACTGTATGTTTTATTAGGAAAAAGAGTACAATTAGTCCTCTTCCATTGGATTTAGTGCAGTGCATTGCGTGAAGCATTCAATCAATCAATCAACCTTTATTTAAACTCTGAGTACATTGAGGAAGATTGAGGAAGAAAAAGTAATTATGAATATAGTAGTAAATAGAAAAAAAAAAATCAATAAACCATTAAAATTACAACAATATAGTAACTACATAAATAAGATAAAATTATGATAAATTACAAAATATAATTAAAGTTAAATAATTATAATGTAAAACTCAATAAAAATCACCATATTCATAGTAATTTGGTTCTTTTTTTTGTCTGTTTCAACTGATCAGAAACACTTAAAATCATGAAGTATATCACATATTGAGAAAATCTCATCAGCATCATGATGTTACACTTTTGCCACAACATCCACCTCTAGGACTACAAGACCAGGTATTGCTTAGGGCCTTTTTCAGCACAGCAGTGACACTGACATGGTACTGTGTCTTGCACTGTTACAAAAGTTTGAGTGCCCTGGCCAAATTGCATGTTTTGTTGATTTTCTTTTAGAAAATAAGGTAATACGTTGAATAACTTTACATTTTAATGCACAATTACTGTTTATTTGCTGAATTTAACACATTCAAACAAACAAACAAACAAACAAACAAACATTTTCTAAGCCTTTATCCTCCTGGGTCACAGGGGGTGCTGGAGCCTATCCCAGCAGTCTTTGGGCAGAAGGCAGGAAACACCCTGGATAGGTTGCCAGTCCACCAAAAAACATACAAAAAAAAAAAAACACAAAATGTAGCCTGTGCCAATGTTATGGCACATTTTATATTTTGTGTTTCATTTTTTTTCTAATATGTTATAACTTAGCATATAAAGAAACAGCACAAAAATTAGCAGAAAAATTGCTATATATTTATGTTATATTGCTATAAAATTGCTATATTTAAGCTTCTTACCTGTAGAAGATGTTAACTTATTTTCAATTAAAAAAAATAAACAAACCGTAATTAAACTGGAGGTGTTTAAACATTTGCATAGAGCTGTACGAGTGTATCAAGCACAGCAGTGTTGTGGGAGGGTTTTAAACACTATATACATTTACTAGCCATTATTAGACAGACACATCAACCTTGTAAACCATATTGGTAATAATAATATTATAATAATAATATAGTAATATTTTTCTAACCACAATTTGCACAGCTACCATTACACCCACTAAAGTCACAGAAGATTTATACACAATAAAGCTCTAAAGCTTTTTCCCCCCCTGTGGTCTGCATTTCTGGTAGGCAGACTATTCTCAACATTGGCTGTAAAATGTGTAAAATCTAGGGCCTGACTGATATGAAAATTGTGTGACTGGTACTGATTTTAAGGAGAGAAATATTCTAATAAGCGATCATATCAAACAATATATTTTGATATTGATATTTTAGAGTCTAACTTATTAAAATTGTTTATGTAATCAATGAAGTAACAGTTTTTGTTAAGTATAACTGATAAAATTGTTTAGAGTGAGTTCACTGTCATTTGTCAAATGTTAATTGTCCTCACATTCCTAAACTCAAATACAGCTGTATGCAAAAATTTGAACATTTTCTGATCATTTTAGTGCATGATACCTAGTCATTTGCGCCATAACTTTTGCATGGGCCACATTTCAAGTTTTATTTTATTTTGTAATATGTTTAGTTTAGCAAATGAACAAGAATTGTGCCTTTAAATGTGCAGAAGTGTGTTCTCTGTAGAGCATGTGTAAACTTAATTTCACTTAGAAAATCAACAAAACTTGTCATTTGACCAGGGATGCCCTAACATTTGCAACTGTAAATAGCAGAAACCCAAAGTTTTAAATAACATATATATCATAACAATGAACCTTATTTAGCCACTGTTCTTAAGAAGAAATTTCTTCTTAAAACCCACTTATGAGGTTTTATTAAGATTCTGATATTCACCAATGTTCTCTTATGTGGGATTTGTTCTTAGGTAGGAAAAGAATCTACGTGCATTCAAGAGAACAAAGGTGCGAACAATTCTGCGGTTTGAGAACACGTCATGAATCTGACGCAGGCTTATTCTTAGGACCTTTCTCAAGAACACATTTTTGAAAAATTTAGGAAGATTGGTGAATGAGATCCAATGTGAGCCTACGCAGAATTCTTCTGCAGTTTTGGTTTCTGTTGATTTACTTCCTATTTTTCATCTTTTTTCATCTTCCTATTTTTCCTTCCTATAGTTCTCTCCATTGAAAAAAGTTTTTTGTGTGTATTACATGTCATGCTAAAAGTGAGGTTTGCATTCAAATTTACCAGTGCAGCCTGTATTATTGGCATATAGTTAAAGAGGTGGTAACTCATTTTGAGCTCCTATTCTCTATTGGCACTGTTCTCTAAGGTATCACCCTCTTGTTGAGAGGGTCCCTGGTGATGGTGCGCCTATGTAAGGAAGCTAATTTTTGGACTATGCTAATATTTTTGCCGATATTGATGCAACCACGGGTCATCAATTTCGGCCAGTATTACCAGCCAGCATACTGGTTGGGAACTAGTGAAAAAAAAAAAAATCTAAGTCAAAAAGCAACACAACACACTAACATGCAACTACCATGTTGTTATCACCAGAGCGTAGAAAGAGGCTGATAATTTGTGCAGCAACAGTCAGTTAATAATAGGCAAACTATACATAATAGATAAGCGTCCTTACATGATAAATATACTGGCTAAACTGGCAACTCAGTGTAGGGCCAGATCAGTTGCTAAAAACTGTGCATGTAGATAGTAAATAATTAACTTAAGTACAGACCTTTGTACCAGTTTCTCAAGGAGGTCATAACAAAGAAACGAATAGCTTGGTTTGATCCTTGCTTCAATACTGTTGCTGTCAATCCCTGATATGTTCCCTTAAGGCCTAAGAAAAGAACAGAACAATGCATGTTTACACTAATAAAACACTGGATTACAAAGTCACAGATTAGGAAAAGTAAGTAGACATTCCACCCCAGTTAAACCAGTCTGTGTCCATTAGCTACTATAAAGATCCACTTGTTCTAAAATTAGCTCTCTTAGGTTCCCATAATCGATTGGGGCCAAAGCAAGTAGGAGTGTGACAGTCACATGGCCTCGACACTCATCACATGTTGCTCATGTGAATGAATGTCAATTGCAGAACTTGAACATGGATAATCGATACCCATTTATTTTGTTCAGAGACTTATTTAAACTGAATGTGAATGAGCTGATGTTCTCGGCTCTTGGTCTTATTTGTGGAGTCTTCGCACTGTGTTTTTGAGTAAATGTGTGTAATTAGGTGTAATGAGACATATTTATTAATTTGTTTAATATATCCTGTGCACTTTAGCTACAGCTGCCTCCCAGCTCAGCAAAGAACCAGCAGACCAAGCAAACTCACAGAGTGTGGCTGCCGAAGCATGTAAAAATCACCTATCCTCTGTTGAATCACTCACTGCCTCTGGAAGTAACATCAGTGTTGGGAGCTTCACAAAAAAATGGTTCCATGTCCAATCAGTTGCACACAAGCTTAATGCTAAGTGCAATGGGTGATGTCAAGCTTCCACTCGAGTAGTGGAAATGTGTTCTCTGGAGTGATGAATCACATTTCTCTATGAGGCAGTCTGATAAACAAAACCGAGTTGACAGATGCCAAGAGAACGGTTTGGCATGAACTGAAACATGGATTGCGAGTCAGGTCTTACTGTCCAACATCTGACCTCACAAATGCTTTTTGACTGAATAGGCCCAAATTTCCATAGACACACTACAAAATCTTGTGGAAAGCCTTCCCAGAAGAGTGGAGTAAGTATTTTGATTTATAAAATAGTTTAGAGAGAAACCAGATGAGCACACAAATGAAACAATAGTTCCCTATTCCAGCTCAGGGTTACTGACCATATTAATATTCAAAAGATTTTGTAAAATTAAGTTACAAAGAAACACAATGCTGGGTATGCTTGTACTTAAATAACAATATATCCTGAATTAGATCTGTAAACAGTCTAAATTAGTTCTGTAAAAATGAAAAACTGCATTCTGTTTCATCTCCAATAGATGGCAGTGCAGGTAAACTTTACAAACCTTGTGTTCTGACTATTTCTCTTACACCATGGAAAAAGCCTCGATACTTGGGGTTGGCTGAGGTCTGATCGTGGATAAATTTGACCTGAAACAGAAGATAAAACAAAACTTAGGCCACAGCTTTAAAGCTACTAATTCAATGTTACTTGTGATTCTATTTCTCAATTACTTATGTATATTTTCACAATAAATTTTCACAGTCATCAAATGTAAAGAGAACTGCTTTTTCTAATCCAGCCCCCAAAGCCTCCTATGCCACCCCATGCACATTATTTAAGCAGATCTAAATCATCTCTGTAGTTTTAAATAACTTGACTTCCCTTCATTTGGAGCTATAGAAAAGATGCATGTGTTAGCCATGGCATAACTGATGGCTTAGTAGAGAAGTATGGATGCTGACTTCTCAATGTTCTTCTCATGTACCTTTATTGTCTCCATAGGACACACCACCACCACAGCCTCAGCCACACCTGCGCCCAGGCCGCAGATCAGCCCTCGTGTGCTGTCCAGCTTTCCAGCTTCGTCCCTCATCTTATTACTGAGAAACTCAAACACTCCAAACCTGAGGAGACAGGGGAACACCTGAAGATACAGCATTCTCAGAGTGACCTCATGAAGCAACCGGTGAGCCAAACAAATAAATTTACTCAATTTTCCCCTTATCCCAAATTGCACTAAACTACAAGTCTAACGTATTAACCAAGTAATGGAAAACTATGTATACCAAGCATTGTCCAAACTATGCTATGGTTGTCTATAAAAAAGATGGTAAAGTATGGTCAAAAAGTATGGACAAAATTTTAAGCTTCAAGATGGCTTATACTACTGTTTTTAACAACGCAATTTTTTTGTCAAATCTGATCAATAACAGTATGTCATACAGCATCAGAAACCTCATAAGTCTATTTAATAACTACTTAATATCTCAACATGGCATGAGGCTAGTTTGCGATGATTTAGACATGCTGGCTCCACAATACTTTAAAACCAGTGTAATGAACTGACACCAAACATGATTTGGGTGCTAGACTAGTTTTTTCACCAAACTATTACTATTAGTCAAATGTTTACCACTTCATCACCAACATCAGATTTCACCACAATGTACCTAGACATCATGCTCACTTATTTCTGGCATGATGCAATGTTCATGAGTCTTACCTCCACCTGACTTTAAAAAAAAAAAAAAAAAGATGAATCTGTCCTTTAATAGTACCCAACTACCATCTTAGGCAGGGGCAGATTATGCTCTTACAAGTAATCAAGCATCTTCGAAGGCCAGTAATACAGCTATAAAAAATACGAATGGCAGGGAATGATTTATTTTACATATTACTGGGATAATTGTTTGTCTAATTTTTTACATTTGCAGCAGATTGTCCTGGGTCTTTGAGGTGCCTTGTACTCATTGAGGTCTCCTAGCAGCCACAGGCCCCTGGGCACTGGCCTAGTCATTTATCCTTCTCTGATTTTAAACAAGCTACATTTACTCCTATTAACATCAGTTTGTAACTTGCATGAGGAGATGAGGAGAAGTTATGAGGCATTATCTGCTATTGATTTACTTTACTGAATAGATTTTATATTATTTATTTGTTTATTTATAGGCCGACATGCAGCTTCGCAGGCACACCATAGTTCAATGTGTTTCTTCCCCCGGAGTTCTTTTAATTTTAACGAAAAATACTTACACAGTGCAGCTTGAAAAAAACAATAAACAAAAAGAAAACCTATGGCATGCTTACCTCACAGCTGCTTTGGGGATGGAACCATAAAGCAGGGAGCTGAGGCCCCGGTACAAGCCTTTCACCCCATGGCCCTGGACTGTCTGCTTCACACAATCAACTGTGCAAGAGACAGGAACGAAAGAGAAAGTTTCTCCATGAGAAAAGAGTTTTTCCATGGCGATTTTGCATTAAACATTATGAAATAAACCTCTTCTCCCCAGGTTTGTCTTAAAGAGATATTTCAGCAAAGGAAAAAATTTATAATAATTTCTACAATTGTCCCCAAGTCCCAGATGTACTCAGTAAGCCAAGAACTGTTTGGGGTCCAATATAGCTAAAGACACTACCATCAGTCATTGAAGCCTAATTTGTGTGCATGCATTTGTCCATTTTTATACATGTCCGTATGTCATACAATGTCATAAACTATCAACAAATCTTTCTGAGATTACCTAACAGCTTGACTGCTAACTGGTGTGGTATACGTTTCTATTGTTTGTTAGCTACATAAGCCTTGTAGCCTCAGTGTAATGCTAAAGAAGAGAACTTCAGACACCAACCAAGTCTTTGCTGATCAGTTGTCTACATTTGAGGAAAACTGCATGAATTAGATTTTTTTTGTGCGCACTTTGTTCTTTTAATGCAAAACAGGACACCTTGTGCACTTGAACAATTACTCGCCATCCTAGTGTTTCATTATTCTATGGAGTCAATATATCTCCAGAGCTCAGCTGTTTCGCAAAAGTTTGCTGCTCGAGTGGTAAATCAATGATTACGTCAAATCACCGGGTAGACCACTCAGCCAAAGGCTGATCAAACGCAACACGAGAGCGTGACAAATCTATTGGTCAACAGCCGCGACACAGAAGCTCCACATGGGAACAATCAGTGCTGGCAAACATGTTGTGAAGAAAGAGGGGTTACCTTCCAAAGTCCAGGGACTATGGAACACTGATAAAGCTATGATGAGTGCTGGAGATATCAGAAAGGGGTTAGCGCCGCACTTTGTACTTATAACTTAACACGCTCACGCTTCCTTCATAAACGCTGGCACTGTCCCCACCTAGGCACTTTTGGAACATTTTTAGATAATTAAAATGCAGGTGAGCTCTAAGAACACAAGTTTAACACCAGTATGGCTGGTAATTGCTTAATAAAACAAGGTGTCCTAGTTAGTATTAAATGAATAGCAAAAAATCTAACTTACACAATTTTCCATGTATTTCAGTTATAATTGATCTACCAAGACATGTTTGGTGTCTGAAGTTTGCTTCTTTAGGACTTGAGCCATAAGACTAACAAGCTAACTAATAGAGAAATCTCGAGCTCCACCAATTAGGACTGCGCAAACTGCATACCTAAATCATCACACATTTGCCTTAAACTCAGAAAAAACAGAATATTCCTCAGACAATGTTCAGGATGCTACTGTTTTTTATTTGTTTTAGACTCACTGAGCAATTTATCAGATACACCTACCTTGTATCTACACTCATTGTCCATTTTATCAGCTCCACCTACCATACAGGTGCACGTAACAGTTCTCCATTACAGACTGCAGTCCATCTGTTTCTCTGCATACTTTGTTATCCCACTTTTACCCCATTCATCAATGTTGAAAACCCCCACAGGACCACCACAGAGTAGATATTATGTGGGTGGTGGATCATTCTCAGCACAGCAGTGGCACTGATGTGGTGGTGGTGTGTATATAACAGCATGTCACACAGTACCAGAAAGCACATAATCCAGTTTGAGGCAAATGTGTAATGATATAGGTATGCAGTTTTTGCATGATTCTAATTGGTGGGATAGATGCTTCCCTTACCTACACTGGCTTTATAGCTCCAGGGAAGAAGGAAACTTCAGACACCAAACATGTCTTGGCCATTGGCTATATAACTCTGAATGTGTATGTAATTTTGTAGTTGGTGTAATGACCATACAATTAACCCCAGATCCAAGCAAGGTTTCTCTGAGAAAAATGCAGTTTTTGAAAAAGCATGGCTGTCAAAACACAAATATTTCTACATGCGAGCTAAAAATGCTGTGCATTTAACTGACTGGCTCCCTCATCAAAACACCCCACACAAACCAGCAAGCTTTACAAACGTGGCTGTTAAGTTGCGTTGACAGTAGTAGTCCACACTTTGAGCAGCTGGTGTTGGTATTTAACAATGTTAAAGTGTAATAGTAGACTTACTTTCTTGTGACGCCATTTTAATGCACAGCAGTGGTAGCTTGCTTTAGCATGAATGTAGCCGTGGTAACAAAAATGCTCAAAAGCCAATACATTTTATCCTGTGTGCACGCCCACACCCAAGTGTCATGGGATCCTCTGAACCTCTACAGGGTTGTTTAGCAGTAAGTAAGTAGCAGTAAGTAAGTGTACTATTCAAAGCTTGCTGGTTTGTATGAGGTATTTTGGCAAGGGTGCCTGTCTTATGATGTCAGTTCAATGTGCAGCAGCGTTAGCTTGCACATAGCAATATTCATAGTTCGGTACATGTACGTTCAACAAAACATACTGGCTTTGAAACATTTCTGTTTATCACAGGGTGCAACAGCCATGACTTTTGAAAACTCTGTTCATTTATCTTATAGGGAAAACCAGCTTAGACCCGGAGTACCTAATATGAGCATGACACTGACTTCAGAATGATGCATGACTTCAGAGGACACTGTTTGGGGTAAGAGGGAAATAGTGCTAATTAAATTTGAACTATTCCTTTAAAAACTTTACTTTTTTGGGATGGAATGATAACCTTTCAGGTGTAATATAATACAGACAGGGAGAGACAGGTTTGAAAGGAGACAGAGACACACCAATGCCTTTGTAGCGTGGGGGGTTTGCCTTCTCATCTAACTGTAACTGGGTTTTCACATACTCTGTTGGGAAAGTGATGCAGATTTCAATCCCTCCAGCAATCCCACCTGTAAAAACAGACAGAGGCCTTCACAAGAGTTGCAATTAAAATGGTTAATCCCTACATTTTACACTTTCCTATCTGCAAGTAAAAACCATCATTAACAAATAAGAAACACAGTATGGAAGTGGATGAGTAAATACAATACATAATTTAAGTCATTTTCATGATTCAAAATAAAGCATTCAAACTAGTTAATATTAACCATGTTATGTACTAATATCCATATAATTACACAAATAAACGTTGGATTTTTGAGCTGAAAATGTAAACATGCATAAGTTCATAGGCATTTAGAGGACAATCACAATTAGCAGGAGCCTCCTTAAAAATGTCAGCTTTGTGCATCTGCAGTGAAACAGCAAACAGCAAGGGGGCGAGTGACTGGCTGCTATTGGCTCAGTGAGATTCTGCCCACTTGGCCTCTCTCCAGCTTTGAAGAGGTGTGTCTGTAAACCACAGGTCCTGCTGCTCAACAGGATATGAAAAAATTATTGGGTTCTCAAACACTAGCACATGCTCAGTGCAATTCCGCCTGCCTGCTACAGCACAGCAACGGTTAATTACATACCACTCGCAAACTGCTTATTATCTATCTAGCCACACAAATACAGGCAAACACGGAAAGATTTGATCAGTGTAAACAAATGCATTGTTTGAATTCAGACTCTTTGCTGATGGATTAAAATTAAGTGCTTGACATACTGCATCAAACTGCAAAAGTTACAAACCACTCTTCATCTGTTGACTTTTATGTCAAAACTGCTATTAAGGACATGTTTTGAAATGAAAATGAAAATTACACAGCAGCCTCTGCAACTAAATATGTCACCTTTTTCAATATTTAGCATGTCCACCCATTAGCCTTTACTACAGCTTCCATTCTTTTCAGGAGACTTGCTTTCAGTTTTTTGAAGAAATCTGCAGGGATATTTTTCCACGCCTCCAAAGTTCAATCTTAAAAGTCAGCTGCATTTTCTGTTTCTCACAATCCAAGTAATCTTAAACACATTCAATGATGTTGAGGTCTAGACTCTAAGGTGGTCAGTCCATTGTTCTGAGAACACCATCAGCTGCTATGTTTGACTCGCAAATAATATTCTTTTTTTTGTCTATATCCTTTTCACAGAAAACGGCTTCTTGACAGCTATCAAGCTATCAGCACATCATTTTAGACCCACAGAGTTGAGTTGTCTTCTCACAGTGGTAGGACGGATAGAAACACCTGCATGTTTTCATAGCCGACGCAAGAGTGGAGCTTTGATTTTCTCATATTTGATGGTGATAGTTTTGGTGGTCTATCAGGTCTAGCACCATTGTTAGGTTTCCCATTTTCTCTACCGTCTACTCATTTTTTGAATTACAAGTATCACAAGTCGCAATCACCAGGGTCCACGCACAACAAGCAATTTTTGAATTTGGACAGTTTTTGAACTCAAATAATTCCACAACAATTCTTTTCCGGACTTGCCATCTTTTTCACTGTTCATTTGTTCTCATGTCTGTAATGTTGATGCATCCTGTAACATTAAAATAATGCCTACTGATTTTAACTGGCCTAATGTGCCCAGCCTTGGCCTGTACTTTTGTCACAAGGCAGAATGGATCCATGGATTCATGCTGTTATATTAAATCCTGACCTCTACTATTTCGAGAACCTAGCCTAAGCATGTCTACCTGGGTGCTGCAGAGATTACAATTACCTTCATTTAACACACTGAATCCAGTCTGAAGGTCTTATTAATTAGCTGATGAGCTGAATCAGGTATGTTTAATGAGGCAGTGTGCCGCAGTGTTTGGCTCGCGAAGACTGGAGCCTGACACGTGACCTTGCAGAAACTAAGATTCATTAGACCGGACAATGTTTTTCCAACCTTCAATCATCCAGTTTTGGTGACTATGTGCCCACCCCATAATTTTCCAAGCTAACAGATGATGTACCAATGGCATGGTCTACAGTTATAAGCCCATCTGCCTCACTGTTCAACTCTGCTTTCATGGATTCTCCTCTACACACTTCTATTGAAAAGCCAGCACTGTTACATGAATATTTGTGGTCATTCTGAAAAGGCCATTCTCTTCTGGCCTCTACGTTCAAAAAGGTGTTTTCACCAACAGAACTGCCACTCAATGGATGTTTTGTTTATCAAACTGCTCCCAGTAAACTCTAGAGACCCCAGGAGGGAGGTTGGAACCACAATGTCTGGCACCAACTAATCATCATGTTCAAAATGACTTAGCTCATCATGTGCCTTGATCATTCTAATGTTATTAGTAACAACTAATTCTCTTAAATATTTTAGCATGCTTTATTGACAGAGTTGCAGTCACATCATTCACTGTTTGGAAGAACAGGCTATTTGTGTTAGCCTAATACAGGTTTACCTGTGTATCTGAGTGTATATAGCAGCAGGCCAACATCACAGGCCCAAACATTCACTGAATTAGATATTTCATCTTGCTTTAAGACAAATGGTAGCATTCAGACATCAGGCACTTATGGCACTCACAACCTAAAAAGAATGTTTCAATCTCTTAAAATTTGGATACTGCATCATAACCAGATTCCATGGCTGTATAACAAAGGTCTTGAGGGCTAGTTGACTACTGAACAATGAATCTGAAGCTTATGAACTACTGTAACTAAAAAGTGTGGATACACATATACTGCCAAGTTTTGGCACCTCAATACAAAATATTCAGTCTACATAGTGTTAATAATTTTGCAACAAACACTCTTTTGTGAATAATCATTTCTGTGCCCACCCTAGTCTCACAAGGCCATAACAAGAACATCTAGACAACCATGAGAAATTCTGGGCAATTTCTAAACCAATCCAACATCTCATGAAGTTAAAGCTCAAACCAGGGGACGACAGTGCATCTATCAACATTGTCCAATAGACAACAAGCCCGTTGTTAATCTGATGGACATAATGTAAGTTCCCCCAAAGAACTCTCAACTAAGCATGTAGATGTGTGCAGAGAACACATTACTATTGCAGTAAAAATTCTGTTGGCTAATGATAACTTTTGGCTAGGTTGCTTGTTTTTCTTTTGTTATTGATTGTACTATAGACGATAAAAGAGCACGGACACCATAGGTTTAACAAGTTTTTCCCAGAAGTGTATTCTTATGGGATCACAACTGGCCCTGCAAGACTATGCCCACCCCACAAAATCAGCATGTACACTTCATATTACACCCAAGAGTGATGGAGTTGTGGTTTTTCACAAAAAACACAAATTCTGCAGGTATCAGAATACCTGTTTAACAGGTATTTGCGGAGCAATCTCTGAAAGACATGAAGCAGGAGATTTCCGACCTGCTCTGCAGGCTTGTCTAGTGGTGTGTGAAAAGTGGGGTAGAATGAAAGATTGCTCAAACACGCTAACAGCTAACATTCATTATAGTCAGACAATCAAATCTCAATATGCGGTTGCATTTTAAGGAGCTCCTGGGTCAGGGGATGATTAGAGAACCAGCAGTCCTTCTCCTTTTGTATTATTCATTAGCTAAAACCCTGCTGACTTCTGACTATCAGCGTGAGAGCAAAGGTTATTGGCAAGTTAAGCTATCCCAGTGCAACACACATCAGACTAATGAAGGCAAGTAGCAAATACAGAAACTTCCAGCTTCAGGCTTTAGTATCATGCAGAAGTCAGAGACCACCCTTTTATTGGTTCAATTTTCAGTCAAAATGGTCAAAGTTATTAAACTAACATTGTCAGAAAAAAAGACAGGAAACATTACACAAAAGCCTCCAACACTATAATACCAAATCTATCAGTATTTTGTTTGCCTACACTTTTATGCACCCCACTGCCACTTTAAGTCTTCTATCCTTCCAATCTTAAAACCAACTAGTTACAGCTGTGGCATCCTAACAAAAGATGTTCCCAAAATTGTCACTGACACAAGCAACAACCCAAATTCTACTAAGCTGCCTCGCACATTTCATTCTCATGAGCATCATGTGCAAAATGGCTAAAGGAGATATTTCTGTTGAGATTAGATATGAGATAATACACTTAAATAAGGAAAATAAAAAAAAAGTTAGCCATCATCTGCAAGAATTAGCAACAAGCCCCTAGCACTCTTAATACATGGAATAATGCAATATCTAAAGCAAAGTCCCTTTTGCTTGTTTAGTTGTATGATGCGTTTAGGTTGTGAATGATGTAACCCAATTTTCCTATGTCCTGTGATGAAAGTATGATTCGTTTTTCTTGACAAGTCTCATGTAGATGTGGATTGGGTTCAGAATAGGAGTTGTTTGGCTTTTCTTTATATTGAAAAAATAAAAATAAATAATAATAACAGTTTCCAAAACTAGAGTTCAAAAAATTATTAACAGATACAGAGAAAATGGGACTCCTAACAACCATGCAAGACCTGCCAGACCAGCACAACTGTCATCATCAGATAGACATATTTGAGAGATAGGAGAAAAAAAAAAAAATCACGCTCCACTTTTGCTTCAGATTGGATAAAATCTGCAAGTGTGTCTGTCCATCCTTGTACTGTGAGAAGACAGCTCAGTGCTATGAATCTAAAGGGATGTGTATCTGTAAAGCCATTACTGAGAAAAAGAAACAGGGGGTAAAAAAAAAGAAAATTTGCACTAGAACACCAAAACTGGACATATGGAGAAAGGTTTTATGGATGGATGTCTAAATTGGTCTAAACATGTAAATGGGATTACTCGGATTGTGAAGAAGCAAGTGAAAATATCCCGGCATAGTTTTTTGAAAAACTGAAAGCAGGTCTCCCAAGTAGATGGAAGCTGTAATATGGGCAAAGAGTGAACATCTTTTGAATAACTAGTGTTAATTTCCACATGAATAGACAGCCAAACACTACTGCAAACCTGTAGGAGCCCCGTGGGTTTGTTCCAATCACTGCGCTTGTGTGTTGGCTAAACCAGAAAATTATGACGTCTCTTTTTGTGCTGAGTCACTGGTTCACTGGGCCACAAATGCGGACAGCTCATTTCAGAGTGCCCACATCTGGATCACGACAGCAGAGTCTAATGACATCCGAGAAAAATGCCTTGAACATGTTTTTAGAACGTTGCTAGGTCACTAGCGTAGCTAGCTATTAGTGAAAGCTAATGGCAACTGGTTACAGTCTTCTGATTTGCTTAATGTCAAGTGGTCCCCTCATTCAATGTTAGGAATGTAAGTGCATTTAAAAAATGCATTCCTTTAAAAGGTGAACAAAAGCATTGTATTATGAAGTGTTAACACCAATGATGGCATCCATTCACAGATCATGCAATTTATTCAGCTGAATAACTAACAAACTGCATTCCATACACTATGTATGTTCTTCTAGTTTTCAAAACCAGTCTCCATTATAAAGCCATTTGGTCTTCCATGCATCCACAAACTTCAATCAATCAAATGGACTATTAAAGAGGTTAGGAGAAGGTCATGCAACACAGCCGGAACTGAAAAAGAGCTGTCCTGCTGACGCTCGCTGCCATGAAAAGGCATTTGTCTTAGAACACATATGTCATAATTATGGGCTTAAAAAATGGGACAAAGAAATTAAATTATTTGTTGGACAACTAAGGCTTTGGGAATATCTTGCATATTGAAAATTTCTAAATATACTTGAATAGACTTAAACATTTAACTTAAAAATAACACTTTGCCCATACATTATGTGGTGATATTGGCACCATGACCTGATTGTTTTATTTTTCCACCTTTAGCCAAGCAGAGGACTATTCACATGGAGCAACATTTACGTACTTTGGTGTAAACCCAATTATTATACATTTTTCAAATGAATAAAAATAGGGACAATGGAGAAAATTAACCACTGCTCACCTAATGTTATGTATAGAAAGAAAAGGAAGTCAGAAATTAATCAAATAAAACTTGTAAGGTTGGAAATATTGTTTTTGAATGGGCATACAACAGAAAAAATAACTCCATAATGAGTAAAATTCAGGATAAAACAAGGATTTCAGTCATTTGCTACCTGTATTGGGGACCATTCATTAGTGTTCAAGCCAAACATTTAACTTTCAGTTATAATACAGACAGTTCATACTGAGTTACTTTTTCAGAACACATTAAAGCAGAATTGCATCGATTTTTCAAAATATTTTGCATAATTAAATTGTTAAGACTTAAATAAAGCCATTCAGAGTCGTTTTATATGAAATAATCCACTGTAGAGAGACTTACTGAGTCAGTTGTTCACAGTGGTTGTAATAAGAACCAGGTGTCCAAAGCATATAATGCTTCGAAAAAGCCACCTCACAAAAAGTTATGTCAAATAGTTACCAATGTTGCCTGTTGTTTGAGACATTAATTTATGACAGTTTTGAAATATAGTTTGGTCTAGAACAAAATTTATTTAAGGCAAAGAGGTTTACGTAGGGTGTAGTAAAGCAAAAAAGTACCCAGAAGAATTTTTTTCCAGATTTACCAGTTACCATAGTGGATATTACATTTAAAACCTCAGTAAACACATGTAGGTTCACTGGTAATTTTGGGTAGTTAATAATATGGCTATATATTTGCATTGTAGACATCGTGACCCTTGATTCCTATTACCACCACTGTTTAGATATCCAAATCAGTCGGTATACTTTTACACATTTTATACATTATACATACTCCATTTCACATCTAACCACTCTTAATGACTCTGTTTACATCTCTACGATTGAATTCTACAAACATTCTGAAGAATCGTTGGAATTCACCTTTAAGGGTCCCTTAAAGAGAACACGAAAGAGTAAAGAGACTCACTCTTCAAAGACTACATGCCAGAACACACCAGATACTTGCCTGTTCTGTGCTGCTGCTTATTTGAGACGGTTTAGGGTCCTGTTGAGAGCACCAGTTGTGTTGCTATTAGCTATGAAACCACTGCAATTGTCTAAAGCACGTTATAAAGGTCCAGCAAGCAAAAGGAAAACAACATGTGCCTTCTGAGAGACAAGGTTTCATTGCACATCGGGGTATACTCATTTTAAAATACAACTTAGCAATGACCTCAAGAAACAAGACATGTGAGACGAACTTACCAGCTAAAATGGCTTTGCCAGGGTGCGTTAGTTTCGCCTTCCCCGCCGGTGCTGCTGCAGATAAACAGTGGGGTCTGTGGAAGGGGCTCACAAATTTCGTCTCTCCTGACATGTTTGGGTATTCACAAGAAGATTTGTAAATGCGAACCGACCTCGGCTCGTGGCTAAACTCTTAAAACGGAATACTACACAGGGCTAACGTAGTCATTGACTTCGGTACCGTCTCCCCAGAACAATGTTTGCTGTTTTTGACAGCCCGAAGTTTCTTGACTGCCCTGTTCCTGTCAGTGTTGGGGGCGAACGGCTGAACATCGTGTTGAGGGCGGGGCGCTCGGTTTCGCCAGCACCACGTAGCGCCATGTTTTTCACAAACAAAACATTTTAAGGTGGACCGAAGTCTGCTTCGTTTCCTTATAACCTATCTTGCTTAAATGCATATTTCACACGAAAAGACATTCTGTAAACAGATGCTACTTACGCAACTTAGATGTTAACGTTTAACAGCGTATTTTAAGGACTACTAGGCTGGGCAACAGGAGGGAGCAGGCCAAAAGTCAAGCTCAACAGGCACAGCAAATAGACACAATTGAGTGCAATGAGTTGGTGTATTTTTTTCAATAACAGTAAAGCTATAAAAATCTTCAAAGGCACGGTTATAACAGAGACTTGTTGCTTCCAGTCGCACCCTGTTGTTGGTGAAACGCTTTCAATGTCCTGCGCCCCCTAGAGGTCAGTTGGTAAATGTGCAGTTTGGATCTGCTAGCATATCAATATTATTTTATGATGCGTTTATGCAGATTTCTGAAATGTGTTTTGATACAGAGACACCAAATAGCCTAGTTTTTCCCTTTTTAATGCGTTTGCTACTGGGTGACTGTCTCAGGGCACCTAATTTGTATTTAGTTACAGGGTCCATACTATGGGAAATGGAATTTTACTACCGCTTTTGAGAGTTTGGTGAGCTTTGCAAGCACTGAGTGTGTTAATGCGCTTAATAATCCAATCATAATATGATTTCTGTGTTTATCTGAATATTCAAGTAGTCATGAACAGCATAGTCCTATTTCTTAGATCAGATTAAGGCCTAGAAATCTGGCAAAGAGAGCTGGATTTTAGTTCAGTAATTGTGTTTTTAGTGCATGTAACGTTATACCCTTACTCTGATTTCTTTTGTTTTTCTCAGTCTGCGCATGTGCGAAAACAGAGCACTCTCCAGGAAATAGAAAGCAGTGTTTACACAGCAGCTGCGAGATGGCAACAAAACACTTTTAAGCGATGCTGAAACCAATTACATGCTGTCTAATTAAGAATTTGATTTGAAGAATTTGAAAATCTTTATCTTCTAGATGATGTATGTTCATATTTTTCGCTAAATGTTTAAAAAAAGGTCGCGGCATGACGATGAGTTGTATGTCGCGTTTACGTCATGAATTCCTCTAAAAGCTTCTTGAAAATGGTAACAAATATGTGCCCTGATGTCTAAGTGAAGGTGTTTTACGATAGTTTTGAGATACGAGGTAAAGGCAAAATAGGCACTTGTTTGTTTTATTTAATGCTTTTGCAGTATTATTGACATTGCAAAAGAACACTCAGAAAGACGTGTAGGTTCACTGGACATTTTGGATAGTAAATAAAATTTCAACTCTAAAGACAAACAAGTCATATGTCAACAATTGAATATTTTTTTTAACGTGAAGTTAAGGAAGGAGTGTTTCGGCTCAGACTGCTGTTTGAACGAGGCACAATAGAGGGCAGCCAATCAGAACAGTTGTCATTTACATATACGGATCAAGGCTATTTTTAGCACATAAACTCACACAAACGTCATAAATGGACCTCAAGCAAAACATAAAAAAACATGAAAACGTAGGATATGGGACGGTAAGTGGTAGGCGTTTTCCTTACTTTAAGTTAGGGTTAATTGACTTTTAATTTGAAAAAACTACAAAGTGTCACTGTTCACTGCTGCGCTTTGGTGCCTTACTTCATGTCCCTGCCATGTGCGATTGCGCATGCACAGCCTGTTTTTTTTTCCTCCTTCAGTGTGTCCTGGTTGGTGTAAGACAATAAATCAGTGTTACTAGCTTTTCAACAGAGGAGCAAAATCCTTTGCAAGTTTCAGCTTTTGTGTCAGTCCTTTCGCTGCATTCCCGGTATGTAATTCCCATTATTTGCCACTAGGACGTTCGTGTTTTGCGTTGGACTGACGCTGTGACACGTTTGTCAGAAATGTTTACCTGGTAAAAGTAGCTAAGCTACGTATTGAGTTAGCTGTTTCATATCATGGCAGTTCTGTGTTAATTTAACGATTAACAATCTGCTGCCAAATCGTTACAGTCCTGGAAAGCTAGTTTTAGAAAAATGCTGCCAGTTAAATTATGAACTCGCTTGTTTAGCTCGAGTCGTTTCCTCAGTCACAAAAAGAAAATTCTCTGCTTTTGGAGCAACAACTCTTATAACATTTTAAGCCTAGAGCTGTACACGACACTGTAAATGTGTACTAAATGCGCTAGTATGTCAGTTTTATAAGAAGGTTAGTTTGAACAGGCAAACATGCATTCCATTTGCAGCATACTGCCGTCAAGTAGTTCATCCAGCTGAGCTGCAAATACCGAGCTTAAAGACAATTTGAAGTGGCAAGGTTTTAGCGCCTAGGGTTGGTAGGAACATCATGAACTACACACTTAAAGATGATTCTCCAAGGGTTCTTTAGTAAAGAAAATGGCACTGTTTAGAACCATGAGGTCTAGATAGAACCATTTCATGCTACAATGGTTCTTCATATTGATTAAGAATGTGTAGTATATAGTTTCCTTCACTAAAGAACCCTTGAAGAACCACTTTTTTAGAGTAAGACTGTGCAATATAGGGACAAAAAAAAAAAAGTGAAAAAATTGCTTATACTACGTAAGTGTGCATAGTACATGTATGTATATATGTATTTCAATGTGGTTACAGCTTGTTAAAGGATAACACAGCAACCCATTATGTGCAAAGCTGTAACAAAGGTTTAAATGACCAGCCTCTTTTTCAGTTTTGTGATATTTTCATTGCAGACAGAACTGAGAATGGGGATACAGCGTTCTAAACATTTCAAATAATGTATTGTTAAACTTACATTGTAAACGTCTGGTGTGCATTATTTATACCAAAATGATTTGTGTTTGTTGATTCATTTCAATTTCTTGAATGATCAAAATGCCAATAAATCACTAAAACATCTGTGACTGTTCAGGATGCTCACAGTAATAAACATTTTTGTGATTGGCTAGAAGCTTATTTGCATATTGCAGCCAGTGCTAAGACCATTAGCTGTGTTGTGCACCTCTAGTGAGAAAATAAACAATAAAGAAATCACAGCGTTCCTTATTTTTTTAGTTGGTGCAAAAGAATCTTGACATCATTCTTCATATACGAACATCAATTATAAAAAAAAGGGGTGACAGTAAATGCAACTAAAACAGAAAGTACTGGTTTGTAATTCCTTTTTGACCTGTATTTAAACGAAAACAGTATGTCTACAATGTATTTTGAAAAAGCTGATGGACAAATGTGAAATGTTCAGTAAACATCTTAAACAGGTAGTGCCATTATGCTTAGGTGTAAAAGGTGCATCTATGGAAGGCCTTGACCTTTATGAGCAAGGAGAGATTAAGGCTCGCCACTTTGCCAAAATATGCAGCAGCGAGTAGTTTAACAGTATAAGAACAACTTTCCTCAACAAGTGATTGCAAGCATTTAAGGTAATGCAACCTCTTCGGTGCGGGGAATCCGGAAAAATCTCTGCGCCAAGGGCAAGGCTAAAAAAAAACATGATTGCCCATGACCTTTGACCCTTAGATGGCATTGCATTAAAAACTGACATCCTTCTGAGACGGATATCACCACTTTTGACTTTTGTCAAGAAACACCATTTATTGACGGGTCACTCTTTCAGATTGTTTGTGGTGAAAATGGTCTGTTTGTTCTCCAGGCAACAAAACAAAAAGATCATCTAGATTGTTACCACTTTAAAGTTCAAAGGCCAGAGTCTCTCATGGTATGGGGATGTGTTAGTGCCCATGGCATGGGTAACTTGCACATCTGTGAAGGTACGAGTAATGCTAAGCTGGTCGTTATTAGGTGTTGAAAGAAAAAAAGTGCTATAGCACAGTGGTAAGCATGCTCCTGTCCCACCTTTTGATGTTGCAGGCATCTTATGTGTAACGAAAAAAATGTTCAAAAGGTAAAACATGAAATGGTGTGTTTTTTCTACAGTTTTCAGACACTTTAGAGAGTTTTCTACAGTTTTCTACATGTCAGAGAATTTACTAATAACTGCTTTCTGGTTTTAGCAACATTTCACATACTGGCCCAGCTTTTTAAGAACTGAGATGTGAATCAATTTTCTTTCATTTTAGCTTCTTTTTTCTCCAAGCCACTTCTTTATGTATTTAACTGAGGCCTGAATCATAAAAGGAAAGGCCTTCTTTTGATGTATTTGCATGTAATATTCAAAATGATACATTTTGTGAAGTCACAGCTTCATTGATGACATTAAAGACTAAGAATGACTAGAACTATGGTTCATTTGAGTCACATTTGTTTTGCGTTTGACAGTGTGTTTTTCCCCATAGGCTTTTTCGGTAAAGATACCCTTATGATTAGAATTGCAACAGTATGAGCATTATCTCTAAACCACAAACAGCTGAAAGAATTATTAATTAATGAACCCATCCATCCTGAGTACTGCAACTCTGTGGGAAACTTGATATAACTTGTTTAACTGCATTGTGATCTTTGGCATCTCTGTGAATTACACAACAGAGAACCTTACATTATATTGTAAAGAAGACAGAAGGCATTCATCAGAAATGAAACTCCATATTTATTAAGCTTTGTGTGTTCTGAAATGCAGTTAACAAAATACCTCTAAAATTAATATTGATGTGTGATCCCAGTATTGTTACATACAGCAGTACGGCATACACAGTACATTGGCTGCCACTAACCCTAATTTAGTCAGTCAGCCAAAATTTGGTGTCCAAAGGAAAATGCCAAAAATTGTCAAAAATGTTGGCATGCTGATTACTGGATGCTGTAATTGGTATACATAGGCTTCCATCATTGTCGGCTACCTTAGCTTTGTAGCTCCAGTACTAAACTAAAGAAACAGTCGTTGCATACCAGACATGTCTTGGCTCGCAATTGTTGTAGAGGGAGAACTATGTAAAAAATTTTTTTTTGTTTAAACATCACTTTCACTAGCTCTCTTTATTTTATGCTAGGCACAATGGCGGTTCCTCCTTCATACTCTGACCTGGGCAAAGCAGCGAAGGACATCTTAAGCAAGGGCTATGGTAGGTTAATACCTGGAGCATGGATTAAATTACAGGATAGAACTTTTACAGTGAGCCATTTGACTTTCATGTCTGTTCTGTGCTCTTTGTGAAACAGCTGGCCTAGCCTTGTCTCATGTTTTGCCTTGTTTTTAGGTTTTGGATTTGTTAAGTTGGACCTCAAGACCAAATCACAAAGTGGAGTGGTGAGATAAGAGATTGTTTCTGTTCCTTTGCACTGTTTCTTCACTGGATTTCCTGTTGCTACTGGCTTCCTTTACCCCTCACATTTTGTTTCCTCTAAGAGGTTGGGCTCTTTGTGGCCCGATAGTGTCATATGTTGGGGAAGATACGACTATACAAAGGGCTATCATAGACATCGTTCAAGCCATTTTATGCTGAAAATTGCTCATTGACTGTAAAATAAATAGATCTGTGGTTAGAGGTGCTCTTAATTTATAATACTTTAAAATACACTGAACTGCCATTTTTAGGCTTACCTTTTACGTACACTTAGGTACACTACATGTCTAAAAGTTTGTAGACACGTGCTCATCCAGTGTTTCTTCTGAAATCTAGGGTAGTAATATGGCGTCTGTCCCCTCTTTGCTTTAGTAACAGCCAGTACTCTCCTGGGAAGGGTTTACACTAGATGCTGGGGCCTCTGGCTAAGTTTCCACTGCTCCACAGCCCAATGCCAGGGAGCTTTATACCCCTCTAGCTAATGCTTGGCATTGAGCATGGTGACAATAGGCTCATCTGCGGCTGCTCTGGAGCATCCCTTTCTGTTGGCAGTGCTTGTCTATAGAGATTATACAAGCTGTGTGTGCACAATTTAAAGTGCACAAAAGTGTCAGCAATGAGTAGAAAAACATATTGCTGTTGTCAGAAGAAAACCTCGTATCTCTGTTTTTAACATTTTTCTGTTTTTGACATAATTTGAAAATGCCTGTTGCTTCTTACATTGTATGTAAATTTCATGATGAATGGACAAAAAGAAATGGACCAAAATGATTTGTAAAAAAAGTCTGGTTCCATTGACTTACATTAAAAGTAAAGTAGGTTTTTTCCTTCTCCTGTAAAGCTATCATTTTGGAGATACAAGGTTTTCTTCCGACAACAGCGATATGCAGCAACAGATGGGCTACAGATTTTATGGGTTAAACCGACAATGCGTGCCTATATGTGTAGGTGTAACTAATAAAATGGGCGATGAGTGTAGGTAACCTGGCAACTCAGCCTATATGGTTTAGTCTGAGATTGAAATATTGTAATTTTTTTTTTAGATTTGTGCTAGGCATTTTTTCCTGAGAGTTTTGACCTGAATGACCCACAAAACCTATGTTGGATAGATGTCCTTATGATTGTTTCTCCAAAAGACTTGCATGTGTTAGGCAAGGGTTGGAGAACATGTGTTCTTAGCATTTAATTCTCCTCCTGTCTTTGTTTCTGCAACTTGATGGCGCATTTAGATGGTAAGGTCAATTTAAGGGTCGTTGCATGCGAGATGCAGACAGGCCCCAAGCCATTTGTTGAGTCTTTAGTGTCCATGTTGTTTGCCAAATGTGTTTCAGTTTTACCTTGTGCATTGTGCATCTTTCATCTGTGGGTTATGAGGATAAAGACAATTGGTGAATTTGTCAAATTTCTACGCATGATTTTCCCACCATTCTTTTCACTTTTAATTTCACTTCTGTTGTCCCTAATCATGCTTGTATAGGTGTGATTTGTTTTCTCTGAAATTCTCGGGGAAAGCATTCTGAACTTTTGTTTTATAATTAACTCTAGGAGTTCAACACCTCTGGCTCTACTAACACTGACACTGGCAAGGCCAGTGGGAGCTTGGAGACCAAGTACAAAATGGAGGAGTTGGGTCTGAGCCTCAATCAGAAGTGGAGCACAGACAACACTCTGGCTACAGAACTTTCTGTAGAGGACCAGGTCAGAAAATCACCTTTCACCTGTTCTTTTATGACTAGTCATAGTTATATTAGAGTAAAGTTAAATCCTTGAGAAACTTCTCTTTTCTCAACAGCTGGCAAAGGGCTTGAAAGTGGCTCTTAACACATCCTTTGTACCAAACACAGGGTGAGTTCTTGAAAACCACCACAAATGTATTTCAGAAGTTTCTAAATGATTATATTTAGGACTATATGTTCTTTTCCCCAACAGCAAGAAGAGTGGGAAGCTGAAGACTGGATACAAGCGGAACTACATCAACCTGTCCTGTGACATTGACTTTGAAGGCCCAGTAGTGCACTCTGCAGCAGTTTTAGGCTACGAGGGCTGGCTGGCAGGCTACCAGATTGCGTTTGATACAGCCAAGTCCAAACTGGTACAGAACAACTTTGCTCTTGGCTACAAGGCTGGTGACTTCCAGCTTCACACCAATGTGTAAGTATCAAGAAGCAAGAAAAAAGGTAATAATAGTTTCACAAATAGATCAACTCCATCAAAGAAAACCATGTGCTAGCCAGGTATATAGTTATACATGTGATTTTAGTTGTCTACCACAGCATATTAGAGCTGAAATTTAACAATGTATATGAGCTCAAAGTACAGATTTTCAGCTTTAATTTGAGCGTTTTTACATCCAATTGGGTGAGCGGTATAGAAATTTCTACCATTTCCCTACATAGACCCCCAGGAGGTCAGGTAATTGACTTGGCCATTGCCTTCTTTGCTTTACAAAACAGTCTTGGGTTGCTTTCACAGTGTGCTTTGGGTAATTAACTGTCTGCAGTGTAAAGCTCCACTCAGTGGGTTTTGAAACATTTGGCTGAAGTTGAGCAGATAATGTAGCCCTATGCACTTCAGAATTCATCCTACTGTTTTTGTTATCATCAGTTAATACAACTGAACCAGTTCAAATTGGTTTACATCTTGTGGAAAACCCTTTGCGCTCTGGTGAAGTCCTCTCCTGACTGTTGACGTTGAGACAGGTATACTTACTACCTGGAGGGTGTTTTTGATCTGGCCAACTGTTGTGAAGAAAAAAGTGAAAGAATTCTTCTGTCATCTGCCGCAGTTGTTTTCAGTGGCCTTTGCCGTTTCTCAGCTCACTAGTGCATTATTTCTTTTTGAGAATGTACCAAATAGTTTATTTGGCCACATCTGATGTTGCTGCTATCAGCTTGTTTTTTTGTTTTAGCATCAGAGTAACAGCATCAGATTCCAAATGCAAAGGTCATGCTTAAAATCAGCTTGAGATCTTCTGCTGACTTGTAAAAGGAATAATGAGGGAATAATACACACTTGGCCATGAAACAACTGAGCAGCCAATTGTCCCGTTATTTTTTTAGCCCCTAAAAGTGGGGGACTGTATGAAGATGGTTATAGTTTCTACATCGTTCACCAAATTCGGATGCAAATGCCCTCATGTTAAAATTGTGATCATATTCATTATTTCAAATCAGCTCTAATATGCTGTGACAGACAGCTAAAATGACACTAATTTTGTTTTTGTCAAAATATTTTTGGACCAGATTCTTTCTATCTGTCTCTCTGTCTGTCTGTCTGTCTGTCTATCTATCTATTTATCTATCTATCTATCTATCTATCTATCTGTCTGATAACTAGTGAAAGCTAGGAAGGGCTAGTTATAGAAGTGAGATCATGGTAACTAGCCTTCTTTACCTTTCATTGAATGCTAGCATTTTTGCATATTCTGTTATTTTAGTATTCTCTTAAAGAGGCATTCCGGCCCAAAACTAGCATTTGAAATGTTATTTGTCGTGTTATGCAGTATTCTGTTGAACAGCATTATATCTCTCAGCCTCATCAGTTTGACAGAATTACTCTGTAGACTATAAAATCAGTTGCACCGTTGCTGTAGGATATGTGTATGCATGTTTACAAGAGATGTAGCAATGTTTACATTTTTTTATGGTCAGAGAGCTCCTTTGAATAGCGAGTATTAGATGATTGTGTGATTTATAATTATGGCTGAATAGATTTGTTTTGTTTGGCTCAGAAACGATGGGACTGAATTTGGAGGTTCTGTTTACCATAAGGTGAATGATCAGTTGGAGACTGCGGTCACTCTGGCCTGGACTGCTGGCAGTAACAACACACGCTTTGGCGTTGCTGCCAAGTACCAGCTAGATAGTGATGCCTCTTTGTCTGTGAGTTAATTCCCTTGACATGTAATCACATTTTGCTGTAACGCTGACATTAGGGGCTGCCTTTTACATCTAAATGAATTCTAATACCTGATGATAACATCATTTATTGTCCTTGTGAGAAGAAATTATTCCAGCATGTCAACATACAACACAGCACACAGCAACAGAACACATACTAGAGTCAAAAGACCACATAAACACTCCACCTTGCTGTAAATACAGTGTTAAGGGCCATAATAAGTATTTGGTAAAAAGAATTTTTACCAAAATGCACCATACCTTTTAGTCCTGTGTCTGGTGAGTAAAGAACAAAGCAATGAAACTGACTAATGCCCTGTCTCTAATTTTGCATTTGCAGGCCAAAGTGAACAATGCCAGTCTGATTGGAGTTGGTTACACTCAGAGTCTGCGACCAGGTAACCTTTGGCCTTTGGGTTTATTTTTGGGGGCCTTTCACCATTTTCACCACTGATTGTGATGCCTTTCATACACACACAGGTCTGTGAGTGACTTAAGCCAGGATTAGAAATCATTCACAGGGAATGAAAACAAAAACCTATGATGATTTTTTTTTTTAACAGAATTTAATTGAGAACAGGAACAAAATCCATGAAAACTTTTATTTTCATTACTTGAAAATGTGGTTTGTCAAGTAATGATCATCATTTAGTTCCTGCTATTAGTAACAATTTTCATTTGTTCAGAATTATTTTAAGGGCTGTTAAATGAATAAAATAATTTCTCAGATTAAAGCTTTAAAAAATCTTTAAAAGTGCTTTTTGATTTTGAAGTGAAAATAAGTTAACGCATCCTCTAAGGAGAACACATTTTTGCACAATGTAATTACTGTTTATTTGATCAAAATATTGAGGGGATAAAAATAAAAAATAAAATCTGGCCTGTGCAAATTATGGCATATTCTATATTTAATGTTTTTTCCCCAGAATATTACAATCCAGTACATTATACAAATTAATAGAAATATTGCACCAATTTGCAGAAAATATTTTTCCCATATTTAGGTTTGTTGGAACTTATTTTCACTTAGAAAATCAGTAGAACATGTAATTTGACCAAGAGTGTTCAAACAGCAGTTCGCTAACATTATTTACATGTTAACACAGGGTTCACATAAACCCAAAAATGAAAACCACATCATTTCCATAGAATGAACAGTGAATTTTCATCACCAATGGTGGATTAAAAAACAGATTGCATCTCAGAACATACAGCGCATGAGCAGCTGAGCTTAAACCTGCTCTACTACAGATGGTACTAAGGATTAACAGCATTAAAAACAATGTGGCATCAATCATTTTCCACGTTGATGTGGTGACAGCACTAGTGTACACCACCTCTCCGATTGGTAAATCTAAGAAAACAAATCGTAGAACTGATAATAATGAATAATGAACCAAAGAATTCATATAGCAAACTGTGCATGTATTAACTGTGTAAAAATAACACTAAAACATGTATTCAATGAAAGCCTAAACACAGCTAAATGATAGCATTATTAAGTGGTTAACCACATTGCAAAATACAATTTTTACTTCAGAAATTAAGTGGTTTTACATTGTTAAATTTCTTTTTTTTGTTGTTGTTAATTGTTTCTAATCCCTGATGTTTGGTGTAGTCGATACAGTTCTGTGTCTTCGCCTGTTCTTCTTTGTCTTGTTAAGGTGTGAAGCTGACACTCTCGGCACTCGTGGACGGCAAGAACTTCAACACTGGTGGACATAAGGTTGGACTGGGATTTGAACTTGAAGCTTAGATGTTCTCATCAAGTGAAAGACAAACAAAGACCCCACACTCCATCCCAGTGATAGCTCCTCCACTTTCCACTGCCTCATGTGTAAGCACATCACCCTCACAAGAGTTGATTGAAAAATGAAAAGTGATGATAAGTGGTTCTTCAAGTGATGCACTCTAAACTTGTCATCTGACCTTCTACAGTAAATGTTACACGATGAAAAATGGTAGAACGATGGTAGGAATGTTTTGGGGCTGTTTGTCTATAGCACCTGCAATATGCTGTTATATAATAAATACAGTTGCGGGGGACAAACACAGTATGCTTTATGAACAGATGACTTTGAGGTCCATAGAAGAGTTTATGTGGTAAGAAAGCGTTTTTGAAGCCTTTGGAATTGTCCGGATTTCTTCATGATTGACTCTTGTGTAAGTGGTAATTAAGAAAGAAAGTCTTACTTAACAACATGTGCAACATTTTGCAGGGAAGTATCTTTATTGAACAAATAATTTAACATCTAGCAAACTTTAAATAGAAAGAATCCAAAGTCTAGATAGAAAAGTGGTTCATTCTGTGGTAATCAAAATTTAATTTTTGGCTGCGTAGGTCAAACCCACACCTGATGACCCTCATTTCTTTTCAAGAGGGAATTATGAAAAATTCTTACATGGTTTTACTTAAAAGACCCTGTCTGGTAAAGTCATTTGTTCAACCTTATGGGCATGTTGTTAGGAAACTATTTATTTATTTATTTTGACTTGAATGAAGTTAACACTTTAAGAGTCATTCGTAAAGAAATTGAAACAATTGCAGTAAGTATATATGCTTAACCTCTTAATATTTTCTTTTCTCTGTTTACTAAAGGTCACACTGTAGAATGCATGATAACATCTGTGTATCTCTCTGTCTTGGGGCCCTGTGGTCTCACTGCTGGGATGTGTAGGCCATTACTGTACGGCTGGGGGATTTCAGCATGAAAGCATCTAATGTAGTCATGTAGGACTTTACTAGAAGAGCAACCAAAAGGTAAAATATGCATCTTAGAGCTGGAACACTGACTTATAAACACACCAGCGTGTAGCAAGTGAACACATAGAATTCCTTCACCAGCATCCTGCAATAATTTTGGCTGTTGTTTAGGAGAATAGATGAACATCATCTGGGGTTACTTTACATTGAATATAGTCATTAATAAGTTAATGTGTTTTACATACAGTTGTTATAATTATTATAATTATTATTGTTATAAATAATCAATTATGATATGATTTTACTAGAAGCTTGGTTGTTGTGTTTGTACACAGTACCTCAATTTTCCAGCTAGAGTCTACAAATTCTAATAAAGAACTGGAAAAAAACGATGTTTACATGGTCGTTCTATACTGTTTATAAGTATTCAGCCCCCCAGTATTTAGTCGGTACACGTATTGGAACAAAGTAAATTAAAGTAGCATCATTTATCAAAAAACGGACAATATTTAGAAGTGAGCTAAAATATATGGAGATTCCTCAGCAGCTTTATGGATAAATATAGTGACAAATATCTACCACCCCGATGCAAAGATTCAAGACTGGAGAGAGAAAAAAAGGTGTTCGGGCAGTCCAATACACAGAACACATTTGTTCCAATACTTAGGCTGAACTAAACTGGGGGGCAAAACACACACATTTAGTTATAAAACAGGGATGTGCATTTCAGCTAGTTTTGATATTCGAGTATCTGTAAGAATTAATAAATAGTTAATTGGTTAACCAGTGGGATGGGGGAAAAAATGCTAAAAAAATAAATGAACATAGAGCTGCATGTTTGCCTTTTAAGCTGACAGCACTGACGCTACACAAAATTTTAGCAGCACACAGAGAAGAACATTTTTTTGTGTTTTATTATTCAAAAATAGCCAAGAAAAATCAGTAAGTTTGGGTGTTGGATGAATAACAAAGGCTGCTTAGGAGCGATAATGAGCTAACAAGCTACATGTCTAAAGTTGATGAAAAGTCACTGCCTTCTACACAAAGTTTTTTCTCCTCAGCAGACTATGTGCCAACATATTAGTTTGTCTGAAATAGTGGTGCGGGAAAAACTCGATTCTTATATGCATCGCGATGCGGACGTGAACGATTCTGAATCGATTCATAAATGTCAAAAATCGATTTTCTAAATATTTAATTTATAACGTAATGTTGACGGAACGCAAAAGGCGGAACTGGAAGTGGGTAAGTGCAGCGCCCGGACAGTCTCTGGCGGCACATAACAAAAACACAAGTGGAAGAGCGAGAAATCCGACCGGCTCCCTCTGCTTTAAAGCCAGGTTAGGTCAGGAATCACAACCCAAATGATAAGAAGAGACATTTGGACCTTTCAACAAGAATCAAACCACCTTGGGAGCCGCAATATTTAATGTCCAGTATGTCTCAGTATGTGATAATGTCCTAGTATGGGCTAAAAATATAAACGAGCGCGCAGGTTTACTTTGCTCTGCTTTAAGCTTCAGCTTTAGCCGCTTTCCTCCCATCTCCGCCAGGAAACTTTTCTTCGAAACTAGAAGAGTTTCTTGTAAAATGTCTCAGCGTCCGGCTGTTTTACGAGGCCGACGTCGCTTCTCATTCGCCAGCTTCTCGTTCTAATTTTCCCGTTCCACCTTAAATTCTGCCTTAGGCGCCGAATGTAACTGCTGCACCATTTAAGGTGGAACGGGACAATTCGAAAGAGAAGCGAGTTCATTTTCGCAACTTTTTAGAGAAAGGCGGTCTCTCGTTGCAGATTTAACCAACCGCGCTGCTTATAAATGCGAGTAAGTCCTCCAAATGTTCGTCTTAATCTGTTTTTTCGTTCGCTACTGGCGAGGCCAGACTGCATTGCTATGTGACCTGTCTGCTCTCAGTCGTTGAGAACCAGGGCTTTCGCGCTATGCTGCACACTTTGGAGCCGAGATTCAAACCCCCACCCCACACACACACACACACTCTCTACAACGAGACCAAAACCGAAGTTATAAAATGACTAAAGAAAACGGGAAGGATGGCTGTAACGTGCTGCGTGGACACCCATTACCACTGGATCTTATTTCAGGGTAACAGCGCATTTTATCGCAGATGAGTGGCAGCAGCGTCTCTGAATGAGAGGCTTCTAGTTCACTTGCCATATCACTTCCATTTGATTTATTAATAAAAGATATTTTAGATATTTAAGGCAAAGTATTTGTAATGATCCATAATGCATTTACATTATGGATCATTACAAATACTTTGCTTTAAAACTACCAAGTCCTGAGACAGTAGGAAGATAGAAATCCTGTATAGAGAAAAAAGATGCATCGATAATCGTTTTATGATAGCATCGCAGCCCTCTGAATCGTAATCGAATCGAATCGTGAGGTGCCTAAAGATTCCCACTCCTAGTCTGAAAAATATATTCGTACTAGCTTACATCAGCCAGAGCAGTTTAGCCTGGTAGAGTAGCCTGGTGAGTGATAAAACCACACCAGTGCGATCTCTGCCTTTTCAGTCACGTCCTTAACAATGCATTCATTGCAACATGATGATGTTCAGAGTAGCAAACTACAGTATAATACTCACAAGTACAAGCAAACTTGCCAAATTGTACAGTTTTTTTTAAAAAATACACTGGCCTTTTTACATAATTGTGGGACAGTATATTTCCTCTATATTTCTACAGAGCCCTGCTGGTGACATCCTGTCCTAAAAAAAAAAAAATTGTGGCCATAGCTTACTTAATTGTGGGAATGGGACCCTAATGCATGGCCACGACTTAGTAAGGCATGGGAACGAGAATTCATTTTTGCTAGTTAAGTTGCATTAGGATCCTGTTTACATGCCTTAGTAAAGGTTGGCTATGCATTATTTACCAGCAGGGCTCCACAGAAACGTAACAAATACCTGAACAGTGATTGCAGTATTCAAATACTGGCGCCTCAAGCGGTTAACCAAGTACTCAAGCATGCATGCACATCCCTGTTATAAAATGCACTTTACTTGAAATAACCAGAAATAAAAGATAACATTCTGTATTTTCGCTTTAGCATTTGTCTTTTTGTGCTGTATTTCTAATACCATGAGTACATCATGAAAACATCAGCTTTTGACTTCACTCTCCCAGTGTTTCTTGAGGGCACTACAGGTCTTTACTTACATTTTTCTGTGTAGGTCTCATACATGCTCATGATTTGCACTGACCCAGAGTCTCAAGGAGAGGAGAACTGTAAAATGTTGATAGAAAATATGCAACTCCATCCTATGAAAGTTTACAACAAACTTTAAATCAAAGTAAACACAAGACGTCTTAACACTGAATGTTTGTGAATGTTCCATAAAAACATTGAAATAATAATATTAAAAAGGAAACCATGAAATGTCTTAACATGTTGAACATTCGTAAGGTTTTTCTTTAGAGCTGCAAAAGTAAAGAGGTTGACACATGTTTGTGTCTTCCTGCCATTGTCAACCAGTGCTGGTCTCAGTTTAACAGTGTGTTCCTCAAGTAATCCATAACCAGTAGTCACTTACATGACTTCAGTATATTTCACCTTTGGCTTCACAGAAGGTTCACTTTTGCCACTACCTGCTTACATCCAGTACGTGAAAATTCCCGTTCACCCACAGAATAGTAAGACAGCTCCTCAGCTAGTCTTTCTACATGGGAGCGTTCTGGATAGAATCCTTCCCTGGACATCTCGTCTATGAAACATTCCATCACATGACCTTTCTCCAGGAGCGTAAGAGGCAGCAACTCAGCCTCCAGCCACAGTGAGTGGTGCTTTTTTAAACTGTTAAGCAACAAAGGGTTCAGCTCCTTGCTCAAGCGTGCCCGACCTGAAACAGCAATGCTCGAGGAATTCTGTAGGACAAATTTAGTGATTTCCTCATGCTCAAGGTTACTGATGAGGATGTAGATGGCATTCAAGTATTCGTTGTTGTCATGTGTGAGGATGAGTGCAAGCACAGTGTCTAGCAGTTCACCAGGCATGTGTTCCATTTCGTCAAAGATGAAGATGGGGATCTTCTCCTCTTCTTCGGCCCGAGTGACCATCTTGGAAATGTGGGAGGTTAGGGATTCGCTGCAGAGCAGCAGGTCCCCTTCTGAGGGACAGTGGTGCAGCACAAAGTACTGCATGACCAGCTGCTCTCCAACAACAGAGCGGAAGTGCTGAGCAAGCAGCCTGCCCAGGTGACTCTTCCCAACACCAGTGGGACCAAGGAGAGACACCACCAGAGGTTTACTGTGGACATAGGTCGACAGATAATCTTTTAAATGTCCCAAAAGACCCTCAGTTGCATCCTGCTGTCCAAAAACCTCCCTTTTGAGGGTTTTCTCAAGTCCCTCCAGATCGTACTTTAGCACATGGTCATCCAGGTTTTCGATGGCATTGTAAACCTGCAGGAAGACGATGACGCACAGTAGGACCAGGCAGTTCTTGGCCCGGCTACGCTCCATGGTGGGTGGGACACGGCGGCTGCTGTTGTTGGGGAACAGGACGCGCGCCTTCTTCTTTTTCTTCTTCTTGCTCGTAGTCATGGAGCTGTCACCCACAACCCCATCGAACGTGAAGATCTTGGGGCTGGTGGAGCGTGGGGAGGAAAAGAACGGCGTTTTTGACACTGACAGCTCCATGCGGCGCTTTTTCATTGCTTGGTACTTCTGACGAATCCGCACCACGGCTCGCACAGTTGAGGAGAACTGGGAGAGTGTGAGGTTCTCGCTTACTTTCCTGTTATCCATTTCGCCCTCTGATAACGTGTCAGAGGGGTCTTGGTCTCCCATCTATAAGAAAGCAGTGATATGAAAACATTATGTAATGCAAAAAAATAAATAAAAGGTACCACAAAAGAACTAAAAAGGTGCACCACTTTTTCTTTTTTTACAATGCTGAAATTGTGTGTCTTTATTAGGTTAGTATTATTGTCATTAGTAATAACAATATTATTAACAACCAAGGCACGTTAGATGATAATCTAAATGTTTCATGCATGACTACTATGTAGTTTTCAACTTTTATCTCCAAAATGGTAACTTTACAGCAGTTCTTAACTTTAAGTTACTATAACAAGATTTTTTTTAAAGTCATTTTGGACTATTTCTATTTTGTCATAAAATATTCACACAATGTAAAGAGAAGATAGCGTGTTCAGATGGTGTAAAAAAATGTAAATAGAAAAAATGGAGTTTTTGTTCTCATAGATATACATTTATATATTATAATACAAGTTTCTATATTAGTAATGTTATGTGGCTCAAATAATCCAGCTATTAGCCTTTCTTCTTAAAACTGGCTAGGTATAGAAAAAAAACACCTGTTATGTAAATGTGGCCACATTAAGAATGTTCAAAAAAGGTTGGGGGGGCGGTTTAAGGGGGAGTCTAACATTCCCTTAAATGCAAAATTAAGAGCTACTGTTACATGACTTGGGAATTAACATCTTGACACCAATCGTCTCCACCTACAGTGTTGTATGTGCTCCTCCACCTCCCTTTCTAGTAAGCCTGCCTCAGGCTCCATGACAGAATCTGACCTTTGGGGAAGCCATGGTTGACGCAGATGCAACTTTTACCTCACGTATCATCACTGCTATGATTCAGCCCCCAACTGAGCTGTTTTAATAGTTACGAAAATGAATAATTCCTCACATTTTTTTAACGCATAGCACCTTCAAAAACCCGAAAGGCAGCTTAGCTTCGACAATTCACAACTGCCTTTAAGAGAGCAGCAGGCCAGTGTAGACAAGCAACTGTGGACTCTATTCGTGGTTCAATGCAAATAATAAGACTATCATTTGCAGTGGTAAACAAAGGGCTCACAGATTCCCCTTATCAAATTCCAAACAAGGCCGGTTACGCAGGTTAACACAATGGAGAGACTGGATTCGGCGCACTTCGCTACAATACCAAAATGCAATGTCAAAAGTCAGAAAAGTTGCTTTTCGGTTCTCCAGGAGCCGCTTTCCCGCTAAACTGGAAGGCTGAACCGCGCAGCGCTGCTGTCGAACGTAGCTGAGGGAATGTTCCGCTGAAGCTCAGCATTTTTGGACGCCTGCTTTACCTCCATAAGCACAGACAAGAATTCCACGCATTCTGTCCTTTTTTCTCCCCCTCCCTTAAAAGCCCTCTGCCCATGCAAGATATGGTTTCCTTCCTGGACGTCCTGTGTGGGGCTGTGGCAGCAAACCCTTTTCACTTTTCACACGAAGCTATAAAGCTGCACAGGCGTCCGAACTGAGTTGGCACGACGTTTGCATGGCTGACTAACGAGGTGGAAAAAACCGTATCTGGACCTGTAGCTGAGCTTTGCATTTGTTGTTTTCTGCTGCCAAGTCTTTTCTCCCTCGGGCTGCTATAAGGTAGCTTTAGCTCCCGTTTTGTGACCTATGGTGGCTCTTTTCAGACTCTGACTACTTAGATAAACCCATGTGAAACGGGAAGTTGAGTTATTGAGAAAGCAAGATGAAGACAAGATTGTGGCCACGGTTGCAGTGATGTGGTAACTGCTGGAGGAGGGAGAGCAACTTCAGAAGCTTAACCACCTGCAAGGACCCACAACGCTAAGAAACAGAGTTCACTTACCTTTAGCAAGCACTTCAGGGAACTGATGAATTTGGCGTTCAACTCGAATCTCGAATCCTCCAGCCAGCGTGGACCACCGTGGGTGGTACTTATGACCAACACTAGAAGATTCAGAAGCTCATAACTCCTCCTATCTTCTCATCTCTCCCACCCAGCTGGCGGACTGTTAACCAAAGCCCTCCCCCTTCCTTCCTACAGTCACAAACGCTCATTCTGATGAAATGTACTTTATTTCTGTTCAGTTAAAAACACACGTTCACTATATAAGGACACTGTGACCACAGGTACAAACTGATTGCTGAGGAGGTTTTTTTTTTCCATATTGGCTAAACCCAGTGAGGCCATTCTTAAAATGGGAACTGTGCATTGATATACCATACCTATAATATTATCACATGGTTTTATCTCTTAGGCATGCTTTTATGAGTTCTTGCAACAAATCATGTGAGTTCAAATACATCCGCAGACCAGCAGAAACATGTTTACTTTGTATAAACTATAAAGTGGAAGGTGCGAGAAGACAGAGAGCTTGAGAGAGGCAGTGTGTGTGAGACCATATCAGTGGTGAGAAATCACATGGGTGGAGCTTCGACTGGTGGTTTAGAGTTTCAGGAAAAGAGCTGTGAAAGAGTACAGCATTCGGCTAAACATGCAAATGAAGCCCCTGACGGTAAAAAGGGTCACATTAGTGCGTGTGCATACATCCTTGTATGAAAAGACAAAGCATTGTTTATTGTGCACTGCATATTCTGACATAAAAGTCTGCAAAAATGGACTTTAAAGGGCCTGTATTCTATTTTTGTGTGACTTTATAACCTAACCTGCATACAAAAGTATAAACGTATAATTGTCCTGCATACAAAGTCTAGCTAGTTTTTAATTCATCAAAAAGATTTTAAATGCACATAGTCTTTCATTTTGGAAAATAAAAAAAAAGACAAAAATAAAGACAAGTATTAAAAACTACTGAGAGAAAAAAAATGACGAGGCCTAATACGAAATTATTTTGTTGAAAATGTTGTTGCTGACACTGTACTAGATTGGTTACAGCAGGATAGCTGGCCTTATTCTTCATATTGCTGTTAAAATGATTTACTAATTTACCAAGAATAACTAAAGAAGGTATTAAAGGAAAATTGGATTGTGTGTGAAAAAATGAGCAATTCAAAGAGGCATTTTGTTGCATGCTCTGCTTAACCACCAGTGGGCTGCATGGAAAATGCTTAGCAAAAAGCCAGTGGGCCCCTGGCTTTGCCATCAGTTGGCAAACAGTGGCCTGCTATCCTCTTGCTATCTGGGAAAAAACAGTCGTAATGACTATTTTTCAGCCTCTCTTTATCTCTTAATTAAACAGGCTGTTTTTATTTCTAATATATAAGATATATCTGTTCTGACTGGCAGCACTATGTCGTGTCTTATTCAAAAAGCAGTCTGGGCTGAAACATCTTAATGCTTCTGAAAACTAAGCTAAGCTGTTTTTAATGGGCAGGCTAAACCACTGTAGGATGAATGGGCAGTTATATGTAAATGTGTTTGTTTTCATGGTTTCACAAAAGCAGTCAAAACAGGGTGTTTTTCCAGCTTAGTTTCTATACATGGACTATATGGACTGGAAAGTGAGCATTTTGAAACAACAGTTTACATACTAAATCAAACTCTTATTTTATAAACTTGAGGAAAATTTGGTTTTCCACATCTTTAAGAAATAATGTAAAAAATATCTAATTTATCCAGTTTACTTCTTACCCCACTTGTAATCTTTTAGGTAAGGCATGTTTGGTGTGAAGTTTGCTTGTATAGTTTTAAAATGGAGGCACAAGGCTAATATAGTTAACAGATAATGCAAGCTTATACTTTACCAATTTGCATGGTGCAAATTGGACGCCTAAATCATCACACGCTTACCTCAGACTGTGTCATGTTATTAAATAATCACAAGTGGATTTACTTATGTGGTTTCTGATGCTTTGGCATACTGCTATTCAAAAACTAGGGAAAAGTACAGACAAAAATCCGGCTTCAACATGGCAGCTACTGATACTGTTTTTATTCATAGAAGTAAGCTAAAAAAAACAGTAGTAGTAGCTGTTGGGTAATTTACCACACCATGATTGAAATAAAAACTTAAAAATGTATGAAAAACACTCATTCATAATTTCTATGATATGACATACCCTCAAAACTAAGTTCCTGTTCAGGATTACAGGAACAAGAGAACATAATTAAAGAATGAATAAATCTAGTGAAAAATACTGTCAGCTGGTCAACATGTTGACAAACACACATAACCTCTCATGCAAAGGCTTAACTAAGTCACAAGATTAAAGAAAGAAATCAGCAGACTGAGAGAGAGAGAGAAGTGGTGGGGTGAGAGCACCCGCAAGTGACTTCCCCATCTAACACATACTTGGTCAAAGCAGTTATAGCTTTCTGCAAATTATATGTAAAATAGACAATCTACATATACAATTGCTGATTCATCATTACAAATCAAAAACTACTATAATGCAGACTTGGATTGGTCCAGAAACTAAACTAAATATAGTATCATTGATGAGATTCAGTCAACAAAGATAGCATCCGTCATGTGCATCTTGATGACGTCAGCAAGTGACATGTTGATTTTCTAAATGAAAATAAGTAGACATCCTATACAGAGAACACACTTCTGCACATTTTAATGTTTTTTCACTGAATTTTAAATATTTGGAAAAATAAATTATAAAATGCAGCCTGTGTGAAAGTTACAATAATATTAAACTCAGCAAATAAATGTGCACTAAAATATGCTCCTTATAGTATTTTTCTTTTTAATATTATAAACGTTAATATTTACAATATTAAATATTATAAAAACATTGCATTCACACTGTATTTGCTTGCTGCTGCTACATTAATACCAAAATGTCACAGCATAATTATCCATGATACATTGTGCTGAATAGAGTTGCTTTTTACTTTCCATGTAGCACTTAATTTGGTTCATGATAATGATAAGTGATTTTTCATTTTAGAATTTAAAACACCACTGTGGCTTATTAAAGAACAAATTATTTTGTTAATAGAAAGTATTGAAAATGTACTAGTGTGTGGCTAACAAAATTTAAAAAAAATCTATGATAATTCACAATAAGTGCACTTACATTTGCAGTACTTTTTTCAGAAATTATTTCAGCTTTGGATGTGGAGAAGTAGAAGTGTTATTTAATTCCAGACCCCATGCACTTTTGTGTTCTTGCAGCTTAAAGACACATGATTTAGGCTCTGATGAAGCTCGTCATGAACTGGGTCAGATGTGTTAGATCATTGATAACACACACACCTGTACAGTATATGACTGGGCCTGGACAGTAGAACACTAGCGACCTAATTTATAAAACATTCACCGGCATCAACGGGCCCACATCATGGAAAACTGAATTTTCCTCTCTCTTTTAAAGTGAAAGAGTTTGATGCAGTACATAAACACTGCTGTCTGGTTCACACAGTCCATGTATGGCTGTGTCCAGCACAGGTCGCCACCGCTGATACATGGAAATTAAATGGCCTGTTTTCAAGTCATTGTTTTTTGATTTCATGAAAACCAACATTCTACATATACATATACATCTAATTTTCCGTTCCACCTTAAATAGTGCAGCAGTTAATAAAATTCTGCATTATTTAAGGTGGAACAAGAAAATTCGAATAAGAAGCTGACTTCATGTTTTATAAACCCTCGTACACGAATGCTGAGAACGTATCTTAAGAACAAATTAAGAAGGCAATTTAAGTACGCTATATACGTGAGGCACAGGATCGACAAACACTGACGTAAAATCGTTACAGCGAAAGCTTTTATTTTGAAAGAAGTAACCATTTCAACACGCGCCCCGGAAAAAGACTGCTGACAGCTAATTCTTCACTTCTGAACGTCGATGCGATTTATTTCTTTAAAACATGTACAAAATGCCTAGTACTAAAGTAGTGTAGCTAGACATTAACAGTTAATCTCTATTTTTTGAAGGTAGTGCTAAAACCATTGTTCTTTTAATTCCCTCAGTTTATATGCCATCTGGCTAGCTAGCTAGCTAACGTTAGCGTTGTTTTGTTTTGTTCTGCTCTTCGTGTCAGGAGGAAGTCTACAGTTTAGCTGTCAGTTTAATAAATGAGTTAAACTCTTTGTGGCCGAAGAAAGTGTACAGTTTTGTTACCAGTTTAACACATGAATCAAGCGCTTCGTGTCGAGAGAGAATCTGCAGTGTAGCTACCAGTTTGACACATGAGTGTTTCACTTGTTGTGATCCGTTTGGAGCTCGCAGACCAATCTCTTATGCCGCAAGGCTTTCAGTACTGTGCTGGTAAGCTATGAAGCCGACCGTATAGATTTATATTGACAACGTAACTTTAATAACTAGCTAGATTGAGATGTATCGCATTCTCGAAGGTGTACATGAATTGTGCTAACTAAATCACGTCATATGTATATAAAATACATAATAACAGGATTGACAGTGTTGCTGTTTGTTATAACGTTACGTTAACCTTTGTAGCTGGCTGACTGAATTGATCCGAACTGAATCAAGTAGTGTACAGTGACGCATAATGCATAAGGGATTTGTTTTAGTCCAAGTTTCTCAGAATAAGATGAAGATAAAACAGACCTACAATATTGATCACCTCTCCTACTGCAGTAAGAAGAGTCTAATGTATCTAATTTGGCTGACTAAATTGAACTGAACGGGATTCACTTGGTTCATATAAATCACTTTGTTGGCCAATCCACTGAACAGTGACGCAGCACTTCATGTTCAAGGAAATAGTCGAAGTATCTTTAATCTTTTTTTTTATCAAAATAAAATGAACATGAAACAGGCCAGCGTTTTCAATTGTGTTCTTTCTTATTGCAGAAATATGTGTCCGTTTTTCTAGAAAATCTCTGAAACACTGAGGAGATGGTGTTTGTATTTCACTAAAGTGATGAAACCTAACACTTACTACTCTTTCTGCTTCCCTGCAGATGAGGAGATGTCAGAAGAGGAGAAGAGAGAGAAAGCCCTGGGCTCTGCCAAGATTGCACTGGCCGGCAAGACAGAACTGGAGAAAGCAGCCATCCTCCATCAGCATATTGGAAGCAGGGCCATGTCCGACATGGTTATTGAGACTTTAACATCTGGCCCAGGTTAGAGCTGCATATCGTCAAAGCAAAATTGGGGATCTGTAGATACAGAAGGTTTCTATATTTACAGGTATAAATAGTTGCCATAAATGTAGCCTATCAGTGAAGACATGTTTGGTGTCTAAAGTTTTCTTCTTTAGTTTTGCACTAGAGGCTAGTGTATCTGAGATGTGTTGGAAGATTATGGCTACCTGTCAGCACTGTGAAAACTGAATGCCTAAATCCTGACAAACCACATAAGCAATTCTGTTTGACATTATCACTTTCCTTGGTTTGAGGCAAGCATGTGGTAATTTAGGCATGCAGTTTGCACAGTGGTAATAGCCTCATAGCTTCAGTGCAAAAGAAGCAAGCATTGAACACCAAATGTACCATGACTGATCATGGTACATTTGATTTTGTGGTATAGAGAAAAATGTCTAAATTAGCATTTTCAGAAAACTGTCTATTTAATTATGTTGTGTTTTTAGTATAAGTATGTGGTGTAGTTTTAAAAATGATAGTCACCAAACTGAAACTCCTTTTTAGATACACCTGATGAGAAGGAAGCTGATCACCCCACTAACAATGAAAGCAGCAGTTTGAAGGAGCAGACTGTTGGAACTCCAGTTCCTGATTCGCCCTCCAAACAGCTTCCAGACCAGATTTCCTTCTACAGTGGGAATCCATCAGTAGAGATTGTCCATGGCATCATGCACCTCTACAAGACAAAGTGAGAACTCTGTAATGTAGGATGATTATTTCTATAATCAGCTAATCTAATGTTACTCACAGTTGACAGATTGTACCATTGTGCTTCCTGCCATTTTGTCTTACTTTGCCCCTGTTATAGCACTGCCATCATTTAAAGTTCTGTCTGTGGACACCACTGATGAAAACATTTTATAGCATTGCTTGTTTTGGCAGATTCTTTTATTTGTTATGCGTTGCTTTTTTAATGATCCAAATGCCACCTCAGTGCTAGGCTTACTGGTGTCTCTCTGCACGAACTGATGGTGCAGCAACAAACAGTTGGCCAAAGAACAACTGAGCATTTAGTTGTCCGATTATACTTCCTTGAAATGACCTCTGACTACATACAACAAAAGCTATAATTTCTATGTGGTTCACTCAGTATAGATACAATTACTTTCAAATTAAAGCTGACGTTAGGCACTTAGGCCTCAGATATATTGCTTCATTTAATATCCAGTGTGCTGAGGTACTGAGCTAAAATAACAGTAATTGTCACTACACAATTACTTACAGACTGCACTGTACTTTATATATTGAAACGCAGTCCATAGTTGTCATATCGTCAAAATAGAAAGCCTGAACAGTAAGCTCTTTGTTTCTGTAGATGCTTGTTAGAAGGTGACTCACGCAAATGCATTTTTCTCCCTTGTTTACTTTGGACCACAGCAAAATGACATCGCTGACGGAGGATGTGAGGCGCAGTGCTATGCTTTGTGTGCTTACTGTGCCCACAACTATGACCAGCCATGACCTTATGAAGTTTGTGGCACCCTTCAATGATGTCATGGAGCACATGAAGATTATCCGGGATTCCACACCCAACCAGTACATGGTGCTTATCAAGTTCAGCACCCAGGTGAGCTCCCATCTGTTTGTGGAATTGTTGACATTTGCTAGCAATACATCATTCCTTTTACACAGTGTAGGTTTTGAGTGTCACTGGCCTGTGCGTCCCTCCCTGTAGAACTATTTGTTGATGCTGATTTGCCTGGTTTGCCTCATGCCACTTTTAAATAAAAAAGTATGTGTCTTTCTTCAGGCTGATGCTGACAGTTTCTATACAGCCTGCAACGGCCGGCAGTTCAACTCCATCGAGGATGCTGTCTGCCAGTTAGTCTATGTGGAGAGGGCAGAAGTGATCAAGTCTGAAGAGGTCAGTGTCAGCTTTGTTAGTGGACATTTCTTGATGATGGTCCATTGATGTCATCCATGCTTAGGTGTTCTAGGTCTGTTGTAACCAATCTGACCATGTTGAAAGGCCTAGACATGCTATTCCCATTCTCCCTCTTTAGAGAAGAGAATTATCTTACCCAGTTCTATACTATTTAGCCACTGAGCATTGTGAGCCATCTACAGTCATACGGAAAAGTGTAACATTCTCCATACATTTACACGTTTTGTTGATTTTAGGTTGTTAACACATAAGAAGTTAACACATTCTCTACAAGGAACAGACTTAAATATGGCATTTTTCTGTTAATTTTAGTGCTTTATTTGCTGAATTTAACATATTGAAAAAAATAAAACATTAAGTATGCCATAACTTTGGTAGATGTTACATTTTGTGTTTTACTCGCCTCCCCCCAATATTCAACACATAAGTAATAAATTAGAATGTGTGCAAGTGTGTGTTTTCTGTAGAGCATGTTTTCTTATTTTCACTCCCATTATGAGAAGAAAACAAATCAGCACTTTAAAATTCTGAAAGCAAATACAATAACCTAATCACATGTGCTGAGAATAAGAATGTGACATTTTGAAAACAGATGAGGGACGTTTCTAGCTCTATTCTACCTTCATTGTTTGCTTGTTGAATTCAAGTAATTTTTCAAAATTTCTGCATAATTCAATCACAGAGTCATTCGGAGTAGTCTGATGTGAAATGGTGCGTTGTAGAGAAACTTTCAAAAATTTTTTTTACGGACATGTTGATGGGAATCTCTGGATGTCTACAAAATTTTATCTACTGTCCAGAGTGAACAGTGAACGTACACATGTCTTCTGAATTATTATGTAGTGCTGATAAAGGTCTCAGGTATCAGGCAATGTTATCAGAATTATTTAATGTAATAGCTTTTTGTGATGTAGACTTTAAACACCTCGGACATCTGGTTCCTATCACCACCGCTGTGAAAAATTCTAACTCTGTAATTTTCTGTGGAATGGAGCATGTCACATCAAAACACTCTGAATGACTTTGCTTACATCTTAACTATTTAATTATGCTGATATTTTGAAAAAAGAGGGAATTACCCTTTAATACCCCTTAAGTAATAATCCTACTTTTTTTAAATGCCCCTGGTAAACCTTTGCTTTGAGGCCAAGTGTCTCACAGTTTCATAGTGAACATGTACTTGCACTTCGCAGCTGCCAGCATTTTGTTCCTGAGAGGCATTTTGTCTAGAGCCATCCTCAGTGTGTGTGATACTGGCTTGTGATCCTCCTTTAAACCTTTCCCTTACATCTTCAGGGGGCCAGCTTACCAGTAATGGACTTGACTGAACTGCCCAAGTGTACCGTGTGTCTAGAGCGCATGGATGAGTCCGTGAACGGGGTACTTACCACTCTCTGCAACCACAGCTTTCACAGCCAGTGCTTGCTGCGCTGGGAGGATGCCTCGTAAGTACGACTTCAGCACATTTGTATAAAGACTTGCCTGTGTGGTGTCTGTAAAGCCAAATTCCCTTATATCTCTTAAGAAATAAAAACATTCCAATTTCTGTTCAGTTTCTGTTCATTACAGAACAGTGTTGCAAAGGAATTATCATTGGTTTACTGGAATTATATCCAACTCCCTCTTTTCTGAACTTTTCATTGAGCCAACGTTCTACGTCTTTCATGTATTCCCTCCACCTCCCTCTGCATTCTCCATTGATGACAGTGCACTGACGTATGCAACACCGTTTACTGTTCTAACATCTGTTATTTGTTTAAACTCATCCCAGTTGACATTTTCCTCTTGATTTCTCGTTGCCTTGTCATAAAGGCCTGCTGGGTAGTTCTCCATTCTTCCTTGCTTTTTACAAACAATATTTTGCTATGCGTTTTTTTGGCTATTGTGCCATTGTAGCAGATGACCTTTGACATATCAGGTGAGCGATGTGACAATGACATTTCCAAGGGGGCACAATAGAATTGCTAACTGCTAGTGTTTAGGAGAGTGTTTGTAGTGTTTTTGTGTATTTAAGAGTGCTTATGATCTGATCTTGCTCTTTAGGTGCCCTGTGTGCAGGTACTGTCAGACCCCTGAGCCAGTGGAGGAGAATAAGTGTTTTGAGTGCGGAGTGCAAGAGGTAAGGAGAGATTTGAATGCAATACTTGTTATGAAGCTTGGTAGTTGGTGCATATGTAAAATTTTCCTTTCACTGTTTATAGAACCTGTGGATCTGTCTGATCTGTGGTCACATTGGCTGTGGCCGCTACGTTAGCCGCCACGCCTACAAGCATTTTGAAGAGACGCAGCACACCTACGCCATGCAGCTGACCAACCACCGTGTCTGGGACTACGCAGGAGGTATTTATACCCAGAGAGCAGGGGTGTTAATCTATAACCTCACAACAATTCAGTAGTAGTTTGTTTTTGGGAAATTATTAAATGCATCATGAAATTTGATTTGATGCAACTATTTTAGAACGATTCAGAATTACTATACTATACACCATTTTTATTGTTTTCAAATAGGCTCCCTTTTATTTTTAATACCATAGCTTTGTTATGGAATGTTGTTATTATAATCAATTGTGTCATTGATGGATGTGATTGATGGATTTTTACACCCCTACTGTATAAAAAATAGATTTCAGTGCAGCTTTACAGTAGACATTGCACATTAGCTGACTACTGAGATTCCTGTTTATTCACACAATCGAGACATGAAATGAGCCACTTCTTGTTTATGCGAGCAGATAACTACGTGCATCGGCTGGTTGCCAGCAAGACGGATGGGAAAATGGTGCAGTATGAGTGTGAAGGCGACTCCTGCCAGGATGAGAAAATCGATGCACTACAGCTTGAGGTGTGCTTTTTGGGGATAGTTATAGTCTGCCATCTACAAAACTTGCTTTTTACTTAAACTCTTAAAATATCTGAACTCCCTTTTGCAGTATTCCTATTTGCTGACCAGCCAGCTGGAATCCCAGCGCATTTACTGGGAAAATAAAATTGTTCATCTAGAAAAAGAAACAGCCGAAGAGGTAAGATGGTGACAATGTAATAAACCGGTTTTACAGATGCATAGATACATGTAAATGTTGAGATGTGTTGCTTTTGCTTCAGATCAACAACATGAAAGCCAAGTTTAAGGAGACCATTGAGAAGTGCGACAATTTGGAGCTCAGACTGAACGAACTAACCAAAGAGAAACAGTCCATGGAAAAGAAGTAAAATCTATATAATATTTTCTATTATATTCTGCACTATATTAACTCTGCGCTAACTAGTGGCTGGTTATTTGCCCTTTATCCAACAAAACCAGCAAAGAAAAAATAACGAAGAAAACATACTCACATTGTACCCATCAAAATGTATTAAAAACATTTTTTAAATTGTTTTTAATACAAGTTACCTTGTTTTCTTTGCTGTTTTGGAATTACCTAACATGCAAGTTTATTCTGAGGAAAACAGTATTACATATGTAAATCTTTGATGAATAATGGCCACTAATCCCCCAATGTTGCATGTGGTCACATCTGATTTCATCTTTGCCGTATCTGTATGATCAATCTCACAACTCGTAGGAGTGTGTAACAGTTGAACACCCTGGAAAAAAATGCTTGGTTTGCGGTTAACTGATCAAAACTATGATTAATATCTGCTGTAATACCAATAATAAGAATGTAATTAATACTAGTACTAGTTACTTGTGCACATGGCAGTCCACATATTTTACATGCACATTGCTGTAAACAAATGCTGGTGCTTTTGTTTAACACTACTGACACCGCCCAAAAATACAGCATTAAATGTTATTTTATGAAGATAATCACTACACAGTCACATTATTCTGTCATCTTAGAAGAAGTTTTGTTTATTTCACATTTTATCCTTTCCAACACATCCATTGGCTCATAAGCCGCTAAATGCTGTCATTTTATTGCCTCCCCACCAAAACATCTGCATGAATTAGGGGGTACTTCATGTAAATGATATGTACATAAGGTACTGGTAGACTGGTGCTTGATTTCATGCACTATAGATGATGCATCATTTGCACTCAAATCTGATGAAGATGAGGATGTTCATTCCATTATTGTGATGTCGGCTCAACCTTCTCAAGTGTTAAACCACCTTTAGGCCAAAAAGAGTTTCAGTATGTGCTGCTAATGATAATTTGAAGAGAAAACTGTCAAGCGCTCATCAAAGTAAAACCTTTTCTTCATAACAAGGAAAAGACTTCAGTAACCATGAAACAAAATGTGGCAAAATATGCACAAAGTATTAGTAAATAGCTGTGTTAATTTGATTGTACTTGCATGTTTATTTTGTTAGATTTATGTAATTTAAAATACCTCTGCAGGTGTGTTTTAATTGAAAAATGACAAATAACAGTGAATATCAGAAAAAATGTTCAAAAAGGGGATACAGACTAGCTTTAATTTGCTGTCCATTTTCAAATAGATGCACACAACTTAACAGCAAGGTGGCCAAGCTGGGCCAGGAGCTGAGGGAGGAGCAGGAGATGAACCGCTGCCTGAGAGCCAATCAGTTGCAGCTCCAGACGCAGCTGCAGGAGGAGGAGAGACGGGGCAGGGAGGCTGCCTCCCAAAAGGACGTTCAGATCGCTGAGCTGCAAGAGCAGCTGCGTGACATCATGTTCTACTTGGAGACGCAGCAGCAGATCAATCAGATGCCGGCTGACGCTCGCCAAGAGATCCAGGAAGGACAGATCAACATCGCCTCGGCCCCTGCACCGCCCCAGCCCGGACCCTCTGCTACAGGCTCAAGCAAGCTGGGTAGCAGGAAGGGGCGTGCCAAGAGAGGGAAGTAGCCAATCAATGGAGTGGGCTAGCATAAATGACAGACTTGGGGAGACTGCCTCGAAACTGGAATTGTCTATAAAACTGACTTTTGGTCACCTTTTGTCAGCCCACTCAGCTGTCCACCAGTAGCTACTAGCAACCTAGTGCCTCTTGTGTATATAAGAGGTTGGAAAAGATGCTGGCTGTACAAAGAGTAACGTACATATAGCACTAATGAACCCTTCACATCAGTGTGAGTCACTTTCCCAGTTTATCAGAAATATATTTTGGGCACTCGTGGCTCCAGTGAGGGTTCTGCTTAATCAAGTCTCTTGTGTGTTATTTGAATGTAGTGTGCAGCATTTATGTTAAGGCTGTTGTATGATTGAAAAAGCCCAAATTTGATCATCTTTTTCTGTACAAAAACTTTGCACAGCAACACTATGAGCAAAACACAGTGGTATTGCCTGTATCTGTTTGAGTGTAATTCTGAATACTCATTTAGTGCCTAGAAAAGACATATTTTGTACTTTTCTGAAGCCAAAAACTTAAGTATTACTTGTAATCTACTTAGAAAAAAGTCACATTACCAAACTGTTGTTCTGACTTAGTTTAATGCAAAATGACGTACATTCTTTACCTGAATAGCCTAGAACAGTCCCTCTCACCACCTATTTAAAAACAATGTAGCAGGAGCTGCACAAGTGCTGCTGAAGCATATGTGCAGCCAGTTTCCAGTACAGTACTCAGCAGCAAGAAAATGCTGAAATCCTTGAGTTAAAGTTGAGATTATTACACCAAACTGAAAGCAATGGTCCAGAGTTCTACTCAAATATGCATCTGTCAGATCCGTGTTGATCAGAAAGTTAAGGTACAGTTTTATTGCAACATTAACTGTTGTGAATGATGATGCAAACCTTCCCCTGTAATGTAACTTGATCTATTAAAAAAACACTGGACTGAAAGTGAATGTCTCTTTCCAAACAGTGGATTACAAATTGGCAAAATCAGGATTACTCAGTTAAAGCAAGGAACTTAAGAAAAAAAAACTGAAGTACATGGTTAACTGTTTCATCACACTACCTCATTACTTTTTCCTGAAGTAGCAGTTGAAACACATTCAGAATTTTCAATCTAAACTCCATCTGCGGCGTCTAACACACTAACAATGAAATAGGTGCTAAAGCAGGTTCCCATTGTCTTCTACTATAAGCTTTAAAGCTTTTAAAAGGAAAAAAAAGGAAAATTGCTACATCCGTTGGAAACATTCTCCATGCCTCTTCTACCTATGCCATAGAAGTCTCTAAAGCGAGATTTCCTGGGTTAAAGACTAGAAACCTCCCACCCTACTAATGGTGTATCGTACAGGTGGAAGTGCTTTTAAAGACAAGCGCTTCAGTATGGATACTTTCAGGAACAGTAATCCGATTTCTGCTTTGCAACCAACCAATAAACTCACAGAAGAAGAACTCGGAATTCTTTCGGATTTCTCAGTCTGCGCATGCGCAAGAACAAACGGCTGTACCAGATATAAGCAAGCAGCGTTGCCGCGATGGCAGCAAAACACTTTGGAGCAGCGCTGAAACCAAACACGAAATAAAGGATTTAAATATTCTTTATCTTCTAGATCATGTATGTTTATATTTTCAGGTAAAGGGGCGCAATGTTTAACAAAAAGCTGCGGCATGAAGTTTGAGTTTACGTCACGTCTTCTTCTGTGAGTTTATTGGCTGGTTGCAAAGCAGAAATCGGATTACTGTCTCGCTCATGTAGACCCGGAGTTTATCTTTATTATCTTTATACTCAAGTGCATGTAAACATGTTGATCGGGTTACTGACAAAATCTGATTTTCTGCAGTTATCGGATTATTAAGCGCATGTAAACGCACTCACTGAATGACAGTAACGTGAAATGAAACAAAATTGTGAAACCAGTGAGGCTGAGGGGCACAATACAGCACTATGGAATACAAACTAGCAACAAATAACATGAAATAGCCCTTTAGCTTTAAAGCTAAAATAGTCCAATGAACCTTTTGTCCAAAAAGTGTTCCTCAGAAGCATAAAATCGTATACAATAAATACATAAATCGTTAGCACATTTGCCAACCAGCGCTATAGCATGGTACCATCTGCTGGACAAAATCTCGTCTGGGCCAAACTGTCCTGCATAAATCAACATTTTATTATCAAGACGACTCTATTCTACTAATCTATTAGTGTCACATTGCAACATACCTTCGTAAATCAGCGGAGCAGTGTTAACACCTTTTACATTGACGAAGTGTGTGCTAAATGACATTATACAATGTATATCTACAATTTATCTTCAATATACCCAAAAACAAGTTCTCCAGTTTTCTCCAAACTAGTTAGTTGAAAACTAGATTAATCTGCATGACCTAAACCAGAACGTCACCTCTACCACAACTGTGGCTTCTGCCACCAGTTCTGGAGGGTCCCTGCATGAAATAGCCCTTAAATTTTACAGGCCTATATTTAAACTAGTGCTAGAATATATACATTTAATGGAAAATCCAAAATGAAAGACCTGAACAATTACACTTAATACAGATTTGAATTATACCATTGCGATTAAAATTATTTATTACATTCTTAAACATAATGGCAAATCAACTGAACACAGTTCCTTTTTTTGGTACATTTTATTAAAAAACATCCTTTCACATTCCAGTGTTTTTATTTTATTTTCAATTTTCCTAACAAATGGGGGGAAAAGAGAGATGACAGATTGTCAACCACTTTGTGCATCTCAAAAGGAGCTCTCTTCAGTCCAGAAATGTTGTCACTACAATCCGGGGACAGTTTGGTCCAGAGAGCTCTGAGGGTCGAGCATCAGAACAACTGTTTGTTCACACAAGCAATTCTCTATCTCCTCTCATCAGATTAAAATAAAAGAAATAAAAAAAGATGGAAAAAAGAAACACAAAGATTTGACCCCTCTACCCAAACATAACTCCAAGCAGAGCAAAGCTGTAGACCGCAGCACACGTCTCCCCCATCTATAAATATGAAATTCCTACTTTTAAACCTAACACAATATGTAAACAGTTGCATCTGCTGTTGCACTCCCCTTATTACACATGAAAAAATTCCAAAGAACAAAAGTCTACTTAAGCTGCTTGTGTATTTTAGTTACGCCAATTTGTTTTCTTTCATTTTTGGTATATCTTGATTATTATTAAAATTAAAGAAAAAAAAAAATTTCTCACAATTTTTAGGGACCTCAGTGCAATTTACATTTTTATTCTCCAAAACAGTATAAACAGTAAACATAACTTGTCTTTAAAAAAGTGTTTGTCCCCCTTTTAACAACTGAAATTGATAACGCAATACAATAAGTTGGCCCCAGCAGAGTAGAACAGGGGCCTTTCCTTTGACCAAGCAAATGTAAATAATGTGTGAGCATCGAAATCAAAGCAAGACCACCATCTGAGTAAAACAAGGTGTCTCACATAACAGAGAATAGCCCCATACTTGCAGCGGTCAGTGCTACTTTGTGTAGACCGTTCCTTCAGTTGGCAAAACAAACCATAGGCAGGAAAGCTACATCTTGCAATACAGATGGCCCTTGTTGAAACAAGTATTCTGTAAGGTCCATTAAATCAGTGCCCTACATAAGCTCACTGTGTAGCAATGAAAAAACAAAGAACAACGCTAAAGTGGAAAACAACTGTTCTAATTTACTACAGCGACGTTCACTCCTTTCTCTTGCCCAAAGACCGTTGTTAATGCAGTTTGAAGCATATGCAAGTGGATACATCGCACAGACTCTTCCACCACACGCTACAACGCCATTACTCCTGATGAGGACTCAAAAACAAAGCGCTGCGCAGCTCCACGGCTGCTACGGAAGCAGCACCAAGCCACTTAATTGCACTGAACAGCTACATTAGCGTCTTGCGAAGTTCTCACCAAAGGACTTTTGGTGTACAAGGCTCGGCAAGTAAAAGCTGTGACGAGCAGCGCCGCACAAAAATGGGCGACATTCTGAAGTGTGGGAGCGGCGGCGTTGTTTAATTGGGAGCAACTCAGAGGGACAGTGGGGTAGAGGGGCATCTACAGCTAGGTAGTAAATAGTGAGACAACGACATTAGACAGTGACAAAAAGGACAAAGCAATTCACTTTAATTCTGGCAAGGAGTTCAGGTGGATATTCTCGGACCTTCACACTATGTACAATAATTTATAGAGTAGTTCTTCTAAAATTGCTTATTTGTTTGTCTATCTAGTTCACGAGGAATATGAGGAACATCTGTATTCACTTGATCGGTGGCTCAGAGCACCGTAGATGGTTGTGCTGAAGCAGCTGTGAGTTTTGTGCGTGCCAGTGTGTAAAAGGGGGGGGGGTGGTGATGCTAGATATGAAAAAGAGAGTAAAGGAAAGAGAAGAAAGAGAAGAAAGAGAAAAGAGAAAAAAGAGAAAAGAGAGAGAGAGAGAGAGAGAGAGAGAGAGAGAGAGAGAGAGAGAGAGAGAGAGAGAGAGAGAGAGATGTGTGATGGCGCAATGAACTGAGGACTGTGTGACTTGTTGGGTGTGCTGGTCTGAGGGTGATCGTTCAAATCTTCAGGGACTTTAATGTGTCGACTCTTTTCCTCAGCAGATCCCCAACCTCCTGCAGTGACCGCAGGTAGCTGCTCTGCACTTTGTCCATTACAGTCTTTGTGAAGGTTCCCTCCTCCTGGACAAACATATAAATGCCAAAATACCAATCATATTCACAAATGTACATCACACCATTTTTATCAGAAAATCATTTTTCTTGAAATGGCAGAACTCAAACTAGGCTGACAGAATTCAGAGTTTCGAGTTCAAGTTTCAAGTATATTTGTCATTTGCACAACATGTCAGGACATTTATGCATTGAAATGCTTGTGGTGAGGCTCAGGTAATCACTCTAAGTAAAAATAAAAATACAAGAAAAACTAACTGACATTAAATATACACACAGAATATAGAGACAATATACATTTTAAAGTGACTAAGTAACTCAGTGTTATTGTTATTTAAAGTGACTTTTAAAGCAGTGTTTGTAATGATCCATAATGAATTTACTTCCAATATCTTTTTTAATGAAACAAATGGAAGTGATGTGGCAAGTGAACTAGAAGGCTCTCATTCAGTGCTCTTGTTTGGAGCACGAGAAGCTGCTGCTACTCATCTGCGATGAAATGCTCAGTTACGGTGAAATAAGATCCAGTGGCACACACACATTTTTATATATATATATATATATATACACACATATATACACACACACACACACACACACACACACATATTAGGGGTGCGGGAAAAAAAACGATTCTAAGATGCATCCCAATGCGGACGTGAACGATTCTGAATCGATTCACAAACATCAAAAATCGTTTTTCTAAATATTTAATTTATAACGTAATGTTGACGGAACGCAAAAGGCGGAACTGGAAGTGGGTAAGTGCACATAACAAAAACACAATGGGATGAGCGAGAAATCCGACCAGCCCCCTCTGCATTAAAAGCCAGGTTAGATCAGGAGTCACAACCCAAATGATAAGAAGAGCCATTTTGTCCTTTCAACAAAAATCAAACCACCTTGGGAGCCGCAACATTTAATGTCCAGTATGTCTCATTATGTGATAAGGTTCTAGTATAGGCTAAACAATATAAACGAGAGCGCAGATTTACTTTGCTCTGCTTTAAGCTTTTGCTCAGCTATAGCCGCTTTCCTCCCATCTCCGCCAGAAAACTTTCTCCTCAGAAGTAGATCAGTTAAATGTCTCTCAACATTCAACTGTTTTACGAGGCTGAAGTTGCTTCTTATTCTTCAGCTTCTTGTTCCACCTTAAATTCTAACAGGCGCTGAATGTAAATGCGGCATCATTTAAGGTGGAACGGGAGAATTCGAAAGAGAAGCTGACTTCAGCTTCGCCACTTTTTAGTGTTTGACAGTCTCTCGTTGCAGATTTAACGTACCAGAAAACCAACTGCGCTGCTTAAAATTGCGAATAACGCATCGCTGCTAGGTGACCTGCAGTCTGCACACCAGTTCTCAGTTGTTGCGAAACGGGGCTTTCTCGCTGTTTCACACATCCTGTCTCAAAGATATTTTACCGACACAGTGATCCCCCCCGTCTCTACAACGAGACCAAAACCGAAGTTATAAAATCACTAAAGAAAACGGGTAGAATATCTGTAATGTGCTGCGTGGACATCCATTACCACTGGATCTTATTTCACCGTAACTGCGCATTTTATCGCAGATGAGTAGCAGCAGTTTCTAGTGCTCCAAACAAGAGCACTGAATGAGAGCCTTCTAGTTCACTTGCCACATCACTTACATTTGTTTTATTAAAAAAGATATTGGAAGTAAATTCATTATGGATCATTACAAATACTTTGCTTTAAAAGTACCAAGTCACTTTAAATAACAATAACACTGAGTTACTTAGTCACTTTCAAATGTATATTGTCTCTATATTCTGTGGATATTTTGTGTACATTTTGTGTAAATTTAATATATTTCAGTTGGTTTTTCTTGTATTTTTATACATATCTTATTTACTTTCTGTAGAGTGGTTACCTGTGCCTCACCACAAGCATTTCAATGCATAAATGTCCTGACATGTTGTGCAAATGACAAATAAACTTGAAACTTGAACTCGAAACTTGAGCTCACACAGTGAGAAAATATAAATGCAATATAGAAAAAAAAGATGCATCGAGATGCATCGATAATTGTTTTATAATCGCATCTGAAACCGAAGCTACTCAGTGTATCTAATTATATATCTGATTATTGAATACTGAACGCATGTTCGTCAGCAAATCATTTTATGCAATTGGCACAACTTGAACTAGGCAGAACTCAGATATGTAGGCAAGACAAACAGCTTACTGACCTCAGTCTGGGACAGTCCCTCCAGAGAAAGGGATTCCATCTTCAAGGCTGTGAGGTGGCTCTCCTGGCCCTTAATATGCTCCAGGGCCTGGCTGAGAAGACTTTGCAGGCTGCTCGTGAATTCCTGGAACCCAGAGAGCACCACTGGCTGCAGACGGACAAAGAGGAAGAGTAAGACACAAGTTCAAGCCATCTTTTCATCAAAATGGGATCCAATAATGAAACAGCTGGACAGAAAATGATAAAAGCTAAAGAGAATGAACATGAGCTTACTGTTACTGCACTAGCATCCTTTTTCTTTTTCTTCTTCTTTTGTAAGCTAGACTTAAGCGGTCGGAGCGTGCTGCCACAGTAATTGGACACCCAGAGGACAACACAAATTGTCTGGTACAAAACATTAACAGGCCTTGTTAACGATATTAAAAGGTGTGACTAATATTTACAATAGTACATTTATGAATGCTGTTATTTTAAAACTATGACAGGTTTAGATCAGGTTTAGTTTGGTGGGAGCAAAAATGCAGATCGTCTGGTTCTTTAGGTCCGGTTTGAAAACCACTAGTTTTGCTCCAACCCAACATGCAACACATGGGGATATAGCAAAACTGTGGTGCTCCCTGAGGACCAGCTTGACAACTGCTGGTTTAGAGAACATAGTGAGGAAAATTACTCACCTCTACAAAGAAGACTAAATTTTCTAATAGGGAAGGCTGGGCCTTACTTCGGCCGTCTTTCACTTCCAACAAGTCACCTTTACATTTATTCAGCATATCTAGTGTAGGAAGAAGGCAGGATTTCATTCAATACACCTTATGGATCATATATGTAAATACAACAATTTACTGATAGTTATTAGAAATAGACAAAAAAAACCCCACCCACCTTGAAGTTGTACTGTTAGCGATTTGAAAAGGTTTGAAATTTGGGCCTGAAGCTCTGCTGACTGATCTAAAACAAAGAAAAATCTGCATATTAGACAAATAAGACCGGCACTGGCACAGCTGCCCCAAAACAAACCATATGCTGCAATAAATGAGTTATTATAGTTGTAACGGCATACCCAGCCCAGCAGCCTCCAACTCCTGGAAGTGGATGGGGAGCTGCAGGGCGGAAAGCTGGCAGTGACAGCTGCCACTGGCCAGAGCCTGAGCCAGTCGTGTAGATGGGGGTCCCAAAATTGGGTACTGATGCTGCAGGAGGAATGCACACACATCTCCATATTGAGTTAAAATACTTTATTTCCTATTTAATCTATTTTTGATAACACATATTTAAAACGCAAATGTACCATTTTTCAAGACAGATGTCGTCCACCCACCTATATATGGAAAGTGGACCTGATAAAATAGACAGTGAGTGTAGATACAAGGAGGTGTGCTTAAAAGAGTCCGTTCGGTACACACACACACACACACACACACACACACACACACACCTCATTCATTAAATACCACTCCTTTTACACTCATGGTCCATTTTATACGGTATACTTACCATATAGGAGCACTTTGTAGTTCTACAATTACAGGCCGAAGTCCATCTGTTTCTCTGCATACCCTTTCCCCCCGTTCTTCAATGATCAGGATACCCAAAGGACCACCACAGAGCAGGTATCATTTGAGTGGTGGATCATTCTCAGCGCTGCAGCGACACTGTGTATTATGCTGGGATGAGTGGATCAGACACAACAGTGCTGCTGGAGTTTTTAAACACTTCATTGTCACTGCTGGATTGAAAACAGTCCACCAACCAAAAACATCAAGCCAACAGTGTCCTGTGACTAGTGCAGAAGGGGCTAGATGATGAACACAAACTGTTCAGCAATAGATGAAACCATCTCTGATTTTATATCTACAATGTAGACCAAGACCATATGTGTGTCTAATAGAGTGGCCAGTGAGGGGAGACAAGGTTTAAAAACTTCAGGAGTGCTGCTTTTTGATCCATTTATACTTGCGCAATACACATGCAACACGTCACCACCACGTCAGTGCTGAGACTGATCCACCACCCAAATACCAGCTCTGTGGTGGTCCTCTGTGGGGCCTGACCACTGAAGAACAGAGTGAAAGGCGGCTAACAAAGTATGCAGAGAAACAGATTACTACTAGAGTCTGTAATTGTAGAACTATAAAGTGCACCTATATGGTAAGCAGACACAACAAAACTTTTCAAGTCAGAACAAAGGAAAAACATATCCATACAATGACAATTATTAAGATAAATTGTAAAGTTTTATCAAATGGTTAGTATGACATGTTCCTCCACGACTGCTCACCTGCGAATGCCTTTCAGTAAACTGCACTGCCTGGCTGAGAGTGCTCTCCAGCTGGGAGATCAGAGGCTGGAGGGTCGAGGGTTTTGCCGCCACGCCATTCTCTGTGGTCTTCTCAGAGTTACGCACAGACGGCGGGTGACAGAGTCCAGAGAGACAGCCCACCAACCTCAGCGTTACAGAGCGAATCTTCAGCCACAAGGCCTCCTCTTCTACAGAGCGCTGTCGATGCTCCTCATTCAGTTGCCTGCAAAGAGAACGAAGATGTATACTACATATAAAGTACTCCATGTAGCCCCTGAAAAAAATCTAACCTTTTGTGCATTCAGTTTGAAACTGAATAAAGATGATGACAAGGGGTAATCAGTGATGGGTACTGCAGTAAGCAGGAAGAGATTTTTAGGCAGTACCGGTCTTTTGGGTTCCAGCTGACAAAGACGGTGAGATCACGGTTGTCCCTTATGTTGTCCCACGGGATGTCGTCTTCTTCAGGACAAAGAGACATAGACTTTACACTTTCCTCTAAGGTGGATGATCTGAACATACGAGACATAACGATCAGTTCTTGTATTTTTTCATGCTCTGCAACTAGTCAGTGGGTAGGAATAAGGATATTTAAGGACCTTCAGTGTGAAGTTTCAGTATCATAACTAGGAATGTCTTAATGTAGAGTCCTTTAGTAGTAAATATCAGTCTTTAGCACACACATACAAACACATTTTCTAAGCCACTTATCCTTCTGGGTAGTCTTTAGCAAACCAATTTTTTTTTTTATAGAAAAACAAATACAGTGTGCCACACTACCCATTTAAGTAAAGTAAAAAACAATCCAATTTAGGCAACATACTCTAGGCTGACACTTATAGAATAATGTGACATTCTAAACTGCTAAATTTAATTTTTTGCCTATTTTTTGAAATCATATTTTATGGTGTGTTTAATACTAGCTTATGATCAAGTAAGACTGATATGAAAAATTGGTTGGCAGTTACTTCTGTGCATACTTCTGGTGAGATGCTGCTCATGTATACATGTAGTTTAATAATGTTTAAATAAAAAGGTGACTCAAAGGCAGTTGAATCACTGGCACACAGTCGACTTGGTGTGTCAGGGTGCTAAAACAGTTCAGACATTCCACAAGGCATACATTTCAGTCACTTCTTAACTTCCAAATCTTTATGCTGCCAGTTGTGGAAAATATCTGTATGACAGAGCCTAAAAATCAAAGGCTCAGGAGTGGATTGGGCTTAATATAGCTAATCTCTGATCCATTAATATATGCCTGGATCGAATCAGGAAATCCATAATCATATCATAACGGCAAAATTTCTACTCAGACAAGAGCAAGCACGTTGAAATGCTAGAGAGATTCAAAGAGGTTTCTTGAGACCAAGAAACTCACATGTCTGCTTCCAGGTAGAGGTCCAGCAACATCCTCTCAGTGCGCACCTGGGCAAAGTGCAACGAGTTGTTCAGGCGATTCCTAAAGGCAATGAACTCAGGGATCTTCTCAAATGCACCGTACTTATATGCCTGAATGATATATTCTGAGGTCTGCAATTGGAGCAAGAGAGTCGCATTTCAGAAAACAAGAACTGACAGCAGGCTATAAACACTGTCTCAGGAAAACATGACTTACATCTTTCTGGTTTGAATGAAAAAACCTGAGAGAGAAGTTACAGGACTGGGAAGCAGCAGCAAATTGGCCCAAAGACTCTGCATAGCGAGTCAGTAAGTATCTGTAAATAGACATTGTCTATGAAACAACTGGCTGAAGCAATTTTAGTTGTTATCAGCAGTGAACAAGCAGGACACTTACCCTATGGTATCGTGCTGGACGTGTTTGGCGTCCAGGCTAGAGTAGAGGTCCACCACGGGCTCGAAGGCGCCCAAACGGCAGAAGAGGAGCAGGAGGAGCAACTTGAACTGGGCGTTGGAGGGGCTGTGCGTCAAGCCTTCCTCCAGCAGTCCTAAACATTGCCACAACATCTGCTCATTACCTGTTGACACAAGACAGAAAATCAGCAAAAACAAACCAATATTTTCTTCAGAATAGGATTTTTTAATCCAACAGAACAGTTAAAGAACAAAGCTTACCAGTCTGCATCCACAGGTCTATATAGACATGGGCAGCCATGAGGCAGTACATGTCCGAGAACTGCAGCTCTGTCTTTAGACAGTTCCTCCCTATGGATGGGGATAAAAAAGTTATTTAAGGGAAGTAATGCTCATCTGTCAACTGAAATCGTAAAAAGTTCACCCCTGTTTATCCTTAACAGCTCCCAGATAAAACTACCTTATATACAAACAACAAGAAACCAGAAAACAAGACTAAGTAACTTTAGTTTAGATGGACCATGAATGCACTCTGTGGGAAACCATTTGACCCATGACTTTCTGTCCCTAAATGGTACTGGACCCTCTTTACATGTAAATTTTCTAAGATACTGATTCATAAAATGCCCCACCTGATTTACTGTGACATTAAGAATGGTGTGGCGGTAACACGTTTGCTCATTCATAAACGAGGATTGCTGTGAAGTGAGGAGCTGCTGCACTTTTCCTTCATTTACATGCGGAGGTAGGGATTCATAGCATAACCCAATTTCTCAAAAAATAAAGTCTGAAACACTTCACCAATAATGTTCCCCCGTAAACCTTGGAACTGCCCTTGTGGTAATACATAAGCGCAAAAAGGTAAAGCTCTAAGGCAAAGTGACAGCAGGAATCACATCTGAGGCTAATGTGTTTGCGAAGCTCACCTGTGGAGTTTTACGTCTTTTGTCTGGCTGGTTGAGCTGTACATACACCAGACATACACTATGCCATTTTAGCAATTTTGTTCTTAGAAATCTTTGGTGACTCACAGTGTACGTTTGAATAGACCATCATGTATGGATTAAGCATGTGATTTATATATTCACACTATATGAAAACGCTCCGTCCATGCTATGTAAAACGCAGCCCCTACAGACACCTCTGTCTATGAGGAATTTCCAATAAAGCTGTTTCATTCAAAAAGACACGCTGCACACCGAGCACTTAGCAGAAACGCTGGGAAACTGATCCAGCAGCACTTCTAACACTGAGCACTCAAGCTCACTCAGGTGCGGATGCACACGATAGGACAATAGAGTCTTTCTATAGCCTATTTTATAAAGACAGCTTAAAAAAAAAAAAAAAAAGTTTATACCTCTCAGTTCTACTCAGTCCAACAGAGTAAAGTCTTGAGGAAGCAGTTGTGTATGTGTATTTAAAGACGGGCTGAAGTCACACAGCGTGTTCCTGGTGGAAATTAGCATGGGAACTACACTTGGTTTAGGTCACATGGTATCAGCTGGTATCAGAATGTTGGTGTCTGAATTTTTAGCAGTACAAGTATATGAGCACAGTATTGGAACGATACCTGATACCAGTATCGGTATCGATGCATCCCTAATCTCTCTTATGCAGAGGCTTACCGAATTGTAAACCATGGCGATAGTGGATCTTGAGTTCCCGGATGAGGGCCAGTTTGCCCTCAGTGTCCAGCGCATGCTGAAGTCCCAGGCAGCGGCCGAGCTGGGCCACACACAGGTGCCTCTGGAGTGCGCGAGTATCTCCTGGCAAGGCCACGTCATCCTCACCTGCTGCCCCAAGAGGCACTGCCTCTGTCAGCCTGTTAATGAACTGAGTTGCATACAGTGGAGTTAGAAAAGCAATTCCAGAGGGGCTCGTTTACTGCTTCGAGGAACCCAGCCAGCTCTAAGGGACCTTACAGAGTTGCAAATTTTATACCTGTTTATTGGTTATGTTTGACAGCTAAACTATAGTGTATAATAGCATATAGGAAACAAAGGTAATGTGAAGAGGCACTCCAGCCTAATACTAGCATTTAAAGTGTTATGTTATCTAGTATTCTGCAGCGCAGTACTGCACCCCTCAGCCTCATCAGTCTAGCAGCATTTACCTAGCATGCATAAGTACATCACACAACCCTTGGGAATGCCTATAGCACAAAACTAATCCTGACTGCAAGCCACTAATCTAGAGGCTAATAAATACATCTGTGATGAGAGCTTTCATAAGTGACAAGACAAACCTCAAATAGTCCTCAAAACATTTTTTTCTTTATTAAAAGGATAATTCAGTTGAAAAAATTAGCCATTAGCCAGCTAGCACAAAAAGGTGTCAAACAGCTCACCCCCAAGTGTCCAGCACAAGCACACTGTAGTCTTTCAAAATGTACTTCTACCTTTAAGATACATCGGAAGGGGGTTTTCCTAGCCTTTAAACCACAAAGTCTGACTTTGGAGAAGACTTTGCGTCACCAAAAAGGCAGGCAGTCATGCTTACAACAGATGGAGCAATGATTATGATATTCTTTTTGGCCTGAGTGCCCCTTTAAGAGTGATTTGCTACTAGAAAAAGCAACTGAAAATTCCATCTAGAATCAGTAGATTTCTCAGTAAAATGTGTTTACCTGGACACACTGGTCAGGCGTGAGGAGGTCCAGAAAGACTTTCAGATCCGTGATGCAACATGGCTTGTCTCCAAACTTTACAAAGTACTGGAACATCAGCTCAAGAGGCTCACCTACTGAGACCATTACATCAGAAGCTTATTACTCAATTTTAAACCTTTATAATCATATTTTCTTTAGCCAAAATATAATTATCTTTTATATTAATATTCAACAAAGTATGCTATTTTCGAACATTAAAATGCAAACCACTTGGTATACATTTTGCTTTCTATACACCGCTACAATGTGAACTATAATTCTGAATCATACCAAAATTAATCAAATTATGGTGATGTAGTGGCTCATCTGAGTCGATCTCTAAAGAACTGTAATCAAATCTGATCACCTACACTCTTATTACTACTACAACCCCAACCTCCAAAAAAGCGCTGGAACGCTGTGCAAAAAGCAAATAAAATCAGAATGTAATGATGTGCAAATCATTTAAACCCTATACTTAGTTGCAAACAGTACAGAGACAACACATCAAATGTTAAAAACGGAGAGGTTTTATTGTTGTTTTTTTTAATAAATGCCCATTTTGAATGTGATGCCAGCAACACAGTTAAAAAAAAGGCTGGGACAGGGCAACATAAGACTGGTAAAGTTGTGTAATGCTTAAAAAACAAACAAACAAACAAAAAAAAAAGCACCTGCTGGTACAGGTCAGTAACATGATTGGGTATAAGAGCATCCCAGAGAGGCTGGGTAATTCAGAAGTAAAGAAGAAGACTGAGTGGGCAAAACAGTCCAACAATTTAAGAATAATGTTTCTCAAATGTAAAATAGCAAAGAACTTGGGCATTTCATCATCTACAGTACAGAATATTATTAAAAGATTCACAGAATCTAGAGAAATCTCTGTGTGCAAGGGAAATGGTCGAAAGCCAATACTGCCTAGTCATGATCTTCGTGCATTCAGGTGGCACTGCATTAAAAACAGACTGGATTTTGTAGTGGAAATCACTGCATTTGTGAACACAGTTCGTAGCTGCACCCACAAATGCAAGTTAAAACTCTACTATGCAAAGAAGAAAACATACATAAACAGGATCCAGAAAAGCCGTCGCCTGTTCTGGGCCAGAGCTCATTTAAACAGCCTGAGGCGAAGTGGAGAAGTGTTCAAACGAATCAAAACTTGAATTTCTTTTTAGAAATCATGTTGGAAATCATGCTGCGTCCTTCGGGTTAAAGACCACCCGGGTTTGTTACCAGTGCATAGTTCAAAAGTGAGCACCCATGATGGTATGGAGGTGCACTAATGCACATGGCATGTGTGACTGTGAAGGCAACATTAATGCTGAAAGATATATAAAATGTTTTGGCAACATATGCTGCCATCCAGATGCCTTCTTCAGGCAAGGCTTTGGTTATTTCAGCGAGACATTGCCAAACCTCATTCTGCACATACTACAACAGCATGGCTGCATGCCTGCAGTCCGGATCTGTCACCCACTGAAAACATTTAGCGCATCATAAGACCAAACACAACAACAAGGAGCCCCTGAACTGTTGGGGTGCTGACATCCTATAAACCAGCAAGAACGGGGAAAACATTTCACTTGCAAAACTTCAACAATGGGTCTCCTCAGTTCCCAAACACTAACAGTGTGTAGTTAAAAGAAGAGGTGATGCGACACACTGGTAAACATGCCCCTGTGCCAACTTTTTTGGAATGTGTCGCTGGCATCAAATTCATGTTTTTCAAAAAACAATACAATTTCTTAGTTTCAACATTTGGTATGTTGGTTCTATACTATTCTCACTTAAATATAGAGTTTAAATAATTCACATATCATTGCATTCTATTTTTCTATTTTTATTTACTCTTTGCACAGCATCACAACTTTTTTGGAAACGGGGTTGTCCTACCACTACAGCAATTACGACAATTAGCCTCTGTTCAACCTGGGCCGCACTAATTCTTGTACCTAGCTGCTGTTCTTCAGAGCAACTCCTTTGCCGGAGGCGTTGTATGAGCTCTAGACGGGCCAGGTATGGGCCTCTCAGTGGCCTCGACTCCTTTGCCTCCTCCGCCGCTAGCCGCTCCTCTACAAAACTGATGGCCTGGGACACGGAACAGTGCACCTCCCCCTCTGTACAACTACAGCACAGGGAGGAGCAGTACAGAGCACAAAAGAGGACAATGAGACATTAGCTGTCAAGCACTCACCAACTGAACTGGTCTAACTATGACTATGAAGATCATGAAAATGCAAATTAATTTTGTCTATATTAAGTGTTTTTAATTGTCTAACAACTTGTATATACATCCCTAAGTCTGTGAGCTGTATAGTGTTAGTCAATGCAAAGCCTAATGTCACCAAATGATGCAATTAAAGACCAACAGTGTATGTATATTTGGATTGCACTACAACACTGAGGACACTCACTGGTCTCCTTCTTCTGGTGGTGTCCAGCTCTGGTCAATGAGGTGGAATAACGAATCGAAATACGATAAGTAGAACTGCCAGTCATCAGGGCTGGGGAGTTGCGAAGAATGGAAAAAAGGTCATTAGTCAAGACCCAATTTGAGCACTCCTATTTTAGCTGCTACCTTAGGTTGTTCCGTCAGTAAGGCCTTAAGTTGCCCAACCCAAATTCTAACCTCAATCATTACAAATGAACATTTATTTTGTTTTAGAACTACCACCTTTGCGTTTTACATTACAATCATCCTGTTTTAGTTTTAAATCATGACCAAAACCTTTGTGCAAGTGGCAAGAAGGACCACCCAAACCAATGGTGATAAACTACTAAAGAGCAAGGGGCAAAGGGGTAGTTTGTATGCCTTCAGAATGGAATACAAATTACTCCAAACCCACCCTGAGGCTCTTGGCAACCTCCTTTCCTATTCTGCTAAAGAAAGTGTGATGGTGGTGGGCAAGCTTACTTTTTGAGGAGCAGCTTGCAGGACAGGGCATTGCATTCAGGCCAGCGCTTCAGCTGGCGGTAAAGCAGCATGCACTTGTTTTCCCGGCTCTGCAGCTCGCTAGTGAGCTTCTCTGAAGACCACAGACACACACACATACACATAGATTGATTCTCGATTATAAAACCTGTCACAGTCAATATAGTGTCAACATATTTTGTCTTCTTTCAGTAGCTGGAAGGAACATAAGCTGTTTTGCTCTCCCTCCTTACCTCCGAGCTGCCCCCGCACCACTTCTAGTGCCTCTACGTATTTCCCCAGGCGCTCCAAGATCATGAAATACAGCTGTACCTGGAACGAACGATAATAAACCCATATTATTCCATCCCAGAGCTGAGAAAATGGTCACAAGCTTAGCTGAAGTAGAATTCTTACTTCCGCTTCAGCCTCAATCTTCTCCTCTTTGACCATCTTCTCCACCATGCGCTCAGCAAGGGGCAAGAACATGGTGTGAGAGAGCTTCTCATCCTGTGCTGAGATGGCCTAAACACATTCAACATTAGAACATCTGAGAACTTTTTGTATTTGATCCACTGCCGCCATCTTCTGCTCATGCAAGGCATGCGGAATTTATGGTTAGGTATCAGTATTTTAAAAACTTAAGTGTACCTACCTGCATCACTAAGCTCATAACAGACCAGAAGTAATATGGGTTTTTGGGAACAATCTTATAAAGGGCCATTCCAGCCTGTTTTAGACAGAAATAGAAAAATACATGAGACAAATGAGAGACCAAGTGAGACCTTGTTGTTTTTGTTTTCTAAACACAAATCTGCCAGCAGTCCATGAGCCAGGTGGATGTAAATTAATAAGTACATCTATAGGCAAGAGGAGACGGCATTACCTGTTGCATTTTCTTGTACTCCCCAACACGTGCATAAGCCATGAAGAGATGAGAGTGGTACTCTTCACTTGTAGGAACCTTCCGAACTGCTGCTTCATAGAGTTTCGTCACCAGCTCCGCTACAGAGTAAAAGCACAGATCTTTGAGCCACACCACAGCTAATCCAACTTGTTTGTTTAAAAGGGTAAGTTGATTTCTGATACGTTTGCCTATAATAGGCCTATACTGTATGATATTTTTTATTCCTATACGGTCAACTGAAATACTGACAGGCTGTGATATGCTTTAGAGCACATGTTGTGCAGTTAATATCTTGAACAGTTTAAGATATTCCTGATGAGTATAATGATGAATCAATACAGTCACATGCAGTCACATGGACTACCGTGTTTAGTGTAGCATAGTAGGAAAACGGCTGCTCTCCACTTGGCAGACTAGGGCCTGCTTCCCCACCTGGGCATGCAAACCACACTACACCAATAAGAGTCTTTGGGCAAGACTGTTAACGCTATATTTGTAACATGATAAAACTGTAGAACACTCTAGATAGGTTCATCCACCAAATGCTGTAAATATAAATGCAAAACTTTTAGCCAAAGCAATAAAACAAAAATAATAAATAAAACAAGCCATTCTTTAACAACATGTCATTAACTATGACAAAGTGTTTGTTAATATAACAGAAGCAATGCTGCGACTGTAATATGCAATATAATGGCAATATGATTATTTTTGTTTTGTGTAACCCTAAGATGCACTGGACACTGCTATAGCCACTCACGCCGGTGCATCTCTCTGTAAAGAATGGTGAGTGCCTGGAGGGAGTTGTCATCAGTGGGCTCCAAGCTGGCTACCTCTTGGGCCAGAGTGAAGGCTTCATCCTGCTTGCCTGTTCGTTGCAGACCAATGGCCTTTAGGACCTAAAGGATCAGAGAAAGAAGTTGATTACGTATAGCACCCTATAGGCACTGTATTGCTATCAGCCTGAAGAGTACTGACAAGATCAATAAAATCATTTGTTCGCTGTGGCTGTAATAATAGCAAAGGACAAAAGTGGACTAATGTTTCAACACTGATTGCAGCAATAAATACCTTTGATTAATCATACACCACTCAGCAACTTCACTGTAGATACAAGTAGATGTACTTAATAAAGTGGTCTATGTAAACACTCAATCATAGATTCATTATATGGACGGATTAAATCAAAGATTAAAATTTTTCTTTAACGTCAGAGCAACTTTCACGGCCAGCTAACCAGACAATATTGCAGCGGGAAAGCAATTATTAAATTTTGCACAAAGTTTGATTCAGGGCACTCAAATCTACTTTTGGGTTTTAAGAAACAGGCCATAGCCTGAGTGGCTGAAAACTCCCTGACTGACTTACCAAGGGAGGCAATGTATTCTGCAACTTACATGAAAAAAGGGCACGTTCAGGAACAAAAAGCCATGGGTCAAGGGTTTTTTGACTTTTTTTTTTTCAAGATTTTGACAGTGTCCTGCAAAGGATGTATCTGCAGTATGGATAAACTAGGCTTGCCTTATCTTGCTGAACACAAAACCTCTCAACACAATCTAATTTGACTGAAGTGACAATAAAATAAGGCTGGTATGATAGCATATTATCTGGCTTGGAACTTATAGCTACTAGGACAATGTATACTTTTGCAGTCCGAGTTGCAACCTAGTGTCTTGGACTGAATTCTTAGAAAGCCACCCACCTTAGCACAGTGAAGATCCCTGTGCTTCTTGAGCAGCTTGTCAGCTTGCTGGATTGCCATCTTGTTATTGCCATTATCAAGATAATCTAGGAGAGGAGAAAATAATTGTAACTGTGCAACAGACCATGATAAGCTGCTTTCAATTATTATAAAAACTACACAATCATTCAAAACAAGTTCAACAGCATCAGAGATATTTTCATACACCTAATCAGCATTCTGTAATGCTCTCTTTTTATCATCGGCTTTGTCTAGACAGTTTAGATTAATCTCATTAAGGACGCGGTAATCAGTTGATGAGCTGAATCTGTATGAAAGCACTAGTCTGCACAATGATGTGGTTTAGCCCGGCAGTCAAATTTGACCCCCTCCCTCGCACACTTCATCTCACACATATCTAATGACTCTAAACAGCCAAAATCTTTTAGACAGAATTCAAAAGTATTTACTAACAACAAATTACAGTTTGTCTGATATTTTGTTTGTCTGGTATGACTATATTGAGTGATATAAACAATTCATTGCAGATAATATGCCAATTGCCATCAGTCTTGATACTAGCACTTCAACACTGTGTCTGAATCAGCAAAAGAGAATACAGTTATCATAAAACAATTTTTGTGGGACTATTTCATGCTTGACACAACCAGTAGTAAAAATGCTCACTGCAAAATCTGTTATGTCAGTATTTTGAGAAGAGGCATGACCAGTAAGGATTTCAATACGTCAAAGACAATTAAGCCTTCAAAAGATAAGCCATATCAAAGAGAGCAGAGACTTTTGGTACCTCTGAAACCATTCACATGTGAATTTTAACTGACCAGTACATGGCATTCATTCAAGTTTAGTGTATTTGATTTGTGACACAGAACACTGCTTTTACAAAAATAAAATAATTAAAAAGCGGAATGTTACAGGTATCAGGATTTATAGGCATGTATCAAGTAGTTACGTTAACAGAGTTAGGATGAGGACTCCTTATCAGCAGACATTTATGTACAGGTATCTGTATCGAAAAGGAAAAAGTGGTGTTGGTGCATCCTTATTAATTATGTGACTACAATGTTGAACTGGCTCAACTGAATTTAAAAATAAAAATCATCATCATCATCATCATGGGTAGCAAACAAATGAACTAACAAAAAATAAGAGTCAACAGAAACCCAAACTGCAAGTAATTATGGGTTACACCCTCCAGTGTTTCATTATTTATATTATATATTAATGTTTTATAATAATAATAATAATAATAATAATAATATTGTTTTTATTATTACTACCACTATTATATCATTTAAGATCGCAAATTGTTTATTTAAATTTAAGAAGTACGACAACTGAGAACTGTCGTATATTTAACTAGAACCTCTGAAACATAAAATTAAAAAACAAAATATACATTTTTTTAATTCTATTGGCCAGTAATGTCATTTATCAGAATCTGTAGCCCCTTAAAGTCAGTATCAGCTACAAAACATCTACATTATGCATTATTCATATTGGTCCCTTGTAATTACAAAAAATCAAATTTAACAGACACGGATTTTGCTCTACCTGATCTCTGATAAAAAAAAAAAATAATTATGAATTTATAAAAGATCTCCAGCATTGGTAAATGCAATAAAGTATTACAAACCATAATCAAACAACAATTTCAAACAAAAGTATCTTCACATTACCACCTCACCAAACTACTCCAATGCAGACAGTCAAACACACAACTGCATAGAAAGGAAGGGATGTTTACAGAGAATATTGAAAAATTCAGCAGCAGCAAAACCAAGTAGACAACTAATGCAGCTAGGAGACAAACAATGCCAGAATACCACAGAGACTACCTGTACCTAAAGGGTGATATAATGTGAGCCAACACAAGAGACTGCCACAAATGAAAATTTACTCCAGCCCAAGACCTCTTGCTATGATGTTTTCTGTGTAACAGCACTCTTGTTTTGTTTGTTTGACAGCAGGACCCCATCCACCAGCCCCAACCCCGAAAGGCTTAAGCTGAAAGAATGTATGAGACTATTCTTCATGACAGCTGGCTGCCAAAATTAACTAGACAAGACAGTGGACAAACACAATTTACTCTTTCTTTGACTCTCAAAAGAGCCAAGGAAAGGACAGCATTTTGGCTCTCTGTGTTGCCTTGTAACACAGAAAAAGTATATCTAAGGGTTTTCACACTTGGGCCATTTTAGTGCCTGAAGTGGACTCTTTTGCATAGGAGAACACGCCAAACGAACTCAGAACCCTCTAAACGGCCCAGAATACGAACCAAACTGAGACCACCTCTCGAGGTGCCACATTCTTCAGCACTTCAGTAGGTAAAAACACACCATGATCTGCAAAAGCGACAGCAGCACTGACATTAAATAAGATGTGAGAGCCCACGTGAATTTACATATTAAAGGCTCATGCTGGTCATGCAATGCAATTTTAAGCTGCTTTCACACTGAACGCTGAATGAATGAAAATTCACAGCTGACACAGAGTTTTGCAGGGTGGAGATCAGTAATCAGCACAGCCCAAAACGGAATGCGCCGCTGCAGACCTGCAGGGTCATTTTTCCAATTTTGCGTGATACACTTCGGTCAATCGATTCAGTGTGGCCAATAGGAGAGCAGCAGTCATGTTTGGTGGTTCCTCTCGCCACCCAAAAGGTCAGTTTTATCAGAGAACGCTGCCCACTTTGCAAGCACTGTGCACATCATGAGTGGTGTGAAAGGGGTCTGAGTTCTAAAGGAGTTGTGGTCTGAACAAGAAGTGGTCTGAGATCTCAAAGGACCAGAAAGGAAGTCCTCTCTATAGTTCACTTACATTGTGAACACAAAAACAAATGAGGTCATTTGCTGTTGGTTCCCTTTCAGGTTCACTTTAACAGAACTCAGTTTAGTTCTTTTAAAACGAACTACATGTGAAAACACTTACATATGTGTAGACTATTTTAATCAATAAGAGATGAATATATTAAATCAAAATCACTAAACAGAGATGCTCTGGTACTAGTGTCCATTACTTGCTTAGTATTTCTATTAGTACCTGCAATAGAGATTCATTCATCTTCTCAGAAGACTTGTAATTCATCATAATATTAAAGTTGAGAAAGTCAATCATGGACAAGAACAATACAAAGCACGACAAGTTCATCTGGAAAGCCTGAGCAAATATCCAATGATTACAATCAAACAGCCATTTTCAGATGTAAAACAGTACTGGTAAATTCCTTAATAAGACTGTTGCTAATGTTGAGATACTAACTGGTCCTGGTAATTGTTAGCCACACTGGTCCACTAGACTTGCACAGTAGTGGGCCAAACTGTTTACCCAGGTTTCATACAGGACTACAGCGTTTTTATGACAGAGCCTGTTTATGCAAATGTTATAAGAACCGAAATTCTGTATACTGGACTAAAGCTAGCAGTCTGTGTCAGTTTCTATAAAACTACTATAAATGCATAAAGCTACACACTTAGCCATATACATTAATTTCCTTTATACGTCTACAAGTCTAAATTAGATTCTGAATTACAGCCAGCCGCCTGTCTCTGCCCACAAGTCTCTCTGAAACAACTAACCAGCTGTTATTCTCGTTTGATACTACACTAAGTTAAGCTACTGGTTCCTCATATCTCATTGTAGCTGCATTTCTGCGATTTATGCCCAGCATTCCTGGAGCCTAACGCTGTTCCTGATTTATGCCCCTCATGCCTTGGCCTTAAACACCACCACGAAGCTATAACTGACCCATGCCATGGGTGTGTATTACAACCAGGGGTTAATTTGGGATTTAGTGGGTGAGGGAGCCCTACTTCTTTTATAGGTGCCAATAGCACTGATAACATGAAAATGTGCTTTAATCAACATTTTGATATTTATATCTGTATCTAGGCTGCTAGGAGCAAGTGCGCCCTTTGAGTGCATTGAGCAAAAGCCAGTTGGCAAAACAGTAAACATCATTACTGCACAAGTAGACCATTATGCTTATGATACATACACGCTGAATGTAACAACCTCAGCGACAGTCCTGCAATTCAGAATTCTGCTTCTCATCAGAGAACCTGGTGTGTTTTGTTGCGGACTGTGTCCAAGCAAAACCAACTACTCTGACAGGCAAAGGCATCTGACTGACAATCAAGCTGATCAAACATAGACTGCTGTTTTAGGGCAACATGTAAGGGTAGAAGGTTTCCAAAATGGGACTACAGAAGAAAAAAAGAGGGGCGAAAACAAAACATATCCATGTGCCAATAACTGGTAAATGCATCGGCAAAAGAGCTACTAAACACTTCTAAGCTGTGATGTGATGCTGTGAATGTCAAGCTTGTTTTCAGTCTAGTGATTCTGTGTGGGGAGCCAATCAGAATGGAAGTGACAAAACCCCAATAGTCAAGTAAAACTAGTTCAGTATATATCAAACACTCCGTGTACGAGCGGGCAGAGAGTCTGAGGCTACATCTGCACAGACAATTTTACTTCAACACCAACTACAACACGTAACTATACAGCAAGAAAAAAAACAGCAACAACCTGGGTCAGTTAAGGTTTGAGGCTTAACTAATAACTAATTTATGTACCAGAGTGAACGACTGAAAATGCACCGCTTCACAAGATCATATAACCATGCAGCACCAAAAAAACAAATGATCATTGAGTTAGAAGGCGGGTGGCTAAAGCTGTAGCTGTCATGGGGTTTTCACAACAGACATTTAGGAATTTATCACAACAGATTGGAGGTTTCTTTAAGATAGCCTTAGAAATAAATTACACTTAAAATATATTACTGAACCCTGTTGTTCACAAAATTTCCCAGTTTAACCCCTGCTGACAACTTATGGAGCACTAACTTGCTTATCTCTTCTGGACTGTGAGACTCAGAGACTACTAGACTTTGGGTGCATCTGCCACAGTCCAGTGCAACTTCCATGTTACCAAAACAGCCAAACAAAAGAAATGGCCAAACCAAATTAAATTTGGAGTCAAAGAATCAATTCTTCGTCATCAGGGCTAACTAGTGTGATACAACCTGCTGCCTCGCATCAAGCTATCTCTTAGATGATGATTCATGAATAGTCCAGTAAGTCATCACTCATCTTGTATCTCATCACCCAAGTAAAGTGACAGCTACAGCCATTTCCATTCTTGAAGCCAGACATGCACCTTCTTGCTCTCGAAGGAAACAAAAACTGTTCTAAATAACTGAGCACATGTGGGCGAATCTGCTCCTGTGCCCAAACAGAATTCGGAATTAGATATGTCGGTCTGTTTTAGTCTGTGACCCTCACTGAAGCTTGTATAACTGGCTTTTATATCAAAAAGAAGCCAGAAGACAGCTGTGGCTTACAGTGAAAATGCAAAGTGCAGTATTCATACAATACTGCTAAGCACAACAGGCACAGAAAAATTAATCTGAATCACCTACTGCTCCCACTGCACAGAACTGGCCTGGATTCTTAGTCACATTCCTCTAAGACCATGTCCTGAAGCATGATTCAGGTGGAGAAAATGTTATCTGTACAGGCATCTGTAACTGATTTTCATTTATTCGCAGTTCGATTTTATTTGCATTTGCATATCTGCATAGTTAAATAATCAGCTGTCGAACATGTGTGTTCACAAAGCAAGCAACATACAGGCCTCTAGAGCCCCGTGGGCTTGCGTCAGAAACCTGCTGACGGTATGTTCCCCTGCTGTAGGTATCCTCTTTCAAAGCCCCCCTCCACTACAGGACTGGCTACACTGGGAATGGTTGCTCCTCCTACTTTAAGTCCTCAATAAGACAGAGTCCAGACAGGTTTTCTGTGCTTCAGGACACAAAATATACTTCGGCTAGATATGCAAGTCTCAGCATTTCACAACTGTCCTGTGATTCTTAAGGAAGCGAATAAATGAATCATGAAATTTTTGATTTTAACACAATGTGATTCAACTATACAATTCAGAATTACTTTCAAAAATACATATTTTTGCACAAATTAAAAAACCCACAAACATGCAACAACAAAGCACTGATGCATTTCTACACGTCTAACTTCTACACTCCTCCTTTGCCAACACAACTGCAAGGTACGGGGTGCAATACACCAATACACCATTCACCAAAACCATTACTGATTTGCTGGGCTCTCTCTAATTGCAATCTCTATTGAACTTTAGCCAAGTCTACCAGGTTTGAGAATTAGTCTGTCAAGCTAACTATAGCCCAGACCTTAATGGTGCAGCCGCAGTCCTGCACAACTGTGCAGGCACGTGAGGGCTGCGAGGCCATAGGGTGTTCCATTTCTCATTTTGGAGTCCGAAGGGGTGCTCAGGAGCGCCCTCCACAAAATTCCACGAGATGCAGGTGAAGACCAATGAGAGCACAGAGCTGTCTGACCAACAAGGCAGAGAGGAAGATATTCAGATGGGAGTTAAAATGCAATTGTTTCTTACTTTAACTTTTCTTTAAGTTGCAGTCTGCCTGTAATGCAAAGTAGCTAATAAAAAAGAAAGAGCAGTGCACAACTGTAGCATATCGCACAAGTCTGTCTCAAATGCAGGGTTCTAAACCAAGCACTCTCGCTGAACAAATCTGTCACAATCATAAGCATTTAAGCCAAGCATCTCTGAGTCCTCTTGCCCTATAGATCACTGTGTTGACATCACCAAAGTGTGGACTTTGAGAGGAACCACAAAGCTTAGGGCATCTGTTGGGACTGGGCTTCTGTTTCAAGACAATGCATGCTTACTTCTGTGTCTTGTCACACATACCAGTTCAGGTAGTCCTTCGTCCATTATGTATGCGGGTCACTTTCAAACCAATAATTACCATACTAGACTGCCTGCTTGCTTGCTTAAAACAGCATACACTCTTCCCAGACCTCACTGTCTTCTGGTTTCCACCTAAGGGTGTGTCGCTCCCAAACCTCTGAGCAGCAGCCATCCAAACCTCTCCCTGCACTCTCTCTAAATCTGAAGATGTTAATATTGCATCCCCAACATATTTAGTCAGGTTATCCTCTGCACAACTGCACAGGATTCTCCTCAGGTGGGTTCTCAATACTCCTGACCTTGGTTTGTTATCTGGGTAACTAAGGTGCTCCACATTTACTACAAAAATCAATGTTAATGAAATTCAATGCTAGTTGCAAAAAACTACAGTCAATACATGAAGCATGTTGTGTGCTCATACAATTCACCAGAGGCTTACGAATGGCACCTCATAACTATTGTGGTTTAGAAAGTCTTCCACATCCAAGCTCATGAGGAACAGAGAAGAGACGCTAAAGAAAGCTTGCTTGACCTTTGCATATACTAGACAGATTCAAAAGCAATCACAAAGAGTTCAGTCAATACAACACGTACAATAAAAGATCAAAAGTCCATATTTAGATAAACAGACACTTTGGATATAAGAAGGGAATCATTCATAAAGCCTGTGTCTTCTACGGTCAAACCGCTAGGTGGTAAATGGATTCCACTAACACACCTGATTTTTCTAACGACGTTTAGTTTAACATGCAATGGAATAGAGAGCCGGTTTTGACACCTTGCCGAAAGACCGCTGTCAGCTGTCACTAGCTGGCAAGCTCTGATATCCAGAGTACGACAAGCATTAAAGAAGTCACAGTACAGTAAGGCCAATTTAGCTAGCTAACTACGCGAAAACCAGACTGAGGAAACGACATCAATATTTACCAACTATTTTGGATACGACCGCTTAAACTATTACGTTAGCGTGTAAAAGCTTACTGCTATCTCCTATGAAATTATGAAGAGGAGCCAAGGCAGATTTCCCTGACAGGAGCCAGTACTTTCACTACAACTTCGCTGCAGTTCCACCACCGTTTATATTATCAAATGGCTCATATTACGAAATTAAACCAAACAACCAAGCAGAATTAACGCTAAGGACATACAGATGAAGTTAACCGCAAAAATGCAGTTTTCTGTCGGAGCTGCAAGAAAGCTAACGTTAGCCAGCATGCTAACTTGACACTTAGCAGTCAAGTAATTAGCTAGTGGGCTACAGATGTATCTGGCAAGTTTAGAGACAAGTCTGGTACTTAAACATATGAGCATAACCCGAAACCAGGTGTATTTGCAGTATCAGCAGTCAGACGTTCGGTTCGCTTGGCAAATAAGCGAGTGAGGCATTATGAGAGAGCGGCCGCTCGAGTGCGCCGTGACTCGCGAGCTCGGGCTAACCGAGTCCGGGGCCGGAGCTCGCATAGACCGCGGGCCTCACCGGCGGCAAAGCACCCTCTTACCCTCACTCGGACTCGTGTCGTTTCCCACCGTTCTAAACACACAAGACAAAATGCACACTAAGGAGGACGCGCTGCTCAGACAGCGGCCAGTTCGGTACCGTAAATGGGTCTCAGTCTTCTGTCGTTAGGGTCTTGCACATGGCCCCTCGCCGCCATGTTGGAGGTTACCGGGATTAATAGCGGAGCATGCGCAGAAAGGAGAGAGCGGAGCCGTGCGTTTCTGCCCATACAATATTTCTAACAGTAGTCATACTGCAACACATAGTAATTCATTTCTGTGTGGTAAGTCACATATAACGTATAGTATTATACAGTTACATTTTATTTTGCTTCAAACATGATGCATAGTCTTTCTGCCTAATATTACCACCGTTTTTCACCTTTTAATTGTAATTAAATTAATTAAATTAAGTTAAGATGTAAAAAAAATCATTTCGCGTGGTTTGATGAGTAATGCGCCACTATTGTTCGCAGTGGTGGTGATGGGAACCAGACGTTTGAAGCGTTCAATACCTCTAAAACCTGCCGCACAGAAAGTTATTATATTAAATGATTATGAGTGCGTTTCCTGATGCCTGAGACATTGTTTTAGGCTAGTTTTGAGATAAGGTTTTGGCCTTAAACGTATATTTCTAATGATGCCTTCAAGTCCACCTCGGAAGTTCCTATTTACGACTTCGGAGGTCCTAAGTATGACTTGATTTGTGTTCAAGTGGTGTCGGTTGGAAATAATGTTTTTTGTTTACTTTTATTTTTCTGTTATTAAAGAGAGTCCGTGTAAACACATTCTATCTGTATTTCTATGTGTGAATGGTTTCAGTCTGCATGATGATGCTAGGCTGATGAATAACTGAATAACTGAATAACTGAAATACGGCCAGTTTATCAGCGGCTATCATTGGCTTTTTTGTTGACACGCCCCCAAATCGGAAACTCGGGGCTCATTGAAAAATCCGAGTTTCCCACTAGTAAATACGACATTGTGGTGCCGTTCATGTGCATCCACCTCCGGTATTTCCGACACGACTTGAAGACAGCATAAAACAATTCATGACGGAGAGGTACATACAGGGTGTTGTAAGGAAAATAGTCCCCAAAGAAACAGGGGCGTAGCTATAACTTTTAGAATGGGGTGATCAGTGAAGTCCCAGAGATTTTACTGGGGTGGCACAATGCTTGAAAAAATAGACATAATGACAAATTATGTGTTGTTTTTTGTACATAAAATACATCAAAACAGTTATTGCCAAAAATAAACTGAAGATTGTGTTGATGTTACATATTGTAGTCATTCATGAGGAAATTCTGTAATTGAATAGATAAAATTAAATCAAATAATTTTTCCAGTGCACAATGTTAACTGTAAGAAAAAACATTTCATAGGTGGGCCATAGAAGTAATTCATTTAGGCTGCCAGACTTTTTGTAAGATAATTTGGAATGGAAATCACTGCATGGGCTCAGGAACACTTCTGAAAACCACTGTCTATGAACACAGTTTGTCGCTGCATCTGCGAATGCAAGTTAATATTATACTATGCAAAGAAAAAAACATATAAACAGGATCCAGAACTGTTGCCGCCTTCTCTGGGCCCGAGCTCATTTAAGATGGACTGACGCAAAGTGGAAAAGTGCCCTGTGGTCTGACGAATCAAAATTTTTTTTTTTTGAAAATCACAGATGCCACATCCTCCGGGCTAGGGGCAAGGGACCATCCGACTTAAAAGAAGAGGTGGTGCAGCACAGTGGTAAATATGCCCCTGTCCCAACTTTTTTTGAAACGTGTTTCGAAATAGGCATGTATTTTTCACGGAACAATAAAACTATTTTCAATTAAAATATGGTTTATTGATTTGCACTTCGATGCATTGTTTTATTTACATTTTGCACAGTGTCCAAACTTTTTGGAAATTGGGTTGAATAAAAAAACATGTACAACATAAAGATATCGCACAACAAACAGAAGAAAGATTTCTGTTCCCACATATTTTAGCATCAGGATGCTCAGAGGAGAGAAGTAGAGAAATACAAAGAAATAGCAGTATTTTGCCAATATTTTCAGTATTCTAACAAGTAAATGAAACATTTTCTCTTTTTGGTGGGGTGCGATGCAGTGACTAATCAGTTGTACTGGTCCTCACACAAAGACAAATTAGCATAGTTGCGAGCAGTTTCATTTTGCAATGATAAGAATTTGGTTGGCGGTTTAAAGAAAAATTGAAGGGCAAAAGAAAGAGAAAAATCTCCTGGCTTTTGAAATTTGTAACAAGTATTTGGAAAGAGTAGATGAAATTGCAAGAAGTAAAAAGTATGTTTTTCCTCTTAGAAACTTAGTAAAAGTACAAGTATTCAATAATATTCAAATAAAGTAGAAATCTTCTAAAATAATACTTTAGTATAGGAAGGAAGCACACATTACTTAAGTATTTCTCACCCCTGCTGGGATGCGTGCAAATGGGTCATGGTGGGCATTTTATAGTTTTAATCTTGAACTTCAACTGGCCTCATTCACCAACACAAAAGATTATCTTAAATTTGTTCTTGAGAAAGGTCCTAGAGAAAGTCTACATTAAATTCATGACACGTTCTTAAACCACAGAACTGTTCACACCTTTGTGCTCTTGAGTGTGTGTGGATTTTGTTCTTACCTCAGAACAAATTCCACATGAGAAAACATTCTGGAATGTCAGAATTTTTGTAAACACTGCTTAAGTGGGTTTTAAGAAGAAATTTCTTCTTAAGCAAGGTTTGTGACTGAGGCCCAATGTCTTTGAGGCCACATCAAAGGAAAGCCTTTTTTTTTAATCCATATTCTTAAAAGACTCGTTTTGTTCAATATGCAGATCTCAGGCGCTGTAATCTACCCTCCTTACCTATGTGATTATTGTGCACAATATACAATAATGGTATACAAAAGTAACAATAACATATGCATAATCTTAATAAACCTCACTGATTCAGGTCCTTTGCTGATAAAGCATTTTTAGATTTAAAAGACCGTCTATGTAAGTCTGCAATGTAGAGATTTCTGGAACAGTTCATGTTTATTTAAAACCAGAGGTTACAATACAGTTCATTCATCCTCTGCTTCTGAGCTAGACCCATGAGAGGGTCCTGCTCTTTTATGCTTTGAACTCCCCCCTGCACGCATGTGCTTATCAAAGTCCTCCTCCGTGATTTTTCCCTTCTTGAGCTTCTTCAGTAGACGCGTGTCACTCAAAAGCTCGTTCATGTCTTCATCATCCATATCTGATCCCTGTGACCAAAACAGACATGTTAATGAGAAAGTAACATGTTACTTTATATATATTGGAGTTAACTATCATTTTTGGTGTGAAGAACATTACATACATCACAATCAAATAAAACAGAACTGTATGAAATCCTAACTAAACTGTAAACAAAAAAAAATCAATATTTAAATAAATAAAACCCATAGCATATAACTAAAACCAACCTCATCCAACTTCCGTTTGGCAGCCATCTTTCTCCTTTTGTCCTTTTTGGATTTCTGTTTGGACCAGGCTTTGTTCTTGGCAAAGTTCTTCCTGGGTAGTGCCTCTTTTTCTTTCTCCTTTTGCTGTTCTAACACCTTTTGCCTCTGTTTCTCTCGGTTCTTGTCCTTAAAGCGGATTAAGTCTGTGTCTATCACCTCTTCAAAGTCTGGGAACGTCTTGCCTCTCAACTCAGGCATCTTGGGCATGCGAAGAAGAGCAAAGCCTCGAGCTAAAGATGCAAAGTCCAGGTCTGAATAAAACACATGAGAAGTATTAGACATATATGTACACATACACACACATATACATATATATACATATACATATATATATATATATATATATATATATATATATATATATATATATATACACATACATATATATGTATATATATATATATATATATATATATATATATATATATATATATTATATATATACACACACACACACACACACATACACAATCTGGCCTGTAGCATATTGAAAATATTTGATTCTAGAATGTCTCAAAGGCTTTGTGCCTTTATGTCCATAGCCTTTATATATTAAATAATATATTCCATTCAGATACAGGCAAGCTTAAACGTATACAATGACAAGTTAATATTTGCATTGTAAATATGGACATTTTGAGGGTTAGAAGTACATTACATAAGAACAACAGTTTGATTATAAAAAACAATTTTCTCTTTACCCCAAAATTGATTTAACTGGTCATTCAAGATATGTTTGGTGTTTGACCTTTGCTTATTTAGTTTGGAGCTGCCGATATGAAGCTTACATAGCCAACAATTAAAGAAAGCTTGTTTTTTTTTGTATCATTGTGTAAAACATGCCAATTACAAAATGGATCTAGTCCAGGCTTCAAGTTGCCCCCTACTACTGTTTACACACACTTTTGTCCATTTTAATAGATAACTATATCATACTGCATCAGCAACCACATAAGCAAATATATTTACGATTACATAACAACTTGATTTGAAGCATGTATGCAATGATTAGGCATGCAATTTGCACATGGCTGAAGTACATAAGCTCCCATTACTAGTTCTCTACATTAGCCTTGTTGCTTCAGAGGAAAGCTTTAAACATTAGTGGTAAGGGGAACTTTCTTGAGGAAACATGTCTTTAAGAGTACCTCAAGTTCATGTAATACAGATGGCAACGGGCACTGACCTTTGATCCGGAATATAAGGCTGCATTCATGCTTAGCATAAGCCTGGACATAAGAGACAAATGCCCTCATGCCTCTCTCAAACACAGCCCTGTCTCCAAGCGCCAGAGCCTTCAGTTTGGGCAATACATCCACCACATCCTTCACAGGAGGATACAACTGGAGCGGACACTGCAGGACCACAGATATTTATGAATTTAGCAGATTTACCTTTTTTCCTCTGAATTAGCATTAATAATTATTTATTTACTCCCCAACTGTATGTGTAAAAAAGCTAGTTCCTTCCTTACTTTTTGATTTATAGACAGGAAATTAACATAAGATTCCTCCATCGGTAGCAGAAAGACTAGCGCGCTGCCTCGGTTCCCAATACGAGCAGTTCGGCCACACCGATGCACGAAGGAACTGAAGGAAAGAACTTGCAGTTATCTACCAAGTACATTGAGTGGTCATGCAAAATGAATTTAGTTCTGGTCACCTTACCTTGCGCTGCTAGGTGGGTCATACTGGAGCACCCAGTTAACATCTGGAATATCGATGCCTCTTGCCATCACATCAGTGCAAACAAGTATCCCACTGAAAATGACAAATATTACCATCAAGTTGGGAAGGAATACTGCACCTAAATATGCTAATGTTGCTAATAATGAATGACAATTAGTACTGACCAGCTAAAATTATGCAAATGAGATTGTGCTCCCCACTAACTTGATAGCTGTGAAGTATTGCTTTAAAGGTGAACCCACCGATTTTAGCAGAATTCAATAATTAAGAAAGTCTGAATGCTGTATTTAAGAGATGGCATATCTGTATAAAGGGGTATAGATAATGGGCCGATGCAATTAGAAAATGCTGGATCGTCTTTGTCCTTTAACAAATCTAGGGCTCCGTGTAAATTCCTTCTTTTAAATTTGCCCTTACCAACTTCAACTCACCAGTTGGATGTGCATCATATCTATGTTACACAAGCGGCCACTCATGACGAAGGGGAGGAGAGGACAGTGAGAAGCATATTATTCAAAGGGAACACACTCATCCTCGGCAGGTGGGCCTCAGTGAGCTAACTGGCGGAACATTTAAAACTTTTTACTGTTTACTGACATGGCTTATAAATAGCTTCATCTGCCATTATTTTTGGGTCTGAAAATGAAAAAAAAAAAATCTGCTGCCAAAGTCGACACTGGTCCCTCACCTGATCCCTCACCCCTTTGAAGGCTTACCTAACACCCTTTACTTAAGGTAATAAAGTAAGAGAACAGCCCTTAAGGTGGTGCTGGGTATTCCACCGAGGGGAAATGATAAGGCCAAGTGGATGAGGGCTTTTTAAAACCGGTTCTGAAATGGGTGGCTACCCTGAAATACACTCGCATTGTATGATTTCATTAGTTGTGTACTTCTTCCTGTGGGGTAGTAGAGTGTTAGAGTATTTTTAGCGTGATGTCCCACTTTGATACTCTAGGTTTCAATATCTTTATTGGAAAAGAATTGCTGTAATGTGCTACTTCTAACAGCACTGTAGGGATACCATCTCAGATTTCTTTACAGTGTTGTTGATAAGAACCAGGGGTTGCAATGTACACAGCGCAAATTTAGCCATGTTATTTACGCTCCAAAATAAACAGTGAACCTATAATTATAGGTTTTTTTTTTATATGTAATGTTTATGATGGTAAATAGCAGTACATCTGGAAAAAAAAAACCTATTTTCTCTATTATTTTGCCTTACATCACCCTGCATGTACATCTCTACCATGAATGGAGTTTAAAAACCTTATCTCAAAACTATAAGGCACTGTACTCGTAACCACTTAAAGTAATACATTTCTGTGAGGTGTTTAACTCTTTGGATGCCACATTTCATGTCAAACCAGTCTGGGTCCAGTCTCCCAAAATCATCTTAGTGTTAAGAAAATCTTAAAAGGTCCAGATCATGGAAAACCAATATTTCCTCACTTCCGTAAATGCAATCATTATTAAAGTCACAAATTCATTATTATTTCACAAAATCAAATACATTTACATATATTCTCCTATTCAATCCAAAGCAGTTTAGCACTGCCCATTTACAGTCAAGTTATAAGTAGTTGGGACTACTTTTTTAATGAGGCACAATATAGAAAAGGCAATCAGTTTCATTTACATATATCAGTCTTAAAGGAAAAGTTACAAAAATAGCCTATTTAATTCTAGGGGATGAAGAGAGGTTGGAAAATAGTCCTGCAAAAATGAATTACAACTGGTTTTGCTATATAAAACCACAAACATTATAAGAAGATCTCAGCAAGGAAAAATGAAATACGTAGCATGTAGGGTATGTGCCGCTCAACCGGTAGAGAGAGTGTGCTCTGTCATTTGAAAATCAACTTTGTGCTGAGATGCTTTTGGGAAACTCAGCTCAGAATGACTGTTTACATCTTAGTATGTGAATTGTGCAGAAATATTAAAAATCACTGGAATTCACCTTTAACATGAATTGTTTTGATAACAGGTCTGGAAGTTCTTTTCAACACTAGAAAGCAGTTAAAGCGAGAAACAACACGTCTAAGGAAACAGCAAAGTGCCATTTACCCCTTTAGCTCCCGAAACTCAGAGAAGACTTTGTTTCGCTTGTCCTTCATCTTGCCATGGATGCAAAGAATGGTGACATTTTTGACCAAGACTTCCAGAGCTTTGCCAAAATACTCCACGCAAGCACATGTGCTGTGGAAACAAAGAAAAACCAGAGTAAACAATGTGTCCTTCCTTCTACACAAACTCAGCTTTGCCCTAATTTTAAGATGGTTCCTTAAAGTGGAATAAAGGTTTTTAGTGTATTTCAAGGTTTTCGTTAATACCTGAAAAAGACAAGCTGCTTTTCGTGCTTGTGTTGTCTCAGAAAGGCCACCAGTGTGTTAAACTTATCTTCCGTTCTACAGATCTACAGAAATACAAAGGAGATCAAAGGAAATCATCAGGGCAATAAAGTAAGCTACTACACAGGAAACAATTTATTTTTATAAACCACATTTAGAGCAGGATTCTATGGGAGGCAAATCCAGCCGAAAAAGAAATTAAAATTAAAACAATAAAATGTAAGTGGAAACCTCTTTTTGCCATTTCTTTTTCCTAACATCTGCGCAAATATCCTGCCAAAATTGAAAATGAAATGAAATACCTACATTTGCAATTTCATTTTTCACATAAGCACAAGTCGTTTGTAACAAAAATAAAAATTAATTTAAAACAGTTATTTGTGATTTCATTTTAGTCGTTATTCTGGTATTTCATGGCCATATCTAAAATGAAAAAGCTAATAGAGAAAAGAAAATCCAAGCTTCGCTTTGGTTTTTCTTCATGAAGTGCAGAACACGTGTCAAAACTAAAATCAGAATGCAATGTTTACGTTCTATTTCTTTTTCATAGCAATAAGCTGAATATCTGACAAAATGAAAATGAAAATGCAAAATGGATAAATCAACAGCAAAGTGACCGTTTGTGATTCAGTTTTCGGCATTGACGCGCTGTAAGTGTCAAAATGACACTTAAGGCAAATGTAAACAAACATCGGCGCCACCTGCTGGAGATTTACTCTTCATTTGCCACTTTGCTTTTTCATTTTCAAACTGACCAACATGCAAATATATGTTAATTAGCACTAGACGGGGCTACGGGTACATTTTAGGACATCCTCAGACTTCAGAGTCAGAATGGCATCATTCCTCAAGCTGAACGACTTTGAGTCTCGAGAAAAACCACTGATCTGGTGAAACTGAACATCAGACCAAACAGCCTCAGAGAAAAGCCATCAGACTAAACACAAGCCTAGTCGAGCATATACTGGTTCATATAACTTAGAAAACTACTGTGTATTCTCGATATGAATGCCAGTATAACATTTTCACAGTTTTTTCTGAGGCTGTTTGGTCTGACGGCGTTTGGTCTGATGTTCAGTTTCACCAGATCTGAGACATGACGGTGGTTTTTCTCGAGACTCGAAGTCATTTAGCTTGAGGAATGATGCCATTCTGACTCTGAGGTCTGAGGATGTTCTAAAATGTACCCCATAGCCCCGCCTAGTGCTAATTAACATATATTTGCATGTTGGTCAGTTTGAAAATGAAAAAGCAAAGTGGCATATGAAGAGTAAATCTCCAGCAGGTGGCGCCGATGTTCATTTACATTTGCCTTTTCATTGACACTTACAGCGCGTCTATGCCGAAAACTGAAACACAAACTGTCAATTTGCTGTTGATCTATCCATTTTGCATTTTCATTTTCATTTTGACAGATATTCAGCTTATTGCTATGAAAAAGAAATAAGAATGTAAACATTGCATTCTGATTTTAGTTTTGATACGTATTCTGCATTTCTTGAAGAAAAGCCAAAGCGAAGCTTGGATTTTCTTTTCTCTATTAGCTTTTTCATTTTAGATATGGCCATGAAACACCAGAATAACAACTAAAATTTTGTTTTAAATTAATTTTTATTTTTGTCACAAATGACTCGTGTTTATGTGAAAAATGAAATTGCAAATGTAGGTATTTCATTTCATTTTCAATTTTGGCAGGATATTTGTGCAGATGTTAGGAAAAAGAAATGGCAAGAAGAGGTTTGCATTTACATTTTGTTGTTTTAATTTTAATTTCTTTTTTGGCTGGATTTGCCTCCCATAGGATTCCAGTAATTCGCCAAGAAAGAGGTAGGTGAAAAATTAAAGGAAAAAAACCAGAGAAACCGGAGAAACATAACAAGTGCAGATGCTTCCAGACAGTTGTACTATATGATAATTAAGCAATTAGCATCTCACCATGCTCTGTGGCATACAGAAAAATTATGGGCAGGCCAAGTTGACCTTTTCACTTAGATCTTTTCCTCAAGTGTTTCAATAGGAACTGCAGATAGGAACTAAAATGACATCTGCTTTTACATCTAAGGGAGTAACTGTTCCTCAGGGGAATAAAAATGTCAATGCAGGATGTGATCAGTTATATATACACTGGCATATTATAGTATAGTAGGAATATTATAAGAGACTTGCAATGCACAAAGTCCTCATCAAGACAAATGCATATTTGAAAGTTCAGTGGTGCTAAAACCACAGACACAGAGATGTGGGGGAAAAGTGGGCGAGTACATGTGCGGTATACAACAAGAGAGCAGTACAAGCCTGAATGCCTAAGCCATACAGTGAGAGGGTCTGCTGGCCATGTTATGCATTTTGCTGGCATGGTTTGGGTCCACTTCTCCCTTTAGAGTGAGGGGGTGGTGCAAATCAATACATATCTATTCTGACTGATCACTTTTCTCCCATGATGAAGCATTTGCATCTTGATGGAAGTGGTCACTTGCAGGATGACAATGCCCCTATCCACAGTGGTTTGATGAGGATGATATAAATCTAAACGACATGAATAAATCTAAATGATGTAAATCATATGCTATGGCTTTCAAAGTCACCAGATCCCAACCCAACTGAGCACCTGTGGGAAATTTTGAACCATAGTGCTCTAGAAGCATAATGTATCAATTCAATTCAATTCAATTTAATTCAAGTTTATAGTCATTATGCATACACATGAATGTCTAGGATAGCGAAACACAGTCGGGACATTCAAGTTGCTTAAGACAATATAGATAAAATATTTGCAATTCACATAACCACAGTAACTTGCAAAGTGCAAAAGCTAGCCATGCAGCATTCTATATAAGTTATGCAGCAATGCAGTAGCAAAGTTCAAGATAGCAGTTCAGGGTTTCAGAACTCAATGTTCACAGTGTGTACCATCGTCATTCTACTCACTGTGTAGTAATTACTCAGCCTCGCCGGGGTCTTCTGCACGCTAGAAGCTGCGACTCCTTTCTCTTTCACAGTGATGCGAACAGGGTTGCGGAGGCCAGCCCTCACCAGCTTCTCCAGCTCCTGAGTTTGCGTGGCTGAGAAAAGGCCTGTGCGCCTCTGCTTGGGCAAATATCCCAAGATAGCATTCAGGCTGGAAGCACACAGAGAACGAAATCTTGTTATCTGAAAGGCTGAATGTGGATGGACCTTCTGACTGTTCCACAGTTGTGTTATGCGTCATATATGCAATTACAAAGAACCTTGCTTCAAAGCCCATGTCCAGCAACCTGTCTGCCTCATCTAGAACTAATACATCCAAAGCCTTCACACAGCTGGCCAGGTCAAGCCCATCAGCTTTCCTCCTGAACATGTCCTCCAGCCGCCCAGGTGTTCCAATCACGATGTTTGCACTACAATCAAAAGACACATCACGTTTACTCACATTATACTAAATTAAGAGCCCATATCCTGTTTCTTGTATTTATTTTGCCTGCCTGAGGTCCACTTATAACATTTGTGTGGTTCTATTCATTGAAAACAGTCACAATTCATTTTTAAATGACCATTTTCCAGCCTCTCTTTATCCCTTAGAAACAGCTGTGTTTGTTACTGAGCCTTGAAGACAAACATTTATAAATAAATAAAGCTCTGGCAGCCTGGTATTGGAACTGCGTTGAAAAACGAGTCCTTAAAACTTCTGCATTAATGGGCTGGACTAAACTGCTGTACTGTTGTAACATCACAAAAAAAACACATTCCAAAAGGGCTAATTTTGCGGATTACTATCCCTTATATGGACAGGGAAGTGAGCGGTAGGTTTTGAAACTTTAACACACTACATCAAACTCTATTTTAAAAAAAGCAAGTCAATTTTGATTTTTCATGATATGAGCCATTTAAGTCACTGTGACCTTGAAATCAAACTGCCTTCCAACCACAGTCATTACCTACCCATGAGTCTTGAACTTCTCTACATCTTCAATGGGGTTGCTTCCACCAATCAAAAGAATCTGTCTGTAATAAGAACACATTAGTTTCTCTCTATATTACCTGCAAATCATATTTTAAAGTACAGTACATAGTTCAACCTGCTCATACCAACCTGAACTGAGGAAACTCTTCAATAAATTGGCCCATAACTTCACTAATCTGTATTGCCAGCTCTCGTGTTGGTGTGACGATCAAAGCACCAACCTACAATGATAATAAAGCATTATACCTAGCTTTCATGAAAATATATATTTGTAACATTGTAACTGGTGTTACACTGATATGAATACAGTAATAGCATTGGGGCAGATACTGGCACCTAAATGCAGTATCAGTGTTGGATACGCGGATACCAACACCACAAAGCAATTTCTGATGTACATGTGCACTACTGAGTGATGCATGCAAATTCCAACATGTCAGTGGTGAGGGTTGACAAAGAGCAGTAAAAATGCTCATGGCAAGGTCGGTAAGGCCAGTATACCATGAAAAGGCAACAGTAATGGGTGATATACCGGTTAAAATTCTCCTAAGGTATTAGTTTCACCGGAATAAATTAATTAAATTAGCTAAATTGGGCTTCCTCACGTGCAGCTGTGCAGTCTGTTACAGTCATGTTAGTTCAGGTTGTTACTGAGGGAGCATACATTGGAGAAACATATGGAATTAACTGATGGTCTCTTTAGTTAATGATAGCCTAGGTCAGCTGCAACAGACAGCAGTGTGGTCTCATGGCCTAGTGCTTCCATCAAGCAGAGAAATCTGCTGAAAATAGCTAGTGCTGTTAGCATGTAACTCCAGCAGAGTCTGATGCTGGGAGAGGTAAGTACATAAGACAAATGTCAAATGAAATTCAATATAACTATTTTGCGCAATAAAAATATTTCACATTTACTTCAGTTGTTAAATGTGTTTCTTCCTACTAATTATATAATAATAAATCCTAATTACATAAGTAAATAAACAAAATAAAAACAAATAGCCTGCATTATTGCACTGCAAGATATTTCTCAATTTCAAGTAGTTTCAAAAAGCAACTGAATATGCATTTTACGCATCAATTAGCCTAATATTATTTTGCCAACAGTAGTCTGGTGGTCAGAAACCGAGTAGCTAATGGCTGACAAATTGTGCATGACAACAGATGGTGGCCTATACACTGACCTATAGGGTAGGTAGTCAGTGAGTGAACATTCAAAATAAAGTGTACGGTGAATGTATAAAGGTACACATACAAAGGCAGTGTATCAGTGCTGACAGTAGCATCTATAACAATGGTCACCAACTCTACTCCTTAAGAGCTACCTTCTCACAGAATTCAGCTCCAACCTAAATCAAACACCTGATCAATCAACCTGATACAATCCATAATGTGGAATGATCAGATGTGTTCAATCAGGGCTGGAAACTTCAGGAGAAGAGTTGATGAGCACTGATCTATAGTATCTGATTGCCTGCACACTTACTTGCATTTTCTTCAGCTTTTCTTCACGTTTTAAAAGAATCTCTAGGACAGGAATTACAAAAGCAAGAGTTTTCCCACTACCAGTCACCTGCAAGATAGTGAGTTGATTCTGATGAGTGTGAAATTGTGTTTATTATTTTATTAATCTAACTTATTCATGTTAGTGATGTCCTTACCGCTTCAGCAGCAACATCTTTGTTGTTCATAAACAGGGGGATGCAGGCAGACTGAAATGAGAATCACTTGATTAGATTAACCCTCTAATTGTGTTTGCAAATCAGTTACATCATTAATATTTGCAGGTCAATTTTGATTCAGTGTGGTTAAACCAACTCAAAACAGTCCTAGATCATGTTACTTGACAATTTCATTTGACCCTACTTACCAAATACTTACAAAAGATTAACTTATTTTATTGTATTTTACTGTTCACAATTACCTTAATTACCCTAAAAAGGGACATCTGTTATCATAACAAAATGCATATTTTAGAGCATTTTATGGCTTTGAATTGCTATTTTGTATGTAGGAGTCATATATTCTACTGGATTATCTCTTTCTAACATATGTTATGTACATATGTCACAGATATTTTCTTAGTGTTGATAACATAAAATTATTTAATTATTTGTCTTGGGTCAAAACTAACCCTTATGTTACAAATGAAACTTCCAAATTGTAATAAACTTTATCTGCACTGTATTTCCCCAGTGTGCTGCATTCTCGATTGCCATTGTGAATTCCAGGATCAAATTTGACCCTGAATGTTGTGGAGACAACATTAACAAAAACATCATATTAGTCATCTTATCATATCATGACTGTTAACGAAGTCATCATGTTTCATGACAAAATAATAAAGTGTAATGATATTTTAAAGATATTAAAACCTGAAAAGGGTCAGACTTGACCCAGTAAAGAACAGGAGGCTTAACCTTAGTTTGATTAGCTAGTTACAGTACAGCTCCGTACAGAGTGGTGAGAACATGTGAGAGTAGCTGCCAGCTTGATAGCAACATGAAATATTTGTTCACTACCTGAACTGGAGTCATATATGTAAATCCCAGTTTTTTCAGTGTCGATGATATGCCGTCATGAAGCTTCACAGGTAAGCTGTTCCATTTTCCATCCGTTATGCTCTCCATGTTTTTCACTTTGGACTTTATTTCTGTCTCAACAACCTCCCATGCCTGAAGATATTTCTGTGCAACTGAATATGCGGTCCGACTGGAAACCGGAGGCGTCAATCGTACAACGTTTCTGCGTTCCTGTAATTTGAGACTGTAGTTCCGTTTTTAAATTATATTAAATCAGTATTAAATATTGGGCGATTAAACGGTCGAGTAATGTTTGATTTTTATTAGGACAAAGCTGACTTTAAATAAGGAGAAATCCACCGTTTTTTAATGTCATTGAGATGTGTAAAAATATTCAGGGCATTTTGAATTGAAATGGTTAATTTAAGAGAAATGTACCGACTGAGAATGTCTTTACAGTGGCGTAGGCCAACACCCCTTGGCCAACACACATTAAAAAAAATATCTTAAGGGCAATATCTTCAAAACTATCGTGAAACATGTCGCAGGCACCAGGCGCTGTGAACTATTGGCCTTTTCTGGAAAAAAAAAGCTTTCCTAAGGTAAACACTTATGAAGAACCTTTAGACAAACACCAAGTGGATTAAAAGAGCGTTTTTACATCCAGTTCTTGTAATTAATACATTAATTCATTAATACATAAAATGATTCTCAAATGTTGAGGAAGTCGAATTTATTTTCTCAAGAAAATCCTAATTGTTTCTGTATGTAGGCTAGAGGCTAACCTCTTGGTTAATTTTAATAATTACGTGTTATGAAAAGTAGTAGTTACAGTTTAAGAGGTTTGCCTTGTTCATTTTTTACAGTCCAAGTGTCAGACCATTGTAATTGTTCTGAAAAGAACTAAGAAAGAAACAAAATTTCTTATTGATTTATCTTAAGTATGTAGTTGAAGAAAAAAGTATTCATGTTTACTCAAGTTAAAAAAGACACCTTTATGAAGCTTTTGTTTCTTAAGACACGTTTGTGAATTCAGCCCCTGATTCGTAAAGTGTCTCTTGAAAAAAAAAAGCACATCAAACCACACTGAAATACGTTGTTTACATTTTCATATAAGGGAACCCTTGGGGGCTAGCTGGGCCTTTCAGAGAAGGCGCAATGATTTCTGGGAACTGAAAATTTTTCACGAGCTGTATAGAAGGCCTAACGCGTTAGATTAATCATCAGCGTATTAGGAAGGTACAGAGGAAACAACCAAACACGTTTTGATTTCCAGTAGGCAGAATCAATTTGTGAGGGGAAAAAAAAACATCAGGCCTTCTGGAATTCCTAGATACTGACTGTGAATGGCTGCAGCTTAATCACTGGGTTGTTAGAAATGAAAACAGTGGCGGCAGCTCTGTGCCAGAGCTCTGTACTTCTACCAAGTAAAAAAAACAAAATAAATAATTTTATATATATATTAAACATTAAATTCCCATTTAACAGCCACAAAACAAGGCATGGGCTAAGTTTATGTTAAAGTAATTTGAAAATAAGCTTGCCTGGACTCACTACAGTCATTAAGAATAAAGAATTACACCTCAAAGAGAAATGCAAAACTTTTTGTCTGTTTTAATTATTTATAAAGTGCTCTTCTTCATCCTAAATCCTTTGTCAAATCTTTTAATGGATTTCTGAAAAGACCTACAGATATTATCATTCTGAAATCTGTAGCTAGGTCTTTACAGAAAACAGTAAAACTGGAAAATAGCGATCCACAATTAACACTTATGACTTTCTCCATTATGTAAACAGACTCAACAGTAAAAAAAAAAATACAAAAACGTTTTAAAGAATGTGTTTTATTAAACCAGGTTCATATTTGACATATGAGCATTCTACTTTACATTTTCTACAGTTTTTACCATCAACTGTGCAGTAGTCTTTGCCAGATTTCTCTCTGTATAGCACATACACGCAAGAAGTCATGTCCATACAGACATAAAATAGTACAAAAGTACATAAATTACTCCCCAGTTCTATTTAACAAAAATGAACAAACTGACAAAATGGATATCCCAGCTACATGTCTGAAAATATACTGAAGCTGTTTTAATACATAAATGGAGGCTTGCTGAAAATGCTTTAGTTATGTGCCATGAAAGTTTGGGGATTGCACTCAAAAAGGAAAAAGCAAAAGAAACAGTGACCACAGACATTGCATTGATAGTCAACAGCCAGACCGTTCAATGCACACTTCATTTTTCATTTCAAATCAGTGACTGAACTATTTTTCACCTTCAAAATCATATGAAATTTACATCTTACATGATGTAAACCCTCTTTACATTCTCAGAATAACAGCCAATACAATATCTTTACTACGCAACTAATATTTTAATCGTGTTGATTCTGTCAGATAAACACAAAGTTATAAAATGTTTACATAGAAAGAATCAGGGCTTAAAAGAAATTAAAAGTGAACCCAAAAGATCTGTCTGAAAGGCCATCGCTTCCCAAACCAAATATATGGAAACATCTAGAGAAGTATAAAGACAAAGGTAGAAAATGCATGAGTGGAAATGAGGGCTCTTCTGTAGTGTGATGAGGCTGGATATCCAATCTTTAAAGTAGTAAATGGCTGGCTTGAAGGAGGAGCAAAAGGAAGCATATTTTACACGACTCTCCGTACTTCGAAAAATCTCTTCAGGTAGTAAATCTGTCCCAGGGTCATGGCAACAAGCACCAATGCTTCGAAGAAAGACCAGAGCACCACCCTGCTGTTAGTGTTGTCATTGACTAGAAGAGAGAGACAAGCAGAATGTAACTTGTACAGAAAACTTCAGTCTTCAATCTTTGCAAAGCCAAAAAACATTAAAAGTAATACATCCCATGCAGTTCTGTTGATATTTGCAGTATGAGTTTTGAGCTCACCAGTCAGATTTTCTAAGTAAAAAGAAGTTAACACATCCTCTACAGAGAACACACTTCTGCACATTTTAATGCAGGATTATTGTTTATTTGCTGGAAGGTCACATGGAGGGGAAAAAAAAAACATAAAATGTGACACTGTGCAAAGGTTTTGGCACATTTTATATTTTATGTTTTTTGTCCCATAATGTTAAACTCAGCAAATACATAGAAATTTTGCACTAAAATTTTTGTAGACAAGCACATTTTCACTTAAAGAGTCTTATTCTCACTTAGAAAATCAACCAAAACATGTAATTTGACCAGGGTTTTCAAACTTTTGCATGCATCTATAAACGTTATTACAAATAGAGTAATCTATCAATTGAGTAATCAAAGTTACAAAGAGGCCAAACTAAGGATACACCAAAATTTTGGCACCAAAAATGTTCAGCTAGAAATTATCAAAAATGACACTTTCAGAAGCAAAAAAAAAGCAATGAAAATTTTGACTAAACTGAGGTTAAACAGGAAAAAGGAAGACAAATTCTAACATTTTACAAAGAATTTAAATGGTAATGAAAATAATAAATATCCAATAAAAACACTAATTGTTCTCTTTGCTCTTCTGTGCTGGTCAGTGCAAACATATTTAAACAATTTGAGCAACAGCAGGTTTGGTTTTGGCCAAGATTTTTTTTTTTCAGTGCATCACTAGGCCAAATAATGAAAATGCACTTGACTGGACAATAACAAACCATGCATTGCATTTTAGAGACTTCAAAATACTTTACTGCAGAAACAAACAAGGATGCCTTTAAAATTATTAAAAACATTGCAAGTAAACAGGAGTGTTTATCAGAGCCTGCTTCTTACTGTAAGAGACCAGTAGTAGAATTTAACTGCCAACTAATCACTGCAGATTCCCTGAGAAAGTCAAATTTAATAACTTATTTTAAATCAAATGCCCATAATATGTGTGATACATGCAGTCTTTAAAACGGTACACAATGTGAGATTATAAGCATGTGCTTTTGTAAGTCAGTTAAGATAATAGTCTTACTCGCTCTGTGTATTCTTTCCCGGACCTCCATGTACTCCTGCTCGTGCTTCACAGCTGTCATTGCTACCGCCAATTCATTGATCATCTCTTCCAGCTTGTTCTGGTGAGCTGAAGGAGAAAGAATTCATTTAAGTAATTAGACAATACATGGAATATGCAAAGTGCAAGTAAAACTTATCAAAAAGGTAATGCATGAAAGTGGACCATGGTTTTATACCATCAACTAAGCTAATAGTTCAAAATCAGCTTTTGCAAATTTAAGTTATGCATGCAAGAGAGGCGTTAACAGTTCACCACCAATATAAGGTGCATTTGTTCACACTTGTGTTATTATTTTGCGTGGTATTAACAACATGCATAAAACTCTTGCCAGCCATCACGCTGAGCACACTGATCAGGTACATAATTCCAAACCTATAAGTGCTTTCTCTGCACTGTGCTGCTGTTAGATACTGTTTTTCTCAACGCAATGCAACAGGCAACACTGCTGTCATTAACAAATACAAACCGAACCATGGCACAATTTAAAAGTTAAAGGGGAATTACACTGATTTTTCTAACTTTCAGCATAATTCAATCATTGAGATATAGACAAAGTCATTCAGTGTGGTTGGATGCAAGATGGTGTACTGTAGAGAAAAACTTAATGACAAATTTTTTTACAGTGGTGATCTTGTAATGTTGATAACGGTACCATGATGATAACTCTCTACGGCTATTTTGCCTTACAAAATCTTGCTTCTCTCTGTCCAGCACATAATGTTTTTAATTACGTTTTAAGCCAAAACCTCAAAATAATCTTGAAACAATTTCTTACATCAGGTAGCGTATTTGTAACTATTGCACGTAATAGTTACGTTTTCAGAGGCACTTTGGACGTCTGGTTCCCACCACTACCACTGTGAGTTTATCAAGAATGAAGCCATTTCACATCAGATCACTTTAAAAGCCATGCAGAAATTTTGCAAAATCAGTGGAATTTCCCTTTAAGCTAATCTTTACATGTGTTAAAAGCTTCTTTATGCTGCCTGCTCCTACCATCCCAGCTGTCACCACCGCCTAAAAAGGGGAGGAAGTTACAGTTATGGCAAAGAAAATAAGGTTAACTAAACTTCATAATGAAAAATAAATATTATATTTCCTTGTGTGGTAATAATAATAACAATAATAATAATAATAATAATAACGATAACAAAAACAAAGAAGAAGCAGCACATTTCAATCACAAAGCGCTTTAATAACCCACCTACAATGGTTTTTTTTAAAAACCTTTATAAACAGCAATGTAAGGAGATGACATTTATATATGAAAACTACCTAACTAGTTGAAAGGGCCCAGACCATAGAAAACATCATTTTTCATATTTATATATAAAAAAAGTGTGATGTAGCATGTAAACATTGCTGAAGCTTCAAAATGTACAGATGACTGCTTAGCCCATATATAAACTAAGCTGCAAAAACAGCCCATTTTCAATTAATGTTTTTTGTGATGTCATACAACCACCTATTCAGCACACAACAGTTTAGCCTTACCCTTTCACACTGAAGTTATAAGGAGTGTTTCATACCAGATTGCTTTTTGAATGAGGCACAATACAAGGCAGCCAATCAGCTCTGTTGTATTTACATATATCAGTCTTAAAGGCATAGTATGAAGAACAGCCTGGAATAAAGGGAGTTTTGACACAAACCCACACAAATGTCATACACAACCTTGAAAAAAAAAAAACACTGAAATACAAGAAAAATGCATTAGCCCTTTAAATAAATAGAGTTCTGAATGAAAACTAGCCCAGCTCACTAACCCTATATTTTGACCATATGGAACAAGAGGATGAAACAGTGCACCCACGCCCTTTCACTTCAACTACAAAAGAACAAACTCACCTTCCGTCTCCATGTCTTGATCCTTAGGAGCTTCGCCGATGTCGATGGTAAACATCACGATTTTGGGGGTCATGGTGGACATCTTGTTGCTGAAGCAAAACTTATAGGTTCCATCCATATGGGCGGCAACAGAGTACTTGCCACTGGACTCACGGTCTCCTTTATAAATTTGCTTTCCATCTGGCCCTGTTATCTGCAAGAGATTTAAAATGAATTAGGCAGAATACCTTTATTAACAGACAGATGTAAAGACCAGCAGGTTGGCGGAATACTGCATGTCAGTCGGATACCCCACAAATATACTTGAGTATGCAAATGTTTTGTATGTCTGAAAAGTTAAAATCCGTCCCTATTCTATTTAGGTAGACGCAACAGAGTGAATGTAACTTCTATCCATCTCTGTTCTGTTTTGTGTAAACTGCTGTATCCGCTTTGCTACTCAGTAGTAGTTGCAAAATAAGCTGTTGACACATACACAATGTGAAATGAGGAAAAAGTATGAAAGGTAGAGAAACATCAGAAAGCACAGAAAATAACTGGTTGTTTTGACAAAGTGACATACAAAAGATTAGGATAAAATAATACAGCATCAGAACAGGAATGGCATCAGCACGTCTGCTAAAGCTATTATGATGTTTGTTTTAGTTTTATTTGGCTATATTTAACCAGTGAGCACCGCTGCTGTGGGGCCATAACTGAACGTCTTTTTATGTTTTAAACTAGCTGCTCCCGCTTTCCCACTTTCAGAGCTGGCAGGCGGCAGGTTAAGCCAGCTAGTCGACATTTTTTGCATGTGAAATTCAGAACCCTCACCTCCACGTCGATGTCCAGGAAGCCTCCCTCGGCCACCTCGAACATGAGGCCCATCTTGGTGCCCGAGTTCACGCGCTCGAAGAAGCACTCCTCGGCGTGCGCGTCTATGCTAACGAAGTAGCCGGACGCCGTGGCCACCATGACGGCGAGGAGAAGGACAATCTCCGAGCATGTAAACATCCTCCAAGCGCCGGCGTCACCACCACCATGAAGAGCGAACTGCGGAGGCGACGATTTTCGTCAAGGCTGGTTTAAGTTGAACGACGGGCTTTACTGCTAGTGCCACGTAAAAGCTTGTGACGGAAAGCGGGTAGGTACAAACATAGCGCTGATACGCGAATGCGAAAATACAACCTACCGCTTCAGAGATGCAGGTCAGTGGTGAAAGGTGAAAGGTAGTGATGAGCGTGACAGATAACCTACCGAGTTTATTTACTTTTCGATCTGCTACCGAGTAATACCAAGGCTAATATTCCGAAACCTATAGAGCCCTTAAGGTGAAATGGGGATTATTTTTAATAAGACATGGGGATTATTTTTAATAAGACGTGGCCACGAATTAATATATGATTTTGGGGTTTTTTTGTCTTTTCTTTTTTCCTCTGTTAATGTTTAACAAAGAAATTCAGGTTGATATGTGAATCTTTTATTTCCAAAACATAAAAGAAATTACTATATTAAGGCCACGAGTTGTGAGAGATTTAACTCGTGGCCTCAATATAGTAATTTGTGGCCTCAATATAGTAATGTGTGGCCTCGGTATGTTAATAAGGCCACTCCTTATTAAAAAAAAATAATAATGTCATCTTCGGGGTTAAAAACCAGTACTTTAAAAAGCATTTTGTGGATGTAAAAAGTGGGGGTCTTTGGTGAAAATCAGTAAATGTGAACATTAAACATTTTAATTTGAAATTCATAAAAACTCACTGTTGAGTGGAGTGAAATAACTCCATTTGATCATCCATTTTCAGGTATTCACTCCATCTCATGTTCTTTTTGAGAAGCAGAGGGAAAAGTAGTGCCGATAACACACATTTATTTGCTGCAATCATTCTCTCTCTGTCTTCTTTCAAAGACACATTCAGTTTCATAAAAAAATCAGTATTCAGTTATCGCTTAAAGAAAACACATCATAATTATAATCTTATAATCTAATAATAATCATCTTATTTAATTACATGAAACTAAGTCAATGTTACTTGTTGCCCCCCACTTGTGTATATAACTTTTTTTATCTGACATTTTCTTTACCATGTCTTATGATAGAGTCAATGGAGTGAAAGTGCATGCTGAGAAGGGAGCTTACATAATTGTCAGAAGGAAAAAAAGACTGTACAAGAAGGAAGAATTGGGAACTGTTTTTCTGGCAAAGCAATACATGGAAGAATTAGACCAATAGTACAGAACATAAATAAATCTCAGTAAGTATCGCCAAAAATTACAATGTTAAAACAGGAATCCAACCAATATTTCTGCTTCTGCTGTAAAAATGCATTTTATTGCGCCGTTCTCTCTTTCAACGTTCTCAAATGCCCCATTTGGCGTTCTAAGTTTTCTTGCTTGTGTTCCAATTCGTTCGTTATTGTACATATAGTTCCCTAGTGGGTTCATTATTTCATGACCTTTTTAGTGCACTATCTAGAGAGTAGGGAGCCGTTTGGGATCGAGCCCTACATATGCACCACTAGAGGACGCAGCTGCTTCGCGCAGGTCGGCCTCGCTGCCTTGTCGCATGTTTGGTGACGTTCTCCAACTGACTCGAAAGGTCTCCGATGCGAGGCCTAGCGAATTTTGTATTTCTCCGGCCAATTTTGAGCAAATGTCCACATACCTAAACCCGTTTTGAGCGGGTTGTTTTCTTTATGAGGGATTTTGTCGGACGAAAGAAGGGCTTCACCTACTCAGCGCGGTCTCCTCGCCATCGAGTGAATTAACTCGAAGCGCGTATCTGGAGTGGAGGAAACGAGGGTTGGAAAGATGACATCTCGGAGGTGAGGGCTGTGGAGATGAAAAACAAACGATATGCGGGGATGTTGTCTGCTCAAAGAGAGACTAATGTCATCATTATTTGGACTGGAGTAGTTGTCTATCTGGGCACGGCTTTTAAATACAGCTTACTAGCGAAACAGCCCCCTGACTCGGAAAGTTTGAATCGGTGGTGAAAAAGCACAGGGGGGTGTTTCAAACTTGGTTTGCTAGCGAGCCTTAGTAGTGCATTGTGCTATGGCTAGCTAGCTAACGATTTTAGCCGAGCCAATAAGACAGTCCGCGTTGGTTTGCTATCTGTCCGGCTGGCTAAAATAACCTCATGAATCAAAAACATTTTATCCAGCAAGACATTCAGACAGCATAACGCGTAGCTAGATAATCTACGGATTTTATTGTCAACTTCAGCGCCTGTGATCGCGGACACGTCACAGACTTCGGGTGCAAATGTAGTATCTGTGAAAGCTGTGTAAGCTTGAAAGCTTCGTTTAGCTTTTTCATGCCTTTTTAAAACTGTTGTGGCAAGATGAAGTGTTAACCTAGACAGATTCGAGACGTCCTGTTAGTAGCTACTGAACAAGTACACACCCAATGAACTGAAGCTTTGGTTTTGTTTTCATTTCCATCTTACCGATTTTCTCCGCTCGGCAAACTAGCAGCGTTTGCCGGATAAAGCAACCAAATAAACCTGACAGGTTGTGTTGATCAGGAATTTGCATTTGTCGCTTCTGATCACCACTGATTTTCGTTTTGTGTTCGCTCGCCTGTGGTTCCAGCTGCATTTTGTATTTCTTATTATACAGACTTTATTCTTGTTATTCGATTAAAGAATGACTCAAGTATGGCTAAAAGTAACTGCCACAAAAAAACCTAAAACTCTTCAAGTAGTCTACTTAGTTCCCTGTAGAATTGCAGTGGAACGTCTTAGTACATTCAGCATCTAGCAGTACTGGAAGTTCAGGAAGTGAAATTTGTTAGGTGTTGTTCTTCGGTGTTTGTCCTACTTTGGGTCTAAAATAAAATGATAAAGCTTGGATGTCAGAAGAGAGCAGCAGCAGCACTCAAAAAAGATATTAGGAGCTAGAAACTTACTGGCACAAATTTCTTTACAGTTGTGGTGAAGGGAGCCAGGGGTTGTGATGTCTACTGTAGCTATTTTATTTACTTTTTAAATTTACCTACACGTGTCTTCTGAATTTTTATGTAATGTTAATAATGGGAAATCTGGTAATATAGTTTTCTATGGGTATTACTTTTGAATATGTATTTGAATGTAACTTTCCCCCATGAATAGAGGATACATTTAAACCAAAACCTTATCTTAAAACATCTGTAAAATAATGTCTCAGGCATAAAGCAGCATATTCGTTAACATTTCATGTAGTAACTTTCTGCAAGGTAGCTTTAAGGCTTTAAACTCTTTAAACGTCTGGTTTCTATCACCACTCCTGTGAACAGTTCTGTTCTCTAGAATGGAACATTTTAAGAAACCACTCTTTAATTACTTTTTAATAAAAGAAAAATGTTGGAATTCCCCTTTAAGTACAGGGAGGTGAGTAAATGAAACCAGTCACTCTGCTCTAAGACTGAAAACCCACTTACCTGTTGGATAGGTAACTTCCAAGCATATTTATTTATTTACACTAATAGTGACTAATGTAATGTTGAAGACTTTGCTTGTATGTCTTGTCATAATAAAAGGCCACTGTGAAATTCTGTTATTAGGTGGTTCCACCCCAATATCACTGGTGTGGAGGCTGAGAACCTTCTGCTAACCCGTGGAGTGGACGGGAGCTTCCTGGCCCGTCCCAGCAAGAGCAACCCCGGCGACTTTACCCTATCTGTCAGGTGGGTGACCACTTCGAACATGTGCTGATGGAGAGACAACAGGCAGCACTGCGGTTGTGTTGATTTCAAGTAGAGAGCGCATTTGTTAGGATACGGTTGAAGAGAGAACGAAAAAGCTGTGTTTATGTCAAAAGCCACAAAAAGGAAGGGGCTATTCAAATGAACTTTATACCCCCTTACTTGATGTTCTGGCACGTCTTTCCAACAGACCATACGCCACTTCCATACCTGTTGCTGTACTGTAGATTTGTGTATATTTGAAACAGGTGGACAACCTTTTGAGGATTCATTGAAAATGCTAAACCCAACTCTTAGAATGTGTGTTGAACACACAGATGTGGGCAAACATTAGAATTACATATAAAAGGGTGGTACTGTTTGTTTGGCATTTAATAAGAAGTAAAACCTAGAGGTCAAATGAGTGGACTTGGCATGTAACAGCTAATGACAGTTTTGCAATTGCTGGAAAAATAATTAATTGATACCATGTTATCATTTGTCCCACTTGCTGTGTGTTATTTAGGCTTGCAGTAATTTCATATAAATGTACCTGCATGATCACCATTTACACTGTCAAACTTTGGCATACTTGTTCCACTTCGAATTCTACTTCCCTTTTTACCCCTATTTCTGCATACACCAGTCATTAATGCATCCACCCAACATTTTGTTCCTTCATACTTCATACGAAAGAAAATCCTAGTTCCTTTATTGTTAAGAGCGGTGGTTATAATGGTAGTCACACACTTTTGTCAGTAGTTTAAGCATGTTTAAGTAGAGTTTCACAATCTGTAGGGAAGATTCATTTCAAGTGTTGTTTTATTGCCTCAGTAGCAGTGGTCATCAGCCTGTCTCCTGGGGATCTACTTTCATATGACAATATTTATAGTTGCTGTGATAAATTATGTCACGTTACATTACATTACCGTATGGAATTCCACCTGTGTTTCCCTGAAATGTCTGCATAGTTAAATGATGTAAGCAAATACATTCAGAATGGTTTGATATGAAATGTTCCGTTCTAAAGAAGTTTTCAGAGTCAGAATTGTTCACATGGTGGTGATAGGAACCAGATGTTTGAAGAATTTAACACTTCTAAAAGTTGCCTCACAGAAAGTTATTATGTGACATGGTATATAAAACAATGTCTCAGACATCAGACACTGTGTTTGTCAGGGTAAATAATCTTCAATGAAAATTTATTTCCACATTACACATAAAAACTCGGAACACGCATTTGGGGTCGCTTTGGGTAGGAAATAAATGGCTATATTTGTGAAATGAAGACGCCTAGTTCCTATTACCACTGTAAAATAAATAAATAAAATAAAATAGGAGCTGGTACATTTCTCTACAGTGAACCATTCGTGATACATTTTGTGTCATAAAAATGTCTCGAAGTATTGCAGCGTTATTATTTTTGCCATATCGTTTCTTCTAACAGTATTTCATTTTTCTGAATTGTAACGCACAATGCACCAGCAAAACACTTGTTTAAAAACAGTGATTTGATGAACTTGATTTCTTAAAGGCAGTGCCTTAAGAATTTTAACTTCACTTTTCGTAACTGGCTGTCTCTCTAAACGCACTATAACTAGTTCAGAATGTGGCAGCCTGTGTGTTTAGTTTTTGTGGCATATTACTCCAGTCTTGTTCAGTTTGCACTGAATTTCTGTTAAGTTTCGCATTGACTACAAGATCTTAATACGTTGAAAGCTCTTATAGGTATAGCTCTGGTATGTCTTGCTGATCTGCTGAAGCATTCTAGCCCATCCAGACCACTTTTCTCAGCTGAGGCAAGTTTACTGCAAACTCCACTTACTTGTTATATAGCTTCTAAACTGTGGAAGTTGAGCATTCGCGAGACTATTGGGAATACAAGATAGATCTGTTTTTAAATTCAGGAATTATTTTAGGCTTGTGTGTACTTAGACTAGCTTCTTGTTTTTAATATGTCCTGTTAAGTGTTAGTGCCTTTGGTAAAATTTTATGTAGATGGTGGAAAAATTAAATGGATGAAATACACTTAATTTTGAGAGATTATGCATGTAGTCTGGCTAAAATTTTGAAGCTGTCCCTATTTAGGCGAAATGGGGCGGTCACCCATATTAAGATCCAGAACACAGGGGACTACTATGACCTGTATGGAGGGGAGAAGTTTGCTACGTTGGCTGAACTGGTGCAGTACTACATGGAACACCACGGCCAGCTGAAAGAGAAGAATGGAGACGTGATTGAGCTCAAATACCCTCTCAACTGTGCCGACCCCACTTCAGAGAGGTGACTCTCCAACTAAATCCACCTCAGTCATTGTGTCTCTGTTCCCTGGTCGGGGACAGTCGGTAACCATGTTTTATAACTGCTTTTATGGTGTCTGACAGAAATCGTCCTGACATTGTCTCGTTCTCCAAGGTGGTTTCACGGACACCTTTCGGGTCGGGAGGCGGAGAAGCTACTGACGGAGAAAGGGAAGAATGGCAGCTTCCTGGTGAGAGAAAGCCAAAGTCATCCTGGGGATTTTGTGTTGTCCGTACGAACGGGCGATGACAAGACAGACAGCAGTGACAGCAAACCCAAAGTGACCCACGTCATGATCCGCTGCCAGGTACTTGGAGAAGGGGCCAAGAGCATCTTTACTCATTTTGGGTTGTTTTACTGTCTTATTTGGACTGAAGAAAGTCCAGTACATCTGCATGGTTCTCACTTTTGTATTTCGTATTTTTGTTCTTCAGCATGATATGAAGTATGATGTTGGTGGTGGAGAAAAGTTTGACTCCCTGACAGACCTGGTGGAACACTACAAGAAGAACCCCATGGTGGAAACACTGGGCACAGTGCTTCAGCTGAAACAGGTCTGCTATTATTCTGATTATTTGTCTAAATTACGTTATGTGCGGAGGTGATTATTATCAGGACCTCCTAATTAGACTACAGTTTTTTATGGTCAGTAAATATACCTATTTCTAGTACCTCACACTTATTTTTGCTTTAAGCCACACCCACGTCTGGTTGTAATTTAAAATAAGGTATTGAGGAAAAAAATAGTGTTCAGAAATCAGTATCAAAGCTGGTATCAAATTGATGCCCAGCACCAGTTTAGACCCTTGTTTTAATACAGTCTCACTGTTAATGAAACAAAAATTATCTTTCTTCATATGTAGTCACACTGGACCATAAGTACCAAAAATATTTATAGATTTTGTATTTGCAAAACCCAGAAGAAGCGTCCCATGGCCATATTGTTGACATTCTGTCAGCAGAACGTGTATAAGCAGTCAGTGCTGGCTATAGCTTCCAAATCAAGATATCAAGAAAAAATCAATTTGAACAGAGATGTTGATTCTTATCTAATCAATAAGTTACCTTAGTTCCTGGTTATTATCCTGATTAACATGCCCAGACATCTATAAGTACTTATAGTAAATATTGCATCAGCATTCACATCCTTGTATGAATGCACACACTGTAAGCACAATTTGGAAGCTTTGTGCCAGGTGTTCACATTTAAGGTTACATACTCAGTGGAGAGAAAATTAGAGGGGGGAATATGAACTTGTTTTGTGTGTCAGGGCAGCCAAGTATTTGTAAAATTTAGCAGATCTACTATATTGAAAGGTTTCCTAACAATTTTGAAAAACGTTTTCAGAAAATTCACTTGTTCGTTTTTAAGAAATTCTATATTATAAACTGTATAATAATAAACTGTGTATTATTTATTGCTTATATTAAAAGCCACTGAACACCACACGCATTAACGCAGCTGAGATCGAGAGTAGAGTGCGAGAGCTCAGCAAGCTGGCCGAAGCCACCGATAAGGTCAAGCAGGGCTTCTGGGAAGAGTTTGAGGTGAGAACCACGAACCTGATCAGTTGTCTGCACTTAATGTGGTTTCATACATTGGTATTATGTTGCTGTACACTTTTTGAGCATTGCTAGATCTCTCTTTCTCTGACTTCCCACAGACACTTCAACAACAGGAATGCAAGTTGCTCTACAGCCGCAAGGAGGGTCAACGTCCTGAAAACAAAAACAAGAACAGATACAAAAACATTCTACCCTGTGTGTATACATAGTTTCTTCTTTTTTGCTACTTTATTGCTGTTGTCTTAAACAAGAATGTGGAGCAGGGAGGATTAAAGTATATTGGGAGGTGGGCAGAGCCTCATGTTCCTCAGGGGCATGTGGGAAATGAAATGGCTGACATTACTTTCTCTGCATCTTCTCCTCAGTTGACCATACGCGAGTGGTTCTCAACGATGGTGACATGAATGAGCCAGGCTCTGACTACATAAACGCCAACATCATCATGGTAGTAAATTTATTATGGTAAACATTGATATAGTCGGAAATCTGCGTATATAGTTATTTTATAACTGATCACAATACTACTTTAAAGCCCCACTGCATGATCTGCAAAATTTCCACTTTCACAAAGTCACTGCTAATGAAATATACGCACAATATTAAACTATTAAAGTTGATCATATTTTTATTGTGATCGCGGTCAGTTTCCATGATGAACCCATCGTTAAAAGCTGCGATGATGGATCAAATTACATTATGTTCTGTTCTTAACTACTAACCTGTAAAAACGCTTTAAATGGTATGACTACTCTCTTCTCCAGTGTTGTGTGTACAAAGTATGAAGCAGTCATGTCACAACACGCTTGCATCACCATATGTGTTAGTAGTTCCAATGCAGCTGCCAGTAGAATCAATATTGACCCAGTAATAATACTGGTGTCACTATCTGTGCATCTCTAGTTTGCTGTCTAAATGGATCTTTCTACTGGATTGGTTCAAAGTCAGAGTTGAAAACAGATTTTGGACTCTGAACTGACTTGGACTTTAGACTAAAATCCTTTTGCTTTGAGTGACCTTATACCTTCATTACATCTGTTGTATTATAATTAATAATTGAACATTCCATTTTGTCATTACCAGTATTATAATACTGCCTCTGAAACTGAAACAAACAGGCTGTGTATTTCTAAGGGATAAAGAGGTTTGAAAATGGTAATGTAAAAATGAATTTTAAGTATTGTTGGTATATAAAACCACACATATCTTGTAAATGGACCTCAGGGGAAAAATAAAATAGAAAAAAAAATGTCGGATATGGGCCTTTAAAGCTTAAATATCACATCAATATTCATATCAAACAAAGGTTCGATATCTGTATCAATATCGGAAAAGAGAAAGCGTTATCACGCCATCTCTGTTCAGTACATAGTGTGAATTGCTCATTGGATATTTGTCTGCTATTCTACAGCCGGAGTTGGAGTCAAAATGCAACAATGCCAGATTAAAGAAAAGCTACATCGCCACCCAAGGCTGCCTGCAGAACACAATAAGTGACTTCTGGAGGATGGTGTTTCAGGAAAACTCCCGAGTCATTGTTATGACAACTAAGGAGGTGGAAAGGGGCAAGGTAAGGTCTTTTCCCTGTGAAGGCCACCAAAAGGTTATCTGTTTTGTTTACAGGTGTGGTTTATTTATTAATTTATTTATTTTTGGAAATACAGGGTCACCTCAGACATCTTTTTTTGGCACCCCGTTTGTTTATTCTGTATTTCTGTATTCTTTATGTGGCATCAGTAACACAAGGATAAGCTGAAAAGGGGAAACTAATCTCAGTGTATCTTTTTCTATAGAGTAAGTGTGTAAAGTACTGGCCAGATGTGTCAGCGCTAAAGGAATATGGGGCCATGCGTGTACGCAACGTAAAGGAAACGTCAGCCCATGATTACATCCTCCGAGAACTGAAGCTTTCAAAGGTTGGACAGGTAAAGGAGTCCAGTAAAAAAGGGATTTATAAAAAAGGCTGCCCTTTCTGGGCCGACTGAATTGCTCTACTTTCAGTTTCTCATATTGAAAATAGGACAATATATCAGTTCAACAAAGCAATGAAACATGCTTTATGTGTTACCGAGTATTAACCTAGTGGTCCCCACCTATACATAACAAAATAAAAACTCACGTTGCCACTAATGTTGTGTGTTTGGTTTTTGTTTAATCCTTTTGAGCACACTCATGAGGTTTCCTCACTTCTGTATGTAAGGAATTTCACAGCATATGTTCTAGTAAGGTAATGTAGTTTCTATATGCAGTTACCCAGTCTCGTCGATTGAGTTGCTGTTCTGTAACATTGTTATCTTTTGTTGTTTAGGGCAATACAGAGCGCACTGTGTGGCAGTACCATTTTCGTGCCTGGCCTGACCATGGCGTACCCACAGACCCTGGTGGTGTCCTGGATTTCCTGGAGGAGGTCAAGCTGAAGCAGGAGGGCATTCTAGAGGCCGGCCCAATTGTGGTGCACTGCAGGTAAGATACAGGGAACATGTTTGTACCATTCTTTTTTTAGGGCTGTTGTGGTTATTTTCGATGCCTTTTGAGTCAAGTCTTTTCTTAAAGAGAAGAATTTATTGTACTTTGTTCTGTTATTGTAGTATTCTGCAGTGCAGCATTATATTTCTCAGCCTCAGAATTCAGAATAATTTCACTTTTATGTTTTTGTTCCTCAGGCTCTCCCTACAAATCCTAGCATGCATTATGCAAATACATCAATGTAACTTTAACATTGGTCATTAAACAAACAAGAATAGTGATTATAGTTTTATTCAGCACAAAATAAATGTCAGAGGCAAGATTTTTTTTTCCAAACTTTTCAGCCAAAGAAAAGAAGCCCAACTAAAGTAAGTTATTTAGATAGCTAGGTAGAGACCTTGCTACCTTTAGCTTTTAACTTGTTGTCTTCCTCACCTGACAGGTCATTTCTGTCATTCAAGTAATTCATTCTCTCCATTGTAATGATTATTTGAAAATAGTTACCGCTTGGCTACTTGGCTTGGGAATGCGATATGACCTACGGGTGATCCACCATTGTGGCAGGGTTTGTCAGTCTTGGTTGGTTCTGATTAGGTGAATGAATCCTTGTTTCCTACCTGCTCTCCTTGATTTTGGCTGAACTGAAGCCCATGGAATACATTTACATAGCTGATTATCACGTGGATCTACAAAGATCTGTGCAGCTCAAGTTAAACAGTACATAGGAAGCATTGCAGTGAGAGTACTGGTGAACATCAAACTCAAGCTCTTTTGTAAGTATTTGTATAAATTTAATAAAATAAAATCTTCATGGGATTTATCACTTTTGGTATCAGTTAACTAATTTTCCAGCAAAAAAGTGAAGTTATGTTGTAAGTGGGCTAGTAATGTTACCTGAAGTATAAGGCAGTTAGCCTCTGTCCATTTCTCTTAAAGACTTTAGATTAAATGCCCCATTCTTTGTGAACTTTAAATTATGTGTGATCTAATATGAACTTTTGTGGGGTTTAATATATTACAGTGTAATAGTAATGTTATTTGTTTGCTGACTTACTAAATAAGCAGTATATGCTAGCTGTATTTGCTAAAAGGCTACAGTGGAGTATACTAGCTGAGTGAAATATGCAAAAAAACAAAACAGAACAGTGAAATGTGATGAAAGAATGACTGACATGTAGCAGTGAATAACTGTAATATGCCAGTAACTGAGTTAAGTCAAAGATCTTATGACTCCTCTGGTTAAATCTGCAGTGGCTAAGTAAAATATGCCAGTAACTGTGTTAAATAGGCCAGTGGCTCAGTGGAATAACCATTTGTAAACTGTACATGGACTTCAAATGACTTAAATACACCAGCTAGGAAAGCACCTGTGAATGAAAGAGGTGGTAACGGTTGCATATCCAGATCATTATTCCATATTTTGGGAATTTGGATCCACACCATCACTAAGGCTAATTTTACCCATCCTTCACCGTAGCTTAGCATCCCTCTGGAGTTGGTAAAGATACACTTCCCTTTAATTCAGTTCACTTTTAAGCATTTTTATTGTATGTAATCAAAGGACAAACCCTGCCAACATGGTGGAACAATCCCATACGTAGCGTGACATAAGAAATTTAATTTCATAGCGGTAACATTAGCTGCCTTTCTTCTGCATTCTGTCGCTAGTAAGGGAAACATTTCAAACAGCCTGCCCCCCAAGATACACAAGAAGGGGATTTCCTTTGTGTCAAACTGTAAAATCTTACTCTAGAGGCAACTATGGCACTATTGTAGCATGCAAATAAGCATGTTTACAACAGATGTAGCAATAGTAAAATGTTTTATTTTGGCCAGAGTGGCTTTGATTGAGCTTTAATTATTAATATTCATTTTGTCTTTTCATCAGTGCTGGGATTGGACGAACAGGAACGTTTATTGTGATTGACATCTTAATAGACATCATCAGAGAAAAAGGTAACACTCTAATACAACTCAAGCCACATCGTGGGTGATAAACAAAAAAACATGGTTATATTCTATAGTTGATAACATTGTTTTTTCTATGCATCCAGGAGTGGACTGTGATATTGATGTCCCAAAGACTATCCAGATGGTGCGTTCACAGCGCTCAGGGATGGTGCAGACAGAGGCACAATACCGCTTCATCTACATGGCAGTACAGCATTACATAGAGACTCTGCAGCGCCGCATAGAGGAAGAGCAGGTACATATGTGTGTGTGTATATATACACAGTAGGGCGGCACAGTATATTGTTTGTTAGACAAGATGAAAATATTGTCCGTCTTGACCAATTACCAGTTCCAGATTCATTTGTGTTGTGTTTTTCATGAATGAAGGTTTTCATGTAATCCAGGGTTCTTGAACTCCGGTTCAGCACAGTTTGGTGGTTATTTTGCTCAAATGTTCCCGATTCAACTCATCTGTTAATTGCCAGGTGAAATGCGTCATTTGTGCAGGACACTGGCCCTCCAGGACCGGAATTGAAGAACCCTGATGTAATCCATCATAAGTAAATTATTTTGGTCAAAATATTGCAAAATGTTTTGCAATCGCAATGTGCAGCTATGGAATTGCAATACTAATGCATTGCATATCATACATCCTTTATTTACATCTGTGTGTGGAAAAAGCTGTTGCAAGCACTAATATATTTTAGTTTTAGGTTGTCATGTGTAACTTGTGTGTGCTGTTTCTCATTTCTATGACTTCTCCTTTCAGAAAAGTAAAATCAAGGGACGTGAGTATACAAACATCAAGTACTCCCTGTCAGATCTGACCGGAGGTGACCAGAGCCCCCTGCCTCCCTGCACTCCTACGCCAACCTGTGCTGAGTGAGTAGCCTTATGTTCTTCTTTTTGTTTGTACTGAAACACTGAGCTGCACTGTGGGCAGTTAAGTTTTCATACTCAGTTGGAGATGGATACACTTTCGATGAGAACTAAACAGCAACCTAACCACTAGGGATGGGCATTTCAAATTTGATATTCAAATTTATAAGGCATTATTCAAAAAATATTTTAAAAATATCTCCTCTCCAACCATCAAAAACAAACAGAAATATTCCACGTGGGACCTGAGGCTACAGGCTTCCACACTCTGGACACACTGGGCAGACGCCATTTAGTATCAAACGTCTTTAAATCTAAAGTCTCAAAGGAGAACAGTCACATTTTAGATTGTTAGATGGTGCTGCATCATGCCAGTGGTTTAATAATAAATGTGTATTTGCCATCAGTGGAAAAACTCTACCAGTGATGTTTTTGTACGTGTTAAAAATCTCCCAAGTTTCACGGCAGCGGCATGACTCTACCATTCAATCACACAGAAGTAGTTTATCCACTTCCACTGACCTGCGTTAGGTGAGGGGGTGGGGACATCCGGCATAACAGCTGTCCAAATAAACTCTGGGAGATGTAGGAATCGAGCTTTATAGGTTCTTAAATAAAAACACTCAATAATTTTAGAAATATTCTACAGAAATCATGATTTCATTTATTTGTTCTGAATATTTATGTAGGGTGCTGAAAAAAGCCATTTGAAAGTGTGACTGGTACCCTTTTTAAGATGATTGTGACATGCTCTCCATGGCCTTCTGGTGAAATACAGAGTTCAGACTTGGGGTTCTTAAATATGAGAATGTATAACATTAGAGTGAAGCTAAATAGTTTATAAAAAATTCGAATTTACTTTTTGATTTGTTAAACTTTCATGACTACTTGATTTATTGCTACTAACCACCAATGGATTTGATGTTCATGTTTGATTTGCAGAAAAGTATATGGTAAGAATAATAGAATAATAATCAAACAAAAAATCCATCTTGCTTTGTGGTTCTGGACCAAAGCTTTGAGCTCCGAGTAGCCATTGTGGTTCGAACTAATGTAGTATATGTTATAATGAAATTTCATGCACGCAGTTAGTGCTGACTGCATTGATTTTGTGAAGAATATTAAAGCACACATAGTTTCTGTTACACATATGGATTTCATTTACAGAGTGGAATTTTCTGAACCATATCATTTCACTTATGAGATGATTGGGCGTGTTCTTCATATGGTTACTCTTCGTGTGTTTGTGTGTGTATAGTATGCGGGAGGACAGCTCTAGAGTGTATGAGAATGTGGGTCTGATGCAGCAGCAGAAGAGTCACAGATGAGGCTCAGAATCCAGCACTGTCCAGCTCACAGGTAACGTTCTTCATTATACACCACATCGCATCAACAGTGAGAGCTGAGCCATTCTCAAAGGGAACATGCTGCAGTGTTTCCCCTAGATTGCTTTCAGGCTGTGTGGTAGACCGTTTGAAGCTACCAGAGTTGTCATGCAAACACAGTATTTGTAAAACACTGTTTGATTATTAAGGCTTGAAGAATGCTATGGGAAGTTGGTTGTAGTAGGTTTAATGTCTGCAAACATCCAGTAGGGGGAGCTCTCACTGGTTTTACTGGCCAATAAAATGGCAAAGATGAAACACCATGCTTGACTTTTACATGTCGATGCTGATTACTTTCCAGTCTAAACACTGTTTTATATTTCAACAGGAACCATTTTTTGTTTTCGCCAGCCGCACCTGAATGCCTGAAATGTGATCATTGCTACATGGAAAGATGAAAAAAAAATCAGAAAACATTAAAAAAAGGAGTAAAAAAGAAAATGGAGACCAGTCTGTGAGGGCTCAAAAGACGCGTGGATGGAGTTAACTTCATTTCTCCTCCCTGCAACGTAGCCTTTTTAACCCCCATGCTAAGAAACCACTGTGAACATCATGAAGCCTTATTCCTGAGAACGGAGAAGAGAGAGAGAGCCCCTGCGAAACAAACTGCTACGGCTCCGGAATTCTCCGCAATCAATTCAGGCTACAATTAGCAAAGTGTAGAGCGGAAAAAAAGCTGTTGTTGTCTTGTTCTCCTTTTTCATGTGTATTTTTTGTTTTATTTTTCCTTTTTTTGCTTCTGTTTTGTTTCTTTTACCAAAGGAAGATTATATTATAATTATTGTGAGAAGCAGTATGTATGATTTTTCTCCAAGGAAAAGAAAGGCCCGTGCCAAACACCCAGCCTCACTTAGTCATCCATGTCTGCCTTTTTTTTTCGAAATGATATGGGAACAGGGCATAAGGGACAGAGTTTAAAAGGATGTATTCATCTCGGAAGCAGTGTGTTTTGCATTGAGTAGCCCAGACCTGTTACCGAATAAAGTGTTCGCTGCCTGTTCTCAGAAGAAGACACTTGAGCCACCTTCACGACTCAGACCGAGGATGCCTTTCAGTTCCCGACGTGATCAGTATGAACAAGTGCGCTCTGTTATCGAGGGTGCAGCTGTCTGCCTGCTCTAGTTTGCCCTTCAGTCCAAGCGTGCTCATGTTGGGATTCCTATTGATGGTGCATTCAGAGAAGACAATCTCTGTTTGCCTTTTGTCCTTTGTGAGAAGATGAGAAATGTCCTGACTGAAGGAATCCTGGGACTTTTATCAAGGGAAGGCCTTTTAATATATATATATACACCTGTTCCCATCCTGATTGTGTCAAAGTTACTGAAGCATTACTGTGCGCATAACACACCACCTAGCAGGCCTCGCTGTTACCGCTTGGCCGCTGTGACTTTTTACGGTTTGTTGTTTTCTTTTTTTAACAATACGCTGTTGCCTTTTTAAAAAAAAACAAATAAATAAACACAAAAAAGGATCGCCTATTACGTATGTAAAAGCACCATGTGAACTTAATTTCTGAACCCCTGTTGGACGAAAAGTGACTGCACATTAACATGTCGAAATGAGTGTCGGTTCTTAGAGCTTCGAAGTGCTGTTGGGTTTTCTACGATGGAAAAATCTTGACTTTTGATTGGGGCGTTTATATACGCAGTCATCTGCCTATAATATGTCCTCTTTCTTTTTTGTTTTTTTTGGTTTTTTTTTACACTAGTTTCACTGGCAGGTTCTGAATACCTGTTACTGTCTTTACTTGTTTCACTAAACCAAACTTTTGTCTTTTTTGTTTTTTTCCTCTATGGATTTAAGTGCTTGACATTGTTAACAGTATTTTTAAATGAAATTCCCACTTTTTGTTATTTAATGTGTTTTTCACATGCTCTTGGACATTTATTCCCAGCCTCATCATTTCAAATGTGTAATGCATTTCCCCACTTTCTGCTTGCCCTATACACATTTGACAGGTTCAGACCGTGTATTCATAGCCTTATGAATGTAATTCTGCCCCTTGAATTATATTCATAGTGTTGGAAATTGGCCTTTTCTCTTAATACATTCATATGGCCTTCGAGGATGTCTAAGAAGCTAAGTGTTCTTCAATTCTGTTTTCTTACAGGTGAGGGTCGCCCGTTAGGTCGGGGGTCGCATCCAGTGTACTGTAGTGTGTCCATTTATTGTACTGTAGTGTGTATGAGTGCGAGTTTGTCTTACTTGTGGAGTGGTTGTGTTCTCTGTATGTGTGTGTGATAGGGTTGTATGTACGTCTTGAGAATACTGCTGATAAGCTGTCAGCTTCTTGATGCCTGCTCTTTTTTTTTAGGTAGCCATACACACTTTGGTCATTCACATAAATTCACCCAGATACATGTCTTCGACCAGCCTCGCTTTTTTTCTCACTTCTTTTTCCGTATGTCCAAATCCAGTACTCTTCAGAATCACTACCATCACATCTGAGACTTGCAGCCCCAAGCGAACTAATGTGAATTTTGTCATCCTGAAGAGAATACGTGGAATATGAACTCAATGCAAACAAACTATATTTTTGAACTTGTATATTGTACATGAATATCTTGTAGAGGAGAATGTACTTACTAAACATATCTAATTGCCAATAAGATATACTGTATGTTTAACCCAGCAACTTTCTCATGGCAGAATGTGAGCGTTGCCGAAAAGCTAATAAGGGTTTATTGTGTTGTTCGGCTATCAATGCAATTAACCATTTATCAATTTGTCAGTAACAATAAACAACAAGCTCACGTCTTTATTGTCGTCTTATTTTTCCTTTATGATGGAGATCCAGTGAGTTTGACCACATACAGTACTGTGCAAAAGTCAGAAACCACCCCTTTGGTTATTTCCAGTCAAAATAACTTTTAGGTTCAAGCTTTTTATTTCACATGAGATGTTTCTGAGGAGATTAGTTATAAGAAAATCTGATATAATTTTCTGCATAAGGAAGGTGAAGGTCAATCAGTGAAAAATACAGTAGTTTCCAAAACTGGAGCTCCAAAAATGATTTAAAGATATCCCTGCAGTTTTTTAAAAACTGAAATGGCTCCTGAAAGAATGGAAGCTGTAATGAAGGCAAAGATTTTGATTTTATATTTAAGTGTTGAGGTTCTAGTTTTCTGTTAAATATAGGTTTTCTGCTTTGTTCCTGAGGCAGAAAAGTAACTAACTATAAATTTATTTAACTTAAAACCTTTTAAATTATTATTGAAAATCAATAAATGAAAGGTGATCTCTGACTTTTGCATTTCGCACTGTACTTCCCTTCGGTTAGACGGCAGTGTTGAAATATTTTTCCAGATTGTTATGAGTGGATAGTACTTCATCTGAAAATAGTGTGAAAGGTTTTGTGGACAATGGGTAATGTATTACATAGTGTATGATCTAAATATTAGTGATCCTTCAGATCGTGCTCCATGTGTGTTGGCTCACGTTTATGAAGGCGTATCACAGTGCACCTAAAACCTTTTAAAGTAGTTTGTGATTTCTCCAGGAGAGCAGGACAATGAAAATCAAATGACTCACATATTGTCCACTTACATCCCAAATAGATGCATAATGTTCTGTAACTAGGCTTGAATTTTTGCTTTGTTTTGATTGACAGTGTGAATTAAGGCTTTTTTATGTACTGTGATGTACTTCTAAGTGAAGCATAGTAGTAAGGAGGATATCTCAGCTAGCTGAGAATTTTATTATCCCCATTCACTGGTGGATGGTGATCAAAAATTAGCAGGTGTTTTAGAGGCAGACAAAAAGGTTAAAGCTACATTTAGATGGAAGCTTACAGGAAAACGAGTTTTATCTTTTAAATGACATGATGAATCATGACTAGGGACGTAAACTACACTATATGGACAACAGTATTGGGACATACCTCTGTAATCATCGAACTCATTTTCATTAAGTCCTATTGCCACAGGTGTATAAAATCAAGCACCTAGCCATGCATTTGTGAAAGAATGGGTCGTTCTAAAGAGCTCACTGGATTTAAGTGTGCTGCTGTAAAAGGATGGCACCTTTGTAACAAGTCAGTTTGTGAAATTTTTTCCCTCCTAGATATTTCACAAACAACTATGAGTGGTATTGAAAAATGGAAGCGTTTAGGAACCACAGCAATTTAGCAAGTGACAGACCATGTAAAGTTACAGAGCAGGGTCACTGAGTGCTGGCGGGCATAGTGCACAAATTTCGCCAACGCTCTAGGAGCTTCATGGCATGGGTTTCCATGGCCAAGCAGCTGCATGCAAGCCTTACATCACAAAGCACAATGCCAAGCATCGGATGGAGCGGTGTAAAGCAGGCCGCCACTGGACTCTGGAGCAGTGAAAACGTATTTTGTGTAGTGACAGATCACGCGTCTCTATCTGGCAGTCTGATAAACGAGTCTGGGTTTGGCGAAAACCAGGAGAACGTTACCTGTCTGACTGCCAACTGTAAAGTTTGGTGGAGGAGGGATAATGCTATGAGGGTATTTTTCAGGAGTTGGCCTAGGCCCCTTAATTCCAGTGAAGCATTCTTAATGCTTCAGCATACCAAGACATTTTGGACAATTCTATGCTTCTAACTTTGTGGGAACAGTTTGGGGAAGAACCTTTTCTGTTCCAGCATGACTGCGCACCAGGTCCATATAGGCATATAGGAATTTGGTATGGAAGAACCTGACTGGTCAACGCAGAGCCCTGACCTCAACCCCATCAAACACCTTTGGGATGAACTAGAATGGAGATTGCGAGCCAGGCCCTCTCGTCCAACATCAGTGTCTGACCTCACAAATGCTCTTCTGGATTCATACATACATACATACACATACATCATTTAAACTGCTTATCCTTCTGGGTCGCGGTGGGGTGCTGGAGCCTATCCCAGCTGTCATTGGGTGGAAGGCAGGATACACTTCTGGATAAATGGGCTAAATTCCCACAGACACACTCCAAAATCTTGTAGACAGGTGTCCCAGTACATTTGTCCATATAGTGTATTTTATGTGGTAGAGACCTTGAGTGGGCCTCAGTACAAGTAACCTGTTTGACCTTTGATCCGCAAACCAAACCACCTCGTTAAAAATGAGGTCTATTATTTGTAAATCAGGCATTGTTTAAGGTTGTTCAACTCTGTTGAAGGGAAAAGGGATGACTTGAATTAATATTGTATGTGTTGTGCTCTGTAGCAAGGTCAAACCCTGCAAGTGGTGTGTCTGTGAATTTATGCAATGAGTAATCCTGCAAGCACATGCTCAGACTAAAATAAGGGGTTTAACGTTGGAGGAAGCAGGGGAGAAAAATCATAAGCACATTTGCAGCATGGCAGGCTGTGTGCTCTTTCTGCTATTTGGACTCCTTCTCTTTCTTCTTCTTTTCCTTGGACCCCGAAGGCCCAAAAACTTTCCCCCTGGTCCAGCGGCCATCGCTTTGTTTGGGAATGTACTTCAGCTGAGCATGAGCAACCCAATGGAGGACCTGGACCGGGTATTCCCCTGTGGTGAAACTAACTGTTGATTTGTATTTCGTGCTATTATGGAGTTCAGGACCACATAGGCTAACATGCACTTTGGATAACTGAGGAATCTGAAAGGCAATGACGTATTCAAGCTATCTTAGCACTGTTTCTGCCAATGACAACACTAACATTGGAATACATACAAATAAACGTAACAAGTATTTTGTATTTTTTTGGTTATGTTACAGGAATATAGTTAGGGACATAGAGCATAGGGTTGGTTCTTGACTTTTTGCTGTTCTACAGGCATTGCAAAGATATTGTTCAATTGTGTCAGCAGCACACTTGATTTAATTTGAATAAGGACTGATTGCATAAACTAGGTATTGGGTGGTAACTGTACATACAAGGCTTCCCTAAGCAGAGTTTTGGAAATGGTTAAGCTAACACATATTGTCAGACTTTAAATCACAATGTAGTGTTTATTTGTATTGAATCAAATATTAGTATTTTTTTTTAACACTTACTGCTCAGATAAAAGACATTACATCTTCTCATACACATACAAGACTTAACACATTAATGTATTTATGGAAAAGGACATGGTGGAATCTTGCCAAGAGACACTGTGTCAGGTATTTGTTTCCTCTTTTAGGTATTGAATTTGTCTGAAGCACAACAAGTGTTACAAATTTGCTTCCACACGTTGTGTGCAATTACACCTTTCCACCACAGAGGTCTCTAAATCCCCAAAACTTATACAGTGTAGCTTTAAGTTTAGGTTCAAAGGAATGCGCAATGTAGTGGCCTATTTTTTAACTTAATGGTTCCTTGAATCTTTCTTGCTAACCCTGAACTTTGGCCACAATCAGTTGATTTAGGGTGACCATAGGTCCTTTTTTCCAGGACATACCATGCTGGTCTATGCTGGTTTAGCTAGTTGACCAGCATACCAGCATCTGAAACACAATATTTCGCTGCTGTCTGAAGAAACCCTCGTATCTCCATTTTTGTCATTTTTCGGTTTTTGACATATTTTGAAAATGCCCATTGTCCTTTACATTGTGTGTAAATTTCATGAAGAATGGGCCAAAAGAAATGACCAAAAATGACTCGGAAAAAAGTCTGGTTCCATTGACTCACATTAAAAGTAGTTTTTTTTTCCTTCTCCTGATGTTTTTCCTTTTCCTGATGTTTGGTGTTAAGTTACCAACACTGTTGGTAGGGGACAGACAGACTGAAAGCCATTTGGTGTGTTCTTGCCATTTACAGTGCAGTCTAGGTGCAGCATCTTAGCAGAAGAAATGACATATTTACTCAAAAAAGTATTAGTTTTTTTTGGTGTTTTGTTTTTGTTAGATTTTTTTTTAAATCATCCATTAAGAAAAAGAAACACCATGTCCTCCTGCAGGCTCTGTACTGTTTTGTCTAAGATAGTGATTTTGTTTTTGTTCTTTGTTTTTTGTTTTTGTTTATTCCTCAGCTGGCTAAGCACTATGGGAATGTGTTCAGTCTGTACATCGGCAGAAAACCAGCAGTGGTACTGCATGGCCTGCGTGCTGTAAAGGAAGCCCTCGTAGTGCGTGCTGCGGACTTTGCTGGCAGGCCACAGGGACTGATGGTGAATCATGTCACAGAGAACAAGGGTACAGCACTCAACATCTCAAATAAAGGCTGTATTTTGTAGCCCCAACAGGCTGCAGTACAGCACAGTTTACTGTTTACCTTCTGTGACTGATTAAACCAACGGCAAGCAGTGACTATTAAAGCTAGGCCTTCAGTTCAGGCCATAAATGTCAAAACATGGTCTAAAAAATGAGAAGAAAATGCTTGTGCTAAGCTAAAGGTGCACACAAACTTTTTTTAACTTTTCTAGATTAAATACGACAATTGAAGCTCGTAAAACACATTCCACATTTTTTAAAGCTTGTAACATGTAATTTTAACACAGGTTGATAGTGATTTCTTTAGTACTTTACTGTACTAAAAGAATGTCCACTGATTTATTACTTTATCTTCAGAATTGACAAAAAACTTACTTCTGGCAATAACAGTCAGTGACACCTTGGCCTGCCAGAAGGCCTAGAGTGACTTTTTTGTTTTTTTACTTCAACCCCACCCCCGCTCCCAACGAGAACAAACATTTTTTGATAGAAATTAATTCATTCAATTCTTATTTTTCTTTTAAAATTGATTTTTAAAGTTAATTCATTTGAAACCTACCTACCTTCTTTATTTGTACATTGCATTGTCTTCTGGGCCTTGGCACACCATTGGCCCACATTCCATTTTGGCCCCTAAAACAAAAGGTTTGGGTCTGATCTAGACAAATGGGTAATTTCCCATTAGAAATGTCAAGTTTGTAACCCTTTCTCTAATCAAAACCTAATAATGAAATAAGAGTAATGATTCATAGTTTACCTCCACTCCTAATCTAATACACCTGGTCCAGGAATGAAGGCCTTATATAACTCATCAATCCTTTGTTTAATTGGTCAAATATGTTGGAACAGGGCTCATCCAGTGCTGTGGCCCTTCAAGACTTCAGCCCATCCATATTGTACAAGCCTAGACATATCTTTCAAAGAAAGCAGCCTAACAGTGCTTTCTCTGATGACTGCATAAGTGGTTTGAATTGTGTAGACTGGCTAATCTCACTACAAGGAACATTGTTCTTGTTGTAAAGCAAAGTGTGAGAAGATTACATGCTTATTGGGTCAAAGAGTGCTACAGTACAGTTAGCATTAGGTCTTTCATAATCACAATTTACCACACTGAATAGGGTTCTTTCTCAACACAAATAACTGCATGGAAAAATATAAACTGAATTCTCCAAAAACATTGAAGATGTGTATGTGTTCTGACGTTCAGCAGGTCTTGTCATGGCTAATTATGGTGCTGTTTGGAAAGAGCACAGACGCCTTGCACTGACAACCATGAAGAACTTTGGACTGGGGAAACAGTCAATAGAGGAAAGGATTCTTGAGGAGACCACAAATATCTGTCAACACTTTGAGAGTAGTTCCGGTAAAGCGTCAGCATGACCTTGATTAAGAGGTTGCTCTGGAATGAAACCTTGTATCTCCATTTTAGGTGTTTTTTTTTTTGCCCACCAGCTGTCCTTTACCCTGCATTCATATTTCAAGATGAATGAACCAATAAAGATGCTCCAAAATTACTTACTTAGAATAAAGTATCTTAACATTTTTACAACTTCCATTGAAAGTTCATGTTTTTTTTCATTTCCTGTAAAGTTGTTTTTTGGAGATACACGGTTTTGTTCCAACAGCAACAATACATTGCCTATGACCTACTGACTTCATTTTCGGTCTGATTCTTCATAGGAAAACCCATAGATCCACAGCCCTTGATCCACAGTGCTGCTTCCAACATCATTAGTTCTATGTTATTTGGAACACGATACAGCTACGATGATGAAGTCCTTTCTTTCATTGTCAACAGCTTCAAAGAAAATGCCAGGAAAGCCAATAGTGCCTGGGCCGTGGTACGCAAAATGGCACCACAAACCTAATAAGATAATCATGCATTCAGTTAGCAGCTAGCATTTTGCTAATGATTGTGTTCGATAACATTGATCTTGAGATAGAAGCACTGTACTCTGTTATTTTAGATCTATGATTCCTTTCCCTTCCTGAGACACTTGCCACTACCCTTTCGGAAAGTCTTCGAGAACTATAAGGCCCTCAAAAATCACACCAGGGGTGTTGTTGCTGAACATAAGAAGACAAGGATCCCAGGAGAGCCACGAGACGTCATTGACTGCTATCTTGATGAAATGGAAAAGGTTAGCCTGTGTCTTATGACAGCCTACAACAGACCACAGTTGAGCTCTTTAAGTGGCAATCGGCTACAGCACACAAAGAACAAGCAAAATGTGATGGTGATAGATACGATATATATTATTTTTTGCAAAATGAAAAACAGACTCCTCTTAATTGACATTTGAAAATCTATAATGTTCGATGGTTCTTGGTAATATAAATAGGTGTTATTGTCTTGTCTTTGAGAGCTCAGTTTGATCTTTGCCTCTTCAGAGGGGAAGTGAGGGCACTTCACTGGATGAGGACAGGTTGGTTATGTTCCTGCTGGATCTCCATTTCGCAGGGACAGACACCACTTCCAACACTATCCTCACAGCTCTTCTCTACCTCGCCACCTACAGAGATGTGCAGGGTGAGTGATCTTACATGTAGCCTACGTATGTTAGCCACCATATGCTAGCTTGGTTGTGTGTGTCATCATTCTGGAGACAGCATCATGGTCATATTAGAAACTGGGTCTAAGCTGGTTACAAGCGCTTCCAACGTTGGCTGACTGCTAACTCACATGCCTAAAGGTGCTGATGATAGCTTCAATATCAGCAAAATATTTGGTTGAACAATTCTCCTTTTTGGAAATGCTCTTTTCTAGTTTGGTAATGAGGTCTTCAACACATTAACTGAGATCTTACCTCACTCTTTTGTTTTTGGGTTCAGAACTGAGTAGCAGTTCACTCTTTCCACCAGTCTCTTGGGAAACTGGGAAAGTTTTCAGATTAATAAATATGCTGAACTTTTATATATGCATAAACTTTTTCATAGTTACATATGCATAGTTACAGTTATAGTTGCGAGGCTAAGAAGGACCAACTGGGTGAGCTAATTTGCTACAGCACCACCCTTAGGCAGACCAGGGCTGCATCTCTAGTTAGTTAAGAATACCAAAGACAGAAGCTCGTTGATTGTGTGTGAAGCAGCTAAACAATGACTTCCGGGGGGTCCCTGAAAATAGACTTATTATGAGGTTATGCTGTCAAGGAAAAACAGACGCTCAAATTTAAATTAGGGACCCTCCCAGAATTTTGATTTTGAGACATTCAGGGGTTCCAAGAGGTTAATCAGGGCGCTAGAATCGATTTTTTAAAATTCCATGCATTTTTGTCACAGAGAAATCCTTAGGCCTGGAATTGCTAATAAGGGTATAATGCCGGCTAATGAAACATGACTTCAGAGGTCTTTTATGGCTGGTTATGAAGCAGAAACAGGAAGTAAGATCCAGTGTTGATATCACCACTATGAAAGAAAAAAAAACTGACTATAAGCCCAAACAAAATTCATGCTTCAAAATGCTGCCATGACAGTTTTTTAGCAAAGCAACATACTTTTCTCCATTTTTGTCAGAGTAAGAAACCACATACTCTATTTGGAACCGCTATCTATTTGAGATATATATGATTAAGAAAATATCACACTTGGAAGGACGTGGGCATATATTTAGTCAGGAAGTGCTAATGGGTATAGCTTTCATCACTTCATAGCTATAATCCCTGCTGAAAAAAAATCATTTAATGTTTCCTTTGGTTCCTGGTGGTGTTCAGTAGTCACTTATTGTAGTTTATATTTTCTTGATTGGTTGATATCACAGTGTAAAGGATTCTAGTAGTTCAACAAGTATTCAGGACTGATACCAGATGCATTTGATGCATACTCAAATTCATACCACACTTCTCCTTTTTATTATTCAGTTGTCTGTCAGCAGGAGATTGACTCAGTACTCCAGGCAAAAGAACATGTCTCATATGAGGACAGACTGCAGATGCCCTTTGTGCAGGCCACCATCCATGAGCTCCAGCGTCTGGCTAACATTGCGCCGCTGGGCGTCTTCCATGCCACCACCAGGAACACCCAGCTAATGGGCTACGACATCCCTGAGGTGCTTGACTGGGTGAACTAATTAACGAGCAAACCTTATGTTCTATTTATTGCCCAGTTTCTGTTCAACATGGGCTTTTGGTAGGTGCAAAAACAAGTTTCAACATTCATTTTTTCTCCTCACTGTGTTGCTTAGGGCACCCTGGTCATTACCAATCTTACATCTGTTCTGTATGAGCAAGGTCAGTGGGCACAACCAAATGACTTCTACCCCTCACACTTCCTGAATGAACGAGGTGAATTTGTGAAGCCTGAGGCCTTTCTGGTATTTTCTGCAGGTGAGATGACATTCCCTGATTTTTACAAAAAACTAGTGGGGATATAACAATACAACATATTGTATTGTATTGAACTGTATCACAGAGTGTCATATTGTATTAAATTGGATTGTCGTATCCTGATTAACATGTTAGCTTGTGGCCAGTATGTTACTTTGGGGCTAATATGTAAGGTTGTGGCTTGAGTGTTAGATTGGGACACTATAAAGCACAACTTTTGTTTCAAATATTGTTCTTTTTTGATGTTGTATAATGGGCTAATTAACCAAAATTGGAAACATTAGCATGCTACCAGAATGCACGTTTCTAGCCACTCCCTATTTTTGCTGTATTGAGAAACCACTGTTTCATACCAAAAGCAAACAATGAATGTTGTGAATTGTTACACCCCTAATAACAGTGTCAGTAATATGGTCGTAGTTTGGGTACTGAAGATGAGAGAGGGAAGGGACCACGAAGCAAGGTTTTATCAGTCACAAAGATAAAGCCATGCTAGTTAAAGTAAACACTCTCAGTTCAAGCACTGGTTTAGCTAAAAATCAATTTTACAGTTTTCCCTTAACTCCAAATCTACTCAATGTATCTTTCATATCTGATGATTGCTTCTTTTGCTCTGGAGCTTTAAGGCTAATGCAGCTAGCAAGTACACAAACACATTTTCTAAGCCACATATCCTTCTGGGTCAGAGGGGGTGCTGGAGCCTATCCCAGTGCTCATTGGGCAGAAGGCATTAAACACCCTGGACAGGTCACTAGTCCATCAGAGGGTAGACACACAGACATAAACATTCATGCACCTGCTCTCACCTAGGGCCAGTTTAGTATCTCTAATACACCCGACTGTGTGTCTTTGGACTGCGGGAGGAAACCCACAGGGAGAACATGCAAACTCTACAAAGAAAGGACCCTGTTCATCTGGCCAAGGAATTTTTGCTGTGAAGTGACAGTGCTACCAATTGCACCACTGTACCGCCTGCTAGCAACTTTGGCAGCTTATTCAACCAGTTAGCATTGCACAGCCTGCATGCTTGAATCATGACACACCACAGTTGTTAACGCTTGCTTATGCAGTGACATGCTGTTACCTATAAAAATGGACAAAAGCTCAGGCTAAATCAATATGGCTCCTTGTACTACCTTTCCTATGCATTTGTCCGTAATACTAATTGGTGCATAAACCATTACTTGTTAGCTGCATTAGCTTCACAGCTCCAGTGCAAAACTAAAGAAAAAAAACTTCAAATTTAAAGCTTGTCTTGGCTAACTACATTTGGGATATTCCTAAACTGATAGTTTTAGCAAAATTATGCTCATGGAACCATTTCTAGGTTCTAGTATCTCTCTCTCATGTGTGGTGTTTGTGGCAGGTCCTCGTGTATGTCTGGGAGAAGCTTTGGCCCGTATGGAGCTCTTCCTGATTCTGGTCACGCTTCTCTGGCGTTTTCACTTCATGTGGCCCAATGACTGCGGGGTACCTGACCTCCGGCCTGTGTTTGGAGGGATACAAGCCCCCAAGCCCTTACAGACTGACTGTCATACCAAGGAGAAACAAGGGCGACCCTTTGGATTCTTGATCAGCCATCAGCTGAATTTAATATAACTGTGCTTTGTCTTAGAGTTCTTGTGATTTTGAATGATGTTTTTTATGTTCCATGATTTTTTTTAGGTCCTTCTAGGGATGGGGATGCGACTCATTTTAATGGTATCCCATGGGATAAAACTCAGTGAAAATCATCACATTCCAATTTGAATCAATTCCAAAGCATGCACCAGAATTTGTTCACAGTAGTAGTGCTTACGGTAATATTATAGATTTTTTGGTGTTATAAACAAGTACAAGTCTGGAAAGTATAATAATATTTGTTAGTGCTATTTAAGTTTTTCTGTATATTTTACAATTATTTGATAAGACCCAAACCTATAATCATTGTGATCACTTATAATAGGAAATGTTCATACCATCCCATCCCTAGCTTTTCTTTCCTCTGCTCTGTTGAATTCTTTAAACTGAGTGACCTTGAGATGGAAGCCCTTAGACCTGCTTTTCCAGACACAAACTGAATTAGTTCTTGGACTGAACTGCACTACAAATAAAAAGCATTTCAGAAGACCTCTTACATTCTCTTATTTGTGACCTGACTGCTCAACATTATTTTGTGAAATGAGGTGTCAGTTCATTCCTGTCTGTGATACAATGTACAACCACCACCAGGTGGCAATAAAGCTGTGATATATTGAGTCTGAGTTAAGTCTGAGTTAGGCTTCTGGACAGTCTATGAGAAGAATTCAGCAGAAATATGACAAAAGTGGTTTATATATCATCTAATATGTCGTCCTCTTGTATTCATGTGGGGTAAAGAATATAAATAACAAAACAACAATATGCCTAGAATGCAATGGGAATTTGATGACAGGAGTAATAACCTGAAAGACAAACACCTTGAAGTTCAGCACAATATGCCCCCAAAGCATCCCAATGTCCCTTTTTAATTAGTGAATTCAGCTGTTTAATGTACACCCATTGCTGAGGTATTCAATTGCTCACAATTGCACAGCTTGTATAATCTCCTCTAAAAAGCACTGCCAAATGAATGGGATGCTCTGAAGAAACTGCACATGAGCCTTAGCTCACCATTTCCAATGCCAAACATTGACTACAGGCGTATAAAGACCTTCTGCTTTGAGCTTTAGAGCAGTGGAACTGTGCTGTGATGGAGCGCCATCCAATAGTTGCAGAGGCGTTTGTGATCCAGAGCAAATCCTCCAACATGACCTGACCTTACTAATGCTCTTGTGGCTGAATGCAATGAGATCCTTGCTGCTATGTCCCAACATCTGGTGTAAAGCCTTTCCAATATAGCAGAACATGCTACTGCATGAAAAGAGGGAAACTCCCAATTAAAACCCTTGATTTCAGAAGAAATGCTGGACTATACTTTACTATATAAACTTTATTTTATATACTTTACTGTATAAACCTTTGGACATATAGTGCACGTTCTAACAACAGCACTAACATTTTAGCTACCTGCTGCAATAAAGTGGTCCCAAACCTCCTCCTGGAGATCTAGTTTCCTGCAGGTTTCACCTCTATTACAAATCTAACACACATCATTCAGCTAATGAAGGACCTCCGAAGGCAATAATTAAATGGGGTCAGTAAGGGTTGGAACTGAAGTCTGTAGGATGGCTTCTCTCCAGGAGCAAGGTTGATGACCACTGCTGTAAATCAAGTAGCCCAGTCCTGCTCATGCACAGGACAGCCAGATCAATTGGTCAAAGGTTTGTTAATTAGCTGATGAGTTCAATCAGGTGTATTGGAGCAGTGAAAACTAAATCAGTGTGATAGACTGATATATGATACATGGCAATGTATGGATTTTAAATGTATGACATATATCAGCACGTATAGCTTTCCCTTCTATCCATCACTTATTTGTGACACCTGGACATATATGTGATATATACCAACTTATTTGGTCATTTTCAGATCTTGGATGTATATTTCAGCCACATATTAACGTATCGCTGTTGTTGGAACAAAACCTTGTATCTCCAAAATAATAACTTTACAGAAGAAGGAAAAAAAATACTTTACTTTTAATGTAAGTCAGTGGAACCAGACTTTTTTCCAAGCAATTTTGATACTTCCATATTTGTACACGACACAGGTGACCCTTTGATGATATATGTGCATATTTGGCCGTATGTCAGATTTCTGTAAAGGTTCTACTTCACGGAGTGAGGGGGCGTGGCGAGGGGGCGTGGCTTCTGCTCTCTTAGAAGGCAGCGTTAAAGCGTGGAGAGCAGTGAACTAGGCGGATTATTACAGGCTCGTCTCTCCTCTCGTGCTCGAATCAGCGGCGCTGGCGAGTGATAGCAGCTCAGAGATCATCCACTCAGTGCGGGTGAGTTCAACATAGTTGAGATTTTCATCCTCATGTGTTTCAGAGCTACGAGCTGAACTGAATAACGTACAGTTCGCCGATATATTCATTCAGATAAAGGTGATTAAGGCACACGAGCAGCGCCAGGGTATCACGGATGCATTACTGGGAACGCATTAATGCACAGTGGTAATAATATAGGTCTTGCAGTATTATATTACTATAGGATTATGTGGATAGCTGCTCTTTAATCCTGATTTCAGTATCTCGTCTGTCAATCACTGTTCTGCCTTGTGTTATCCATTCTGTTCCGCCCCTGTCATTTCACATTAGTGCTAGTTCACAACTCATGATTGCCTTTTGTTTACTCTTTTAAAGAAAAATCCTCTGCTAACTTTACTGTCCTGCAAACTGCATCTCATTGTATGAATGTCATCAATGTGTAATAGAATCACTGCAGGCTAGAACATGGTTGAATTGTGGAGCCCAGGTTTCAAAGCTAAACACTTGTGTAAACTCTTGTGAGCTGGCACTACCCCTCTTGTCACTGGGGTGGTACCCTCAAGGGTACATATCAGTACTTTTCGTCAGGGAACATAATTGTACCATAATCCATTGAAAGTCATATTGACTCCACACACCTCATCTTGTCTCCAGGCTTTTTATTTTATTGTTCTGTTTTAAAACATTAGGTTATGAAAAGGTACAAATATGTACTTTTTCACTAGAAAAAAAAATTAAGGTTCACAATTGGACCCCAAAACCACTGTTGTACCTTTGATGGTACATTTACCTTGTTTGTACCTTGATGAACGAAAATATACCTGCACAGAACTACCGGTGCTACCGTGTTTCCTATCACTATATTAAAGATGTACAAGACTTCTTTTATCTCTGGATTGCTCAGAGCGATTTGAATTGGTAAGCACTTGTAACAAATGTCTAATCTATTAAGTATATTTCTATTCAAGTGTTTACTTAAGCTATAGAACACGAGAGGGAGTGTGTTATTGTTATTGTGTTATTACAGCTGTGATGATGTTATTTCGCAATAACACATGACCTCGAGTGTTCTATTGCTTTTATACACCAGTTAAATAAATAAAGTAAGAAATACATAAACTGGTCTGTGAACGTGGCATTTAATATCTTTTAATGTTAGCAGTTCTTTCCGCCAAATTATAGTTCCCTGACAAGCAGCTTGTTGCTATGTCAGAGTAACGAACTCCACTCACTCGCTGCACAGCCGGCAGTTTGTTCTCCAGCTCCTTACACTAAATTTCGAAATGAACCGAATACCATTTGCCAAATGTGTAGTCTCATCTTCAGCGTCTGATCAAATTGGACTGAACCACAAAACTGCCAAGATATCAAGTTTAGCTCAGTTTTTTCAATTTTTGCTAGATCAGTATTAATGTTGTTTCGTTCCAGCCAGTCTTTGTTTGGCGAATGGTATTTGGTTCATTTCTGGCTGATTCCAGGTTGTGTAGGTTTTCTTCGGTCACAGCTGCCGACTGAAAAGCTGCTCAGTGGTGATGATGCTGTTATGGTGAAATAACAGCACGGTTAGAACGCTTCTCAACCAATCAGCTTGCGTGGCCGGAACTAACTGTTGTATAGTCGTTAATATAATTTGTGAGATACATAAAACAAAAATCTATACATTTTCAGTTTTGTTAGATAATATATCAAATAAATGCAGCAACAGCATTTAGAAATCACTTGAGCAGATTAAACAGCACCAAGTTTTTGTTTGACCTTAAAGGGTTAATATTTACTGAACTACTGAATTTGCTCTGATAAGGAGTTGGTGCTGTGAGATCTGGGTGGCTGCATATTTTGTTTCATGTCAAAACTCATTACAGTTTTTTGACATATGATTTGAAAAGTGTTCAAATTTACATCGTACCAAAATCACCAGTTCTTGATGTTTTTTTTGTGCTTATGGCTGTACTCTTGACTAAATGTCACTTGGTAAATTAAAGTGCTGGTCTAGTCAGAGAAGAAAGGCTCTTAAACTTTAGCTAACTTCGTTACCACAATGCGGTGCATTACACTGTAATTTTACAGCACTACTGCTGCCACCATTAGGTGAAAAAAAACTGTAACACAATGGCTGGCGGGCCACATATAACACACTCTAAAACAGAAGCAATGGGCCGATTAAAATGAGCCCGTGGCCCACATTTGGCCCTGGGGCCGGATTTAGTGTTGGAGACTAACTACGATTAATACTGGCCTTCCTCAAGGAGAGGAAATGGTTAAATGAACACATTGACATAAAATCTCTACTTGTTTCGTAAATTTCTAATGCTTATTTGTCTTTATTTTAATGTTAATGTTTTTTAAGTGCAAATAAATGCTTGATTCCCAGATAAAGAGCTTTTTTATTCAAATTTTCTCTATTTATAAAGCATCCATTTGACATATCAGTCAAATCAAAACAACTGTTCGACACATATAATTTTTTCCAAGCGCTTATCTGCTGATACCGGTATCACTGTGCATCCCTAGTTTGAATAGCTCTTGGAACATGACTCATTCTGTGAGTGTGCTCTACCACCTTTCATTCAAATGCATTAAAATCATTGAGGACTTCTTGCCGCTTTCCGGAGCAGGTCTGCTTGAGCAGTTCACAGCAGCACTACAGGGAACCGCACACATCTTCGAGAGGCTCATGATGGGTGTATTATATAAGGAGAGGCAATCCTTCTATAACTGTTTAGACCCGGAGCCTGACAAAAAAAACAAAGGCAATAAAAAAGCGATTGTTCTCTAACAGGCGAATCTTAAAATAAACCCCGCTGCGTGAGTCAGAAAATGGAATATAGTTTGAAAGTCTTCTCTTTGATTTTGTTTTTGTTATCCTAGACTGACAAAAATAGGTTTCTAGCATGGATAATGGGCCCAGAACCTCTGTGAAGGCCTCAGATGACCATGGAGATCTTGGAGGAGGCCTTGTCTCATAGATTACACTGCTAGGTGAACCCTGCCTATGCTCAGATCCCAACTATGCTATGCTGGGGTTCCAGAGAATGCAATTTGTCAGGTTCTTACTAGAGGCAGGGTGCACACTGAGCTGCTCAGCAGTGGTCTGTGGCTGGTAGTTTGACAAGATGCAGGAGCTTCTTGCATAGCAATGGCTGGCCTGTTGTGAAACACTGAAGAGACCTAACACAGCAGGAATCGGCTACAAGCAAATTAGGGAAATAAATAATTAAGTAATCATCAGAAAAAGAGAAAGAAACAGAAAGAATGCCATGGCCATGGTGCAGTCATGCTGCCTGAAGGCCCTGTAGACCTTTGCAGATGTTCACAAACCCAGAATTAATTTGAGCAGGAGTGTCCCCAGAATAGGTCATGATTTTGCCTTGTGTAGGCTTTTCACACTTTTCTTAAACTGCATCTCAGCATTCTCCTGATCACTTACGAAAGCTCATGTCTTGGGTCAGTTGGTGTTTCACGGGGGATGAATGCATTTTGCATTAAAGCCGGTGGTGTTTTTTCATGCAGCGCTCTGGCTTGACAGATATATAAGCCATTACTAACAGCAGTAGAGGGCAGTTTGGCCCAAAATGTATATCACAGTATAACTTAAATATCTGTTTCAGTATGTATCACAGTATATTTTTATATTTAAATAAAAACTTTTTAGATTAAGTAAATCTATTTTTTAAGATTAACAGTGGCTTATTATTCTGGGATGTCCCTTCACCTGTACAGGTGCTTAAATGTAACTGCTGCACCATTTAAGGTGAAACGGAAAATTCGAATAAGAAGCCTGAATTCGAATAAGTGTCTGTGAATTTCTCAATTTCTCTTAATTCACCAATCTTTAACCCTGAAGACTGGCGCACTGACTGCTGGTCACATATCAGTGCAGACAACAATCTTGCCTCGTTTGTAACTAACAAAACGGAAAAGAGAAAGATTTAAAATAAACATCTGTAATTTGGAGACGAATGGACTTATTTGCATTTATAATCACTCCAGCTGGTTTCCTGATAGGTTTACTTTGCAACGAGAAACTGTCAGACACTAAAAAGTTGCGAGGCTGAAGTCGCTTCTCGTTCACCAACTTTTTGTTTGAATTTTTCTGTTTCACCTTGTGAATGGTGCAGCAGTTACATTCTGGCACCTCAGGCACCAGTTAAGGTGGAAAATTCGAACATGAAGCTGGCAAATGAGAAGCTGACTTCAGCCTCGTAAAAAGTCGAATGCTGAGAGACATTTTAGAAAAAAACTATTCTACTCTTGAGGAAAAGTATCCCACCAGAGATGCAGGAAAAACAGCTATAGCTGAGCTGAAGCTTAAAGCAGAGCAAAGTCTGTGTTTTTGCTTATATCCATTCATATTATAGCTAACATCAACAGTGATTAACCCCATCAAACACGGATGTGCAGCTATTACTCACTTTTGCGATCACAATGCTTAATAGTGTAGTTGATGGCAGGATATACAGAATATTTCTGACCGTTCCACAGACAAAATAATTATATTATTCTAGCGATTTGTACACATTTAGCTTATGTGATGTGTACGCTGATGTGTAATTACCATGCCATACCACCTACTACTAATCAACACTGTGAGCTTCTTAGTTATGACTCCCAGTCAAAATGTTGAAAATAATCGTATTTGATGTGTGGGTTACTGGGATAGACTGGGAGCAGTAGCAGATGAGTTACAGATGCAGTTTTGTGGCAGAATGAAAATTGGGCCATTAATGTGTTCTGTCTGGTAATGGTGAACCAAGATTGAACAGCTGCCCCGATGTTCTGGTATATGACCTAACTGTAGGACTCCCTCTGTGCCCCACATCAGATCATGAGTGCAGAATGATTTGCATGATCTGGGGGGAAATTATGACCCGATCATAGTCTTACATGCTACAAAATCACAAGTGTCTTGTGACATGTATTGTGGGTATTATAGGGCCTCACACTGGTAGCCTAACAAAGTGGTAATGAATCAAAGAGAGAAAAAAAAAGCCAAAACAGACAGAAGGAGACACAGGAGT